GCCTGTGCCTGTGCCTGTGCCTGTGCCTGTGCCTGTGCCTGTGCCTGCTATTAGAAACACACATTATCATGATTTCAATGCAGACATTCATTATCAAATGATCTATTCAAAATTCATGATGCACTATTACTACCACTAGATTAAAGAAATTTTTATGAAAAATCCCAAAGGATTGGGAAATTGACCGATTTTGGAAACAAGCACAACAAACATTGTGTCCTATGCAATGATCGTGCACATCATTCTCATTATTTCTCGAATATATTTTTCGGTTAACACCGGGAAAATAAAATCTTATTTCTATCTATTATTAGAGTTTACCTGTATCTCTTTTATCGCTAACGTGTTTTGGTGAACTGTTCTTTTTATTTATAATTTGCCTCATATTTGAATTGGAACGTTCACCACTAGGTAAACGGGCGACGGTAACTTCTGGACTATCTTCTGGTGGGGGAGGTAGAGTGACCCTGAGAAGATAATCAAATTAGAAAAAAACTTTAATTTCTGAACTTTTCCTTCTATAAAAACTCAAAGTAGATTTTTCCGCTGTGCTTTATCTACGATTTAAATAATAAATAAAACCTGAATAGTCATCACGGAATCATGAATGCTTTTATGCGTGCAATAGTATCTATGTATCACGCGCTGTTACTTACACATTCATCTTCCATGCACATTGCTGCTATATAGCCGCAAACTAGACGTTTTATTCGAGACTGAGCGTATTTTCAGTGTAACAATTACTTGCATACTTGTTTCAGTTTTACCTTAACGCCGAAATAATCATACATGTTTCACTCATAAGTTCAACCACAAATAAAACATAGCGGGAAAATGTACTTCGTCTTTTTATAGATAATCATAGATTGAAGAATGAAATTACCAGTTATATCCACGTTTTTCAATCGGGACACCGATTTTTTCGTATTGCGCGGCTTGTTGCCTGCAATTGATAGTTCTTAAGCGATAATGCAAAAAAAAAACGATAAACATATTTTTTGCATCATCAACACAACATGCTATGGCAAGCCAAAAGCAAGCAGAAGACATTCGTCACCATGATTAAAAATCTATTCTATAGCATGCAAAATTCTATATTATTCTATAGTAGCATGCGACGAAATCTTGTTCGTCTGGCGGTCAGCTGCCGTAAATATTGCCCTAGATACTGTGATGACAAATATATTCCGTTTGTTCATGGCCAGCTATGGCATACTGTGTTGATGATACAATCGGACCATTTATTTCATGAAACACGTGATTTACCTCAAATGCTCGTAACAATCCAGACACACAACCGAATATTCACCATTTTCCAATAAAAGTGCTTCATCATTCTTGCGATCAGCGATTGATGGAAATTCTCTAATTGGTAATGCACGTACCCGTTTTCTGTATGTTGTAACGCCGCACAAATGACAGCAATAATCATGCGTATTGTAAGTTCGTTCACTCGGGCTGACCGTGTTTGTAGACTCATATCTATTTGGAAACACACAAAATTGTTAATTTTCAAAAATCCACTTGCATCGATAGGTGAAAAGAGAAACACATACTTCCTCCATTGGCTTAGTAATGAGTGATAGCAGAATGTGCACACCAATGCAGACAAATCGTTTGGACGTAGTTGCTCGGCATTCAAAGGAGATTTATGCTTTAGCAAATGTGGAAAGTACGGTCGTGAGCCTTCTTTACTGGCATGCACAAGACGTGCCAATGTTAAATCACTGTGTAGCCCGCAAAGAAAACAGTAAATGGATGTGCTGGCAGGTGTTGATGAAACTGATGGGGTTGACGGTGGCGTCCCTCCAAATCCACGTGACCCATTCGGTGAATTACTATTGAACGCTGACACCGGTGATGGAATATTGTATCTATTCCATAAGTAAGAAAGAGTACAACCATTGTAAATCACATTCTTTGTTGCGTAACATTGCCATCATTTAGTTACCTTCGATGTTCCAGTGGAATGCGTTCGGCATCAAGTTGATCCCATTGTTTTGCCAAGTGATTAACACATCGTACGCATGCTAATACCCGTGATGCACTATTATCGCTTCCACGTAAGCATGGAAAATGCATTGCATGGCTATTCATGTGCTCCGCACTTGTCGACAACCACTCAAGTTGACCCAAAGAAAATTGCCCTTTGCATATGTAACATCTGTTTAGAGAGAATAAAGAGAGACAGAGGGAGGGAGGAAGATGGAAATGCATTAAATTGTGTCCATTTTACATATTATGTGAACACACTTACGCATAGGTTCCATGGCCGTTCTCTCCGATTGGTTGTATCAATGGGGTATTCGGCCGGGAATCCTTTCGTGAATTGGCCAAATCACGATCTCTGCTCGATATTGAATGTGTTGTCACCGATTCGTACGGCTGAAATAGAATTCAAATTAATGTCATTTTAACCTAAATTCATCCAAGATTTGCTCATTTATTTGCTCAATTTGTTTAAGTGTGAAATTTACCTTAAAGCGAACAAAGCTTGAATCTGAATTGGCTTGAGATTTGCTATCTGACGGTGAAAAACGACCGCCATTACCAAAAGTCAAACTTCTCCCTGACTCAGAATTCTTGTCCGTCATTGTTTCAGCAGAATTAACGTGTTTTGCATTGCACTCAGAACATATTTGCACCATTCCTATTAAATTAGACATCATTTTTATGTTAGTGTAAATGGAGTAATGCATCAAGAAGTTGAATTGTGGAAAAGTCGTTCATTTTCTTCATTCTTACCCTGTGGACTAATTGGGCTAGCATTAGGATATGGTTTTATTGATTTGATAAATGGGAAGAAGGGTTCGTTCTCAGAATTCTGGCAACAGTAAACGAGAACTAAATTCGATGAAGGAGTTTCTGCACCGCAAGTATAACAAACGAATGTTGCTCTTCCGGTAGATAGTGTTGGACGCAATTTATATCGCCGTTTGGAATCTGGTACGTCAGCCAGCTAAAAATGCGTAATTTATGATTAGTACACGGAAACGAAACGAAACGAAAATTAAATATGAAAACAAGCAAACGAAGAAAGAAAGAAAGAAAGAAAGAAAGAAAGGAAAAAAATGAACTGTTGGCAATGTGCTGTGTCAACAAAACCTACGCAAAATTGATGCCATTGCTTCATTAAATGATCGCAGCAATGTGTGCACGCCTGGATCATACCGCGTGGATCTTTAGGCCTGAAATGTTATCAAAAAGAATGAACATAGGATGATATGATTGATCACGGTATGTATAATATATTGTTTGTAGACGAGACTTACCGAGACCGGGCCGGACGAGGATGTGATTCGTTGAATATTGGAAAATATGGTTTGATTTTATCCCGAGCATCTTTTGGTTCTGCGGTACTAATCTCGAGTAAGCTGCCTCGTTTGTACTCATCGCCACACACGTAGCACACTTCGTTGATGGAATTTTTGTCAGGCATTGACAAATCCAGAATTCCAACATCGCTCGTATTAAGCATTTTGACCGTTGAATTTTGAATTGGGTCTAATTTCGAATGCTTTAAACAGAAACAAGAAATTTATCGACATTAATTAACCACAAATACCAACGGTATGACATCTACACAAATCAATATAACACATAACACATACCAGAGTTGCATTCGCTGATGATGAAGCAGATGTTTTCGTTGATGTATTTCTTAAATCTAGGGCTGGTTCATCGTCGACCACTACTGTTTTCTGCGATCCTATCGCGCTGCTGTGCGACATTGGCGGTGTCTGTAATGCTTCACGTTGCCCATATGCTGGATATTTAAGCGCTTTATTGTTAATTGAACTATATTTGTTGCTATCATACACTGGTGACGGAGATGGATTCGATGAAACCGAATGGTTTGATTTGAATGTTGAAGCTGGTGGTGGAATTGCGTTATTTGAGTAATGCGATCCTATAAATTACAACAACAGAAAAAATCAATACAACGTCGAAATAGCCATGCGACAGATAGCCTTGAATGGTATTTTAGGATATGATACGAACCGCTCAGTTTCAGTTTGTGTTGAGCAAACGGTGAATAGGATGAGGTCGGTGGTGTTGAAGAGGTCGGTGTTTGGCGAAGTGATGGTGAAGCATCTCGAGAATTGGATCGTTTTGCTTCGTTTTGATAGTTAGTTTGGGGTGGTTGGTGCATATGATGCATCATTTCGCTGGATGCCATGTGTTCCGCATTGAGCGGCAAGCCAAGCATTTGAGCGGCATAATCACCTTGTACCATCAAATCAGCACCTATGTACCGCTTCCCATCAGCCCGTTTCAAATGGTATAGTCGTTGTAAATGTGGTCGATTCTCCCGTTCGAATGCCAACCTAAAATCATACAAAATGAAACACCAATGAAGATTGATCCGTTTTAATTTCTCGCTTGGTCTTTTCAGTTCACTTACCACTGCTCGTGCAACAGTTCTTGGCACATTGAGCATGCTTGTACTTTTGATTGGGTGGCCGAGACTGCGTGAAGACCATGTGGTGGCTCATGGTGGCTCACTAAGAATGGAAAATATGGTTCGGACGGTCGAGCTGGATTTTGACGTACGCGAATCGAATACAATTGAAATTTTCCAACACTTCCACAAACAAAACATGTTACTAGCTGTTGCTGCTGTTGCTGCTGTTGCTGTTCCGGCCTTACTTCATTCGAATTGTGTACAGATAATCTGGATGCTTTGGCCAATTGTTGAGACTGTGTCAAATCAATGGATGTTCCGGCTCTTAATTCAACCACATCTTGTGTCGATGTACCTAAAAAATCCATACTTTCACTTTGAACGTCGTCTTTGCCCAATCACTCAGATGATGGGCATAACACAGTCGGTTTCGGTGTCAATGTCTTGTTTAAAAACCAAGATTTAATTATTCAACTCCTTTCTTGTGTGATCTGTAAAGATTCAATGTTCGGGTATATTATAGTTTCGGGTTAGTTCCGATGTCCATTCATCGTTGTCATACTACTATTTATCTGTACGCAACGAGAATGAGAGGGAGAGAATAACATATACATAAATAAATTGCTGAGTTCAGAACGCACAAAAAGTATTGAAAAATAAACAAAGTGAAAATGAAAGCAATTAACCATTTGACCGCGCGTACACTTTTTATCGCATTATTTTTTCTTTTCCTTTTTCGAATTTCAGTTATTTGCTGCCTTTGTCTAACACCATGTCAAAATTGTAATTAATGGGCAGTGTCAGCCGATTGGCCACTGGTGGCGATAGAGGAAATAAGACGAACAAAAAATAGACTCTTATACATACATGAAACAAAAAGTACTCGTCGAGTTCGTAGGGCAAACAAAGGTAAATAAAAGTGGAGAAGATAAAGACGCAAAATGATTAAAAATAGATGGGAAGCATTGTTATTTGCATTCAAGTGGTAACTTATATTTAGGAAAAATGTGTCCAGTCTCTCGTGAAACGGGTGCAATAAGAACAAAAAATACTGCAATAAGCAATACATAATCATTCAATCAATCAATCATTTCCCCTTTTTGTGATTCAGCGATTGGGTCAAGCATATTCAAAATCACCGCATTAAGAAATGTTCGCCTGTCAATGACGTGTGAAACATTTGAATGAAAATGAAAAAGACACGAAAGAATAAGACTACAGGCGAAAAAACGAGTTGTGTATCATAATTCAAAGTGCAAACAATTGCATTTATTGTTTCACTGTGCCCCAATGTTGTTAGTGGCTCATTTTTTGTGTTATCAATTTTTTTATGGATTTGTTGATTTTTTTTTCTAGATTCATGTTTCTTTTCTTCGTTTCGTTCGTGACAGCGACTCGGTATGGGCGGTATGACTGTCTCACAGTTTGTACGTGAAGAAACGTGTGTGTGCAGATATGATCATAAATATAAGATGTTCACCACCGCCGAAAATTCAATTGAACGTTGAAACTACGACGCAACCAAATCGAATATTGTCTACACGAAGAACAACTGAGTCAAAAGGATTTTGTGCTAGCTAACATTTTCGACTGCCAATTGTTTATGTAAACTTCTCTTAATTTGGTGTATGGCACATTGAATGGAGGTGGAGGCAATTCAACTGAAATGCCGACAAATCAATAAATAAATGTATGAATAGTAATTACTGAATTACGTATCGAAGGAAAATACGTTTCCAAAACATTTGATATTTTTTGAAAATGTGGGCTATGTGTCGTGGCTTGTTGGTTTGTTGTGGCATTTGTCGTTTCGTCCTTTGCCCCTGTTTTCTCTGTTACGTCAAAAGATAATCGTAATGAACTGTTCTTTTTCAATAACAAAAATCAGTAGTTTACTTCACTTATATGTGTGAATGCCCAAAAATGGAATGAACATTTTAATTATATGGTTTTTGGCACTTATTATGTTCGCTATATGAATTGTTCTGTTAAATTATTGTAAGAAAATGTGTGCCTATGCTTTTCATCAGGTCGCTGGTGCTATCTCATTCGAGCCCACATTCATATATGTCACTTGCCAATGTATTTATATGCACATACTAACCTACACTTAAGGCAATTTCACGTGCATCAAATTTGTTTAAATGAAATTTAGATGAATTCCTTTGTATCCTGTATATTCCGCTTCAGATTCTTTCACACAGTAATTTTATTAACGAATATGATTATGGTATATCGCACATTGTGTTAGTCTTAGATTATAATTCACAATTACAATTATCCATCTAATATTGATTGAATATGTTCTAATTTTTGTTTCTGTCTTCTTTTATTTGAATAATAAAACTGTTCTTTCTTTCTCTCTTTCACTCTCTCACTCTCTCACTCTCTATAGATCGTTCGATGGGAGTTTTTTCTTGGTTTTACTTTGAATTTAACGGTCGACCATTCACTATACACTTTCTTTAGTCATAATTTAGTGGTGAGAAGTGACGACCTCAATTTTTTTCAACACGCGACGACTCCCCGCAAATATCCGATTTGATTTCAATGTAGCACATGAATACGAAAATTATTTATTGCCGATAAGATTAAGGACGTGCATTCGCTTAAATTTTGTGAATGTTGACAAAAGTCGTAGTTTCTTGGTTTATTCCCACCAATAACGTCAACACCAAGAACAACGCAACAACAGAAATAAATCATGACTTTTTTTCTCAAATTAAATATGTAAACACTTTCGGTTGACTTTTCGTAAAAAAACATTCAATAATTGAGTTACAAACTCACAACTGCACCATAATTCATGCTGAATGGTATCATTGTCGCGTTTCTAGAATGTATTCTTACGTGTTTCTTTTTCTTTCTCTTTTCTTGCTTTTTTTTGTTTCTTTTAATCGTTTCGGTAATGTTGATCATCAAAATATGTTCAGTGTAAATATGCGTTATCAGTTCATATTTTTAGTAGTTCAGTTCTGTTTTTTTTTTCGTTCGTTCATACGGTTCATTCGTTTTCACTGTTTCTGTTTCTGTTTCCCTTCAACGTCGCATATGAAATGGCATCTTTGATCTATGCACCACACATTTGGTCGTATGTTCATTTACAGCACACATTGCAAATCAGCCTCATCTCGTCGTCGTCGTGTATGATTGATTGAATGAACTTTTTTTCTTCTTTTGTTTCATTAGGCGAGAACAACGGAGGAAAAAACAATTGTTTGCAGCAGCATTTATTTTTTCGTTGATCGTGTAAAATTTGTATAAATTTGCGTAACAATTTAGGAGAGTAACAAACGAAACGAAGGAGAGAAAAAACAGATTCACATTCACATTCACATTCGCATATGAGCACTAACACAGGCGTACGAATTTGACGATGATTGCATGTGGAGTTAGCGTTTAGTGTGTTGTGTCGGCTTCTCGATATTCAACAACATAATGGACAACGCGCTAAATAAACAGCACCAAAAATTATTTTTGTGTAATTTGGCGTGCTTTTATGCCTTCCTCTTCTTCTTTTTTCTCTTCTTTTTACGGGTTCTTCGGTATATTGTTACAAAATTCTATGCATCATGTGTGTGGGTTTCTTCGTCTTCTGCTCATTTCTCTCTGTGTATGTTGTATCTCGTTTTTTCTACTCTTTTGCTTGTGCTGGGAACTCGGTTGGACCTTTTTGGTGTGTTTGGTCAGTTGTGGATGGCTTGTTACTTTTTTTGTTTATTTGTTTGAGATATAGTTGATGTATACTATATTTCTCCAAACTCAACTTTTTCAATAAATTCCGTTTTGTCTATCGCTTTTGAAGCGGTCTCTTTCTATGTCCACAATCACTTTTATGCCGAATGATGCACCAAAACCGAATTCATTTGAAATCACAGCAAGGAAACAATGAAATTTCTCCTGAACAAAATTGCACTTTCACCTTCTCGTTTCTTTTTTTTTCTTTTCTATTTCGCTATGAGATACTTAGCGCTACATGATTTAAGTAATATTTCATAATCCTATTTTTTTTTGGCTTTCGTATGATCGTTTCCGATTTCTCGATGAATTTTCAAGTCGATGTTGCCTCTATTCACGATCTCTTTTCATATGCGAAATGTATAATTACTCCAATGACATTTACAATGTGCCGTAGACTGTTTTTACACTCACGAAAATTGTCGATTATTTTTATTTTTTCATTCATTCAATTGAATTTTTTTTTATTATTGTTTTTGTACAATGGTGATATTGACATTTCGCTACCATTGCTCTATTTCCATCGCTCTGATTTTCATTCATGTATGGTTATTTGGGAATATTTTTTCACGTATATATGTATATGCATATATATCTTTTTCGATTTAGTGTCTCATATTGATGTAGTCAACGAATTCCATGATTTTTCACTTTTTACACAAATCAGAATGTTTTTAAACACCATTTACATTAAACACATACACAAATATTGGCCAATATATGTATCAACTAAAAAAAATCATATGGTAATATAGATATTTTTTTCTTTACTTTTTTTTTGTCAAATGGAAAACACTATCTATTTTGCTACATTTGTTCGGATGAAATATAATTTTGTATAAGCGAAATGTATTTCATAATATTTTTTTACATACTGGCTCGAATGCTGATTGATATTTTGTTTAGTTAAAAGGTATTAAATTGACGAAAAATAGAAGAATGTATACATATATATAAATTACAAACAACAAGCACCGATTCCGAGCATCAAATTTCTTTACTTTGCTCGTTTCCAACAATATTTTTCTCTTGGTCATTTTTTACACACAGTACAGTGAGAGAGAGAGAGTGTGTGAGCCAGCACACAGCGCCACCATATAAATGTCAGTGAAAACAGAAAAGCGCTTACGTCACTCAACGAAACAACTTCATTTGTATCGGTGCTTTTTAAGCGATATGTTTGCATTTTGCGCCGAAAATCTAACAACCTAGCATCGCATTCATTGAATAGAATGTTTACATGTGTGTAAAATCCAAATGAGAAAAAAACATGTATCAGACTAAATATTGATTCATTAGCAGGATTTGAATGCTAGTGTTTGAAGTACAAATATTTCCCATAAAACTAAATTCACTTCAAAAATCCACGTCAGTCTTATGTTATTGGTGGAGTCATTTGGTTTCTGTCCTACTTGGTTGCCAATCTCGCGATGTGACAATTCACTCAACGTATTATGGAGATATTGAAAAAAAAAATGTTTTTCTTCAAAATTAGAAAAAGAGAAAGATTTTTTAAACATTGAATTCAAACATAGCCATCGATTTTTTAAAATAATTAACTCAATCTTAAGATCAAAGAGTTTTGTTTGAATTTAATTGGTGCAGAAGCATTAACAACGAAAAAAAATTTGTAAACATATATTAGGTAAAATGAACAATATGCATATTGTCCATAAACTCAATTCTTCACTAAACTCAAGCTGTCGTGCGGTATCGCACATTACCTTGGAACAGAACGAATCTCCGATGCCAAAGTATTACATTTTAGAGAAACAAAGAGTTGTGTGCGTTTATTTTGAATAATTATTTATGATCAAGAAAATTTATAATAAAAAACGATAATATTGCCACAAATGATGATTTCCAGGCAATATATTTTGTCAGTTGACATAGTAAATATAACATTTTATCACCGGTTCCTATGGGTTGATATTTGAAAAGCGTTCTCATAGATGGCTCCGATATCTCATTAAGTTGAGTTTTTTTTGTTTAAGCATAAGATTGTTTCGTTTTTTCATATAACTATAAATATGTAGGTATGTAATCCTGAAAAATAAAATCAGTAGTTCATTCAATATCTGTATTAATTTGATAGTATGAATTGTTGGACTTTCGAACGAAGCACATTGGACATGGTTTCAATGCCATAAGATGCATCTTTTGCATCCTTGATGCTAACTATTGAATTGAAATGTACAGATGTTTTAACGTAAGTTCCAATATCTAGATAGAATAGAATCTAATAGAACCTGAACAATGTCATGTCAATTCTATTAAAATTTTGTTGCTGAGTCTCTGTCTGATATTTATGTCATGTTTATGAAAAACACGCTGATCGTATTTTGGTTATTTGCAAATATTTTCGAAAAAGTTGAAAAGAAAATAGATGAAAGTGTTTGTTGATTCGAAAAAGCCATCGTTCGACTTGATACTATATTCTCGGGTTAATCATACATATGAGAATGAAAACAGCAAATAATAATATCACAGAAGCGGAGATGCGCCTCATGGGTCCGATTTTCATGTGTTTATATTTAAGATTGTGATGGAATCAGACATCGAAACGATAAAATGAATGAAAAAAGGAAAACAACTCCTCCCAATGTGTGTGACATTCACTTGTCGAACTTACAAACGATCTACTTTAAAATACTATTGGGCAAAATGCAAAAAGTGCTGCCTTCAACAAATATCAAGGGCAGTAACTAAAGCATAAAAGTAAAAGAAAATGCGAAAATATTTTCATTAGATTGCAATACCATTTTAGTCTGCCGCACACTTATGAAGCATGCATGACAAAAACAGAAACATGTGGTTTTGTACAAAATGAAAAATAGCCAGCAAATCGCCAGAAATTTAAAACAGAAAAAATTATTTTGATTTCAAACGTGATGGATTTTTGTTATGAGTTTTGAAATTCGAAAATAATTAGAGAACGAAAACAAAACGGCTCTTGAAACGAATTTGAAAATTCAACGTTAAATAGGGAAAGAGAGACTTGATTCGCCTCGACCCGACTCAACTTAAAGATCTGACGAAAACAAAATAACAAAATGCTTGTTTTTGATGTCAGTTCGACGGTGGTCGGTGTTCGTTCAACTATTTCCCTTTTGGCATAACCTTTTGTGCCACTAATGCTCGTACTATTGCGCCAAGAATTGTCGACCACTGAAAAAATCACTCAGGAATTCGGCATTCAACTTAAGTTATGATCCGCAAAAAGATTTGACATCACGCTAAGCATCTCTCGCTTGATATACATTAACACCCACTGTATTTCATTTTTTTCGCTGCTTCCCGACTTTTCCACTGTTTTAGCTAGTTGATCAGGAGCTGCTGATATTGCCACTTCAGCCGTGTATTACAACTGGGCTCATACACTCCACATCGTACCCGTTGAATGAACCAGCCGAATGAAGCACTTTCGTATGCCTGTACCGAATGTGAATAACGGTCCCATTAGATTTATAGAGGTGTGTTTGTGGCTCACTTTCTCTCTCTTCTTCTCTAGCGCGCGCTAGCCGTTTGAACAACAAAATATTTACGGGATAATAAAAAGAATTTCGGTGTTAAATTTAGAACTATCAACTTTGAGCAAAATTCAGCAACACTCAAACAGTGTTCAACACAATGTTGATTACATTCTTTTTTGATTTGCTGTTTTTGCCGTTCATCTTCTTTCTTCGACCTTCTTCTATGGGCCGTTTGATTTCTGGGCTTAGTGCGATGATGATTTTTCTCTTCTTTTTTCTTTTTTTTTTGCAAAAATAACAACATTACGGGTTTTCTTAGCATTTTTGTGATGCTTACTCGAGAAAAAAAACTCACAACGACATTATGACTGTCGTCGATAGTAGAGAAGAGAAACCATCTAATTGTCATATTGCTCTCGAAAATGGTCCATTTCTCAATATGTGCACGTGTATGATGTGCACCTTCAAAAATGTTTGCAGCCGATGCATGCATTAAGCCCGCGCTCGCCAACTGAATGCACATGAACACATGAAAATGATTAATAAACTAAATTAGGCCTGATAAAACAAAAATATTTGCACCATTACGATTAGTGTACGCTAATGGCAGCATTTATACTTTTTGCTTCAGTTCTCGCGCTCTTTTATGATTAGATAATTAATTGCTTGGGGCGACGTATCTACATTTCAGTTTTCATACTTTCGATTTTGTTACCATTCCGATATATTTTTTTCTTCGTTAAACAAAAGTGTGGTTCTTGTTGCCAATGAGTTCGGCTGTTCTTCCTCGTTTCAATTTCAATTCTCGCTGTCTCCCTCCTTCTCTTTTTCTCTTCTTTTCTCGCTGTCGTTGTTAAATTGCAATTTTTCGTTTGGCATCACATTTTGAAACAGTTAATGAACGATAAATTTCATTCGGTGCGACAGAGAATTCTGTGTGTCGCCAGCCAACTGGATCATGTGGACAATAACTCGACGGGCGGCAAATAAATTCGCTCATATAGTTGAATTGTTGCGAACGCTTTCTGCGTGCAACCGTTTAATTTGACTGAAAATCTCATGTTTGTGTTTCTGTGAGAAAATGTAAAATTTCAGCAAAATTGATTAAAATCTTTCGTGTCAAAAGTCGTATCGTAATTGGTCGCTCCATTTGCTTATGGCATGAATTTGTGGCGGCTTGAGGCGGCACAGCCTCTGTTTGGCCGTATGGCGTGTTTCAGCATGTATATCATCCATTTTCGATTGAATTGTGATGAAAGCCTGAATACGCCAAATGTGCCAAGATCTAAATATAGGTGCATCTCACTAATTTATTATAAAGTCGGTGTCTGTGTCATTTTTCTGTACTTATCGAATAACTGCGTGCATGCATGAAAATGTTGTTTGCCTCTCAATTCTTTTTTTCTCTTCAAAACTCAATCGACTTTACGGTGCGACTTTTACCTCAATTTTATGAATGATGATCAACTATCTGCTGCTTTCAAAAACGAATTGAGAAGAAGAAATAAAAGAAAACAAGTGAGTAAAATACAAAACAATATCTGGGCGTATATTTCGAAGGTATTGCAGTGAGAATAAAAATAATTTTTTTGTCACACAGCCAAGCCAACCGCCAAACACGATTGATTCACAATTATTTTTACGATTTTTTGATGAAGCATGGGCTTCTTACTACCCGTGGTTAATCATGTGTAAAAAATGATACAGATTTCATCGAACATTTTGTATTTGTGGTAATAATCGTTTAGCGAGAAAAAAACGCTATGAAATGCCCTTGAAACTGTAATTCATTTGCTCTAGTGTCTTTCATGTTTCCAAAACAAACGAAAAAGAAGATTTGTCTAATTGAGACATTTTTCATTTTCAATTGTAAACTGTTGTCGAAATTCATTTATAAAAATATTTTCAACCCGACCAACAATCGTTTTTCAATAAATTCGTAAATATTCTTTCATCAAACAAATTTTTTCTGGATTTCAGTTCAACCATTCTATTTGTGAGACGTAAAAGAATGTATGTTTTTTCTCGATTTATATTTTTGAAATGGAAAGTATGTCTTCTGTTGATTCTATATGCGTTAAAAGAAAGTATGTTTGCATACCGTCTAGCTCCCGCGGAACTGATAAACGATAACAACATGGTGTCTTATTAGTTATGCGATAATTACGCACATAAAAAAGCAAATTTTGTATAGAACTGTTTTTGTTTTTTTATCATTTTTTGCACTTTTTGCGAAACTGATAAAAGATAAGGGATAACTGTCTTCAGCAATGTTATAAGAGACCTCGAGTACTACAACTTTGCCAAAGACATTGTGTTGTTATCTCTTATCAATTCCACGAAAACCGAGCAAAACCGCGAAGACCCGCCAAAAACGAACATACATTCTTTTAACCATTATTAGTTGCAATGAAACATACTTCTCTTTATTGCTCTTTTTATTGGACAAACTTGCGTTCTTTTACGTCTCCCTAATAGAATTGTGATGCTACCAATTTTTCTATTTGTTCATTTAATCAAAACTGAACGCGCTTCCAATTTGGAGAGCTATGGGTCATTGCTATTTTCAATGTGACTCGATGATTGTAGTCATAGAATACTCTCGACTCAGCACGATATGTATTTTTGGATTCTTCTCGCTTTCCTTTATTTTTTTTTTTATTTTTTTCAGGCGATAAATTCTGTTTCATCTATTCGAATATGTGAACGATTCTGTCTGATTGAATAAATAAACGTTATGATGCGATCATATTGCCGATCGTGTCTGCCATCGAGAGCGTTCGATGCATGGAGATTTTGACAGCAAACGTATCAATATCATCGGTACTCGAATGACACAAAGGAAAAACAAATGGAATCGTAACGACATCATCAATTTGCAACATGTTATTGAACAGAAGTTGTCATACAATGGGAAAATTGGGTGTGGTTGAGTAAATTTCACCCTCTATCTCTTTTTGTCTCGCAGTGCGAAAATAGCTCAAAATGCAAATCATTATTCGGCCACAATGCGCTTGTGACTATCGCATACGCATCCATTCGTCGAACGCAATGCGAGAACAGCGAGTGACAGTGCTAGTTAGACTGAGTGCAAAGAAAATACTCAAATAAAATCGAACGAGAATTTTGGATCCATGGCACATATTATTATCAGTATCAAGAATTGCAATTGATCACTGTAATCATGTGTCACACGGATTTGATATGTTTCCGTTATATGTTTTATGTCGCTTCATTTCGCCTTACATTCACACATCATTATTTTTGAACATGTTAACCTATTTCCATTGTTTACGTCATCATTTTCATGACAACTACAGGCGCAGCGTGAAAATTCTCAATGTTAGCATTACTTAACACTTGCGCACTGTGTGATTTTCCGAATCGAATGCTGTGTCTGTGTATGTCTGCTTTCATATTCACTTGAACCGAATGTCGATCGTTCTCGCTGCTTCTGCTGTTGGATGCTCGTAGCATTAGGCATTGAAATTCATGCGTCTCGATTGTGTGAGTGTGAATGATCCATTTGGTGGAAATGTATTTTCGTATACGTGAAATGGCAGCCACTGTGTAATCCTTACCTTTCGCCATATACAAATTAGAGATCAGTTTAAGTTCGCGTACCGTCGCGAGTGGAGATTGGTGTGGAGAATAACTATAAGTTAATTAGAGAACCAACAACCGACCGAAACAAAATCCATCAACAAAAACCACAGTAACAACAAAACGAACGCAACTTTTACATAAAAAACGCATTCTTTCAACCCAAAATTTGTAAATTTTGTAAAGTTAGTTAAATTTTTTATACCAATATTTTTTTTTTTTTGCATATTGATTTGATTTGATTTGTGATTGTGATTGTGAAACGAAAAAGATAAATTCGAATCAACGAAGCGAACGAACTCGAAAAGTTCGATACGAGAAGAATGAGCCATTATATACATAATATATATGTATATATTATGTATATGAACTGAGGCTACTTTCAAATATTTATCGATCGAAATAGCATCGAAATGACAAAGAAAAACCTATGGGATAATTATTTAACACGTCGAAAGTCATTTTGTGCGTCTTAAAAGTCCAGTCCACGAGTGAGAAATTTGTCATTTCCAATGCAACATTTTCATTTGCTTTATCTAATAATCAATTTACATTCTTGACAAAGACTGATTCCTCTTTGTCGATCATTACTTCGAAATTATGATGACAAAAAGAGGGAAAAGATGAAGAAAAAACCGAAATTTTTCGTCATCATTTTTAGCCGTAATTTTAAGACGCAAAGTGCTGCCATTGGAATGACTCAATGGAATTAAAGGACTATACCGCAACCAATAGATTGACCGCGAAACAGAGCAACGACGAAATTTGTGATCAATTCAATTGAAATGATACGTTCGGATTTTTTGTGGCCTTTTCAGTGAGAGTGTGTTGGTATGAAAAGTGTGTGTGCGTGTGTGTCATTGGATTACAGAGAGCGAGAGATTCTTTGATTCTAGTCTACGCATAAATACACCGCCGACCGAAAATACAATTTTCGATTTAACCCAAAAGTATTTTTAAAGTGGCGAGTGGGTGCTCTCTTTCTGAAATATGTATAAAGAATGAAAGGCGACTCCTAAGACTGAATTAACAGCATCGAAATAAAAATGAAAGAAAAAAAAACAACACATACCAGCCGCATGTATATTTTTTAAATAACACCAGCCAAGTGAGTGAATGATTCAAATACTGCGAAAATTTTCACCGAACGAAATATTAAGAATGAAATCACACACGATCGAAGAAGCGAACAAAAAAAAATTGAGCCAATAGAGTGAGCTATAGCAAAAGTTCGATAAAATGTCGAAAATGGAATGGTATTTGAAATGAAAAAAATTTTGTGCACGGTGATCTATGGACGAGCATTTCTCAAACAGAATACAAATGATCTGGACAATTTTCATCTGGAGAAGTTAAAAAGTATTGAACACATATTCGAACCAAATTGATGCGTTCGAATTCAAACTTACGAACCAAATTCGATATTGTAACATAAAAGCGATTACATTATTGGCTCAATCTTCTGATGTGATCCAGCCAATATCCACCGACACATAAACCACTTTTTATCTATGATTTTTTTTTTCTCTAAATTCTGGTTTCAATCCTTTTTTCACAGAGACTCAGAGTAGCTATCTATTATCCGTCAGCCACTAGCGAAATAACACACATATGAAATATTGTGTGTTTAAAATATCTATTTGCGCATTCGATTCACACACATAAAACATAATAGAAATCACAATTTATAACACACCATGCGTAAAAATAGATGCATGCCGCTCTCTGTATCTCGCGAAGTATGATGAAAGAATGAAAATGTGAACACTTTCAGCGCGGGCGCTTCGCTCACCATTTCTATCTCGATCAACACCTTTTCCGATCATCGCGCTTTCTTTACATGTTTATATTTCAAGTCAAACTACATTGTTCATCAAATTTTTTAAATTATGTTTGATTTTATCTCTTTCGTAACACCTTAGTCAGCGTTCAAAAATGTGTTGCAGAGAGGAAGAAACGAAGTTCAAACGACCATCCTTGAACATACACACACACGCACACCTACAAAGTGAAAAAATTTCACACATTTGTCATAATGACAAGGAAGTTATGGTTCGAAATCTTGCGGAAAATCGGTTAGGAATCAATTGACTAGATTCAATTTAAAAAATGTCATGCATTTTTCTTTGACGAAATAAACCATAAATTTACCGTCAATGATTCCATGCGTATTACCCCGGCGCGTTCTATCGCGTTCTCTTTCATTCTGTTACAATGCCCCTTTCGCTCGCATGCGCGCCATTCTTAGGAATGCGAATAAAATTGTGCTTAATGATTGCAGGACTCACTTTCGATTATGTAAACGCATTGCGCGTTGAATCACGAGCCTGAATGCGCAAGCGGTGTTTGCCTGTCACACACTGGTGTAGTGTAACACAGATGCATCACTGTGTGAGTAATTATCGGACCGGCCATTGTCAGCAATTGCAAGGTGATCATAACACCCAGAACGAACTTGATATTTGCAGCGTCTGACTCACATTCGACCGTGCTGATTCAGTGCAATCTGTAGGCTTGAACTCGAGCTGCTCGTTTTCAGAGTCTCAAAAAAGAAATCCGTTATTTTTTCTCTCATCAGAAAGGATATTCGAGACAGTGTCTAAATTGAATGTGATTGCCAGCGTGATGACGACTTTGTATGATTGAGTCAGCGATTATAGGAGATGTTTGTGCGACAGAAATCTCCAAAACAAACAACGTTACCGAATACACATTAGATTAGCGATCGTCTGCACACAGCGACGAATTCGAATGATCGAAATCGTGAAAAAGCGAAATCATTGCTTCATTCTTTTGACTTCTACATGAGAACACAGATGCAATTCTGTTTACAAAATAATTATACGCCTTTTCGCTGTGTGCTTATTTTTAAATCAACATTGCCGAACTGTTTTAATGATTACTAAAAATCTTATAAATAGACACGAGAGTGGGCTAAAGAACATAACCGTCTTCTCTCTTCTTTTTATATCTCTTATTCGGTTGTTTCCTCGGCTGCCATGCTCTAGCCGAGCGGTATCAATGCGATTCGGCTGTGGACGTGGACACAAGCATGAGATTATGGGACTACTGAGATTTCGTCAATTTATGTGAAGAAGAACTGTGTGAGTGAGACAAGTGAAGAAGAGAATTGACAGAGAGAAAATATCTGATCGTCATCGTGCTTTTGTTTATGGATGTATGTGACTTTCTGTATGATTAACAACACAACGTCCAAACATGTGGCCCGATTCATGGTTCATTTATCTCTGCCTCACTTTCTCTCTCTCCCCCCCCTCTCTCTCTCTTTCTCTATCTATCCCCCTCCCCCCGCTATCTTTCTGAGAGGATCGATTAAGCCTGATGCACCGAGTCAACAAGTTACTTTCCGAGTATTCCGTAAAAGTTGACATTTCTTCTCCCATAATTTTGATCTTATCTAAACTCGTTGCTTAGACCCAGCTATAGCATATTGGTTAGCGTGCTAGCGTTGTAAGCGTTGGGACACGGGTTCGAATCACATATTGATCGAAAATCTTTTCTCTTCAAAATTTCATTGGTTTTATCGATGGCATTGTGAATTGAGAGACTATTATTATTATTATTCTAAGACCCATTTGGAGGCCTGTGGAGTGCTCCGGGAGGCACTTTAAGCCGTGGGATCCCTTGCATTATATACAGAAGATGAGTACAAATAATGCACGTAAGATGGGGCGCCTAACGCTAGGTGTTTGTCTTCCATACTCAGTATTGGTTGCAATCGCCGCTAAAGGTTGTTGCCTGATATTGGTGAATATATCAGTATCAGAAGCATATCCCCATCGAAAAAACTCAAGAGAAAAAAATGGCTCAATGGAAAGGATGCGGAGCGCGCCAAATGTTGTATGTGATGTGGCCCACTAGTGACGTGGTGAAGCCCGACCCTGACTGGATTGCAGGCACAGGGCACATCACAACGAATGGGCCCTCCACAATCGACGAATGGTGTGCAAAGAATCCATCCAAGCGAGCGTCTCGCAATAGACTGAAAAACAGCCTGAGCGACGAGTATAATACTCCCCGTACTATCCATAAATCCATAAATCCATAAACTCGTTGCGTCATTGTCCGTCTATTTTACCGTGACTACAAATCACGACGATTCAACAGCACTTCTATGTTTGTACAGGATTTTTAATTGTTATTTTTTGCCATGCTGTAGTCTTTGCAACGTCTGCAACGTCTGCAACTATCTTTTGACTTCATCTATTGTTCAGTCCACTTTTTTTTCTACTCCTGTGGTCAATATTTCATGTTAGAGAATGACTAATTCTTGGCGACTTTTTTCTGTTTCGTATTTTTATTTTTATTTTCTATCCGGGAAAATGAGTTTTATGTATGTTGGCGGTTCACACTCGATTCGAGAGTCTCAAAGAACAAAAACAACAACAAGTAACATAGACATTCTCAAGCATCGGTTGGACTGTCTTTCGAAATAGCAACCGACTAAAAAATAACGGAATAGAGGCTTTTTCTCGTTTCACTCAGACCAGGAATGATAAAAACATGCCGTAAATACAGTAAATAAAGCTCTGCACATAAGATTTTCATATGAAAATGAACGAAAAATATACCGAATCTCGGAACACAAGCATGTAAGCCCAGCAAATGAATTTCGACAAATTGCTAAACAAATTGAATTATACAATTCACATAACCATAAAACGAAATTGAAAGCGTTGAGACAAAACAATCAAAAGTGGGAAAAATCGAATATGTAAAGTGTCTTATACAACAACTGAAAGAAAAACCTGCGAAAACTCAACAATAACCAGCTGAAATAGGCGCAAAAAAAAGTAATTTTATATTTACATGAAAAAAAAATCTGGACTATTCAAATGAAAATCATATTTTTTTTCTCCTGAATCGAATTGGTAGCTGACAGGTTTAATACTTATAATTTAAATTTGTGGAACTGCAGCGTTTGTAATGCAATAATTTCATTTCAAACCGAAATGTGTGAACAGACCCGTCCGAAATGAATATTACACATTAATCTCGTAAAAATTCGGCTGCAGTTTCGATTTCAATACGAAACACAGTTTGAAAACTAAATTGACTAACTAAATTGAATGCGTGTGATTTTTATGCATATTTCGTCGGCGAATTATTCTGCGTATTAAGTACGTTTTCTATTGATCGTTGCACATTAGGAGCGCCAAATAACCCACATTTTTCTTTTCTTCTTTTTTATTTGTAAATATTCATTTATTTGAATGGTTTGCAACTAATGGAAAATCCTTGCTTTCAATGCATTTTTTATTACAAAACAATAAACCACATCGCTCTAATTGACAACCCACGCGCGCTAAAATATTAATAAATTCATTTATTCAGTCAATTTGCTTACTTTTAATATTCGAATCATTAAGTATTTCAGGCAAATGACATTCACAAATTTTTTTTTATTCATGTTGCTTTGTTCGATCGAGCCGATGAATTTATGTTGCACTTACAATGTCGCATATTTTGTTTTATTTCAGCGAATGCTTGCATAAAATCTTCACTTTCTTGTTGTTGGCGCGATTGCGTTATTGCACGATCAATGCATTTCAGTATAGACACCGTATTTTCCACAGCTCTCTGCACATAGGCATAGCAGCGCTAGCAAATTGAGATTAAATACAATTTCGATCGTATCAAATGTGTTTTCTGGTAAATTGGATTGACTCAAAAACGATCATCGCATCTTTTAAAATTTCGATTGAACATTTATGATATGGTCCAGGTGGCGTAAATGGCATTTTCTTGTCAAACGAATACAAAAAAAATAATCGTTTGTGATTTTCACCTGACTCGAAATTTCGAGAATCGGATTTTCTTTCTTTAAATCGCTCAATGATGATAACATTCGTGAATTCGTCATTCGAGTAAAAGGAATTACAAGCTGCGCTAAAAATAGAACATAAAAAGCGGCATTTTTGTGAATAATTTACAGCTAGAAAACCTGTTAAATCGTGGAAATGACAATCTGGACGGTCGTTGATTCGTTTATATACTTTTCTTCGGGCAAATCAATTACGTTTTTCCGAAACTTGTATATATACTTTTTTTTTCGTTTGAATGAATGTGAATGAATGATAAGTCTGATTTGAATTATTGCGATTTGAATTCCGCGAATTGATTTATTCCATATCTTCCTTTCTATTTATAGCATAGATGAAAAAATAAATCTCGAACCGCGAAACGATATGTAAAAAAGGCATAGCAAAGACAGAATCTTAGCGAAAAACAATTCAAAGTGGTCAATTAATCATAAAGCTCATTTCATCCGGATCCCAAATCGAAAAAAGCAGACACAACAAATCCATATTACATTACGATTGATGCTGAAACGATTTCAAACTAAATAGAGATTTGATAATTGTAAAGCGAACGAATTAAAATTAAGTGCTGTGTCACTTGTTCAACAATCGAAACGAAATCCAAGCAAAACAGTCTTTTTGGAAGAAAAAAAAGCCCGTTTTATCAGCTTAGTGCACAGAAAGTGTGTGTAGGCTTTTTTGCTCACTTTTTTTGCGGCGCAGCAAATAGCAAATAAAGAAGAACATATGTCAATATAATCAGAAGGATGGGAGTAGCAGATGATTTTGCTCCAAGTTTTGTGAAAAAGCCGCAACTACGGCAAGAGGATGATGGCAATCGGTTGATTTTTCAATGTGAATTATTATCAGCACCGAAGCCCGATATTGAGTGGTTTCGCAGCGATGAATTGATCGTTCAAGACGCTCGCACCACCTACAAAATTCAATCGATCGGTGAAAATAAATACAGCGTTATTTTGGACATCGATGATGTGGCCGAAACCGATGCTGGCCTGTACAAGGTCAAAGCCAAGAATACCATGGGCGAAGTAGCTGCGTCAATTAACTTAAACTTTAGTCGTAAGTATCAATATCCGCGTTATTATTTAGTTTTTTATGTTTACAATTCATCATCTAATGTGCTATGCCTCTGTTTTCATCCACTATTTGCAGCTGCTGACGAGCCAAAAGAGAGGTGAGATAGACTTTTACATTTTGATGGTATTTGAATGAAGTAATTCATGAACTGCTCGACCAGCCAATATGTGATATAATTTTCCGAAATTTATACAACGTTCACAGAGACGGATAATTATCAACCGCACATTAACGGGATGAAGAAAATCATCATTTTGAGAATATACACCAATTAACAATATGATTTTTTCTTTCGACTCGTTCGATTCTTTTTCTTCTTTGTGAACGCAGGCAAATTGATGGTGTTGCACCAACATTTGTTAAAAAGCCCGCCATTCGCCAAGAAGATGACGGCAAGCGACTGCTGTTTGAATGCCGCATAAATGCTGACCCTAAACCTGGGATTACTTGGACTCATAATGCTGTCCCAGTCCAAGAGTCGAAACGACACAAGGTTCGTACTAAAATTGGAACTTTATCAATTTCAAATTAAATTTTCATCTGATCCAAATGGCATTTTGCAAAATTCAAAAATAAGATTGGATAAAATTATAGTGAACACTGCGTATATTTTCTTCTATCTCCAAACAGCAAACGGTTGACAAGCAAGAAGGTCAATCATATTTTGCATCACTTGAAATAAATAATGTCACAGTTGAGGATGCTGGCAAATATAAAGTGACTGCAAAAAATGAATTGGGCGAAAGCAATGCAACCATCAGCCTTAATTTCGACAGTAAGTACATCGTTAGTCATTTATTATTATTTATAGCACAATTGTCCGTAAATTTGGCTTTAAATTTGTTCAATTGCACCGTAATTTTGAGTAAATATTTAGATATAATTTGCAAACGAAACACATAATCAGTAGATAAGATCAAGTTCGCAAGTAGAAAATCGTTTGTTTATTTAGTTTTTATCCGATTCCGATTACGATAGTAAATGCAAGTCTCTCTCACACACATAATTCTATATTACTATAATATTGGATTAGCTTTTAAAAAAATCCATCAAATGCTTGTTAAAAGTATTTGTACATTTTTTGCACGCCACACCTCGTACATATAGAATACTAGCATTGTTGGAATACTTAGTTCGATCAAGACTAAAATGGATAAAAAAAAAGTATTTAGCGATATATTCTGTATTTATTTGCCTCAATGCGAGATGGTTGCGTTTGTTCACTTCTCTTCTTTTCTATCTCTTCCACCTCAATTCTTTGTGCAATGTGAGGCTTTGCTGATTTTTTTTCATGGAATGTGAACCCCCTTTTGAAAATTATTTCATTCAGTCAGTCACTTCATTTGGTATGCCTCGCACATTGGATACCCTCTGTTGAAAACTATTTTGAAATTAATTGGTGTAGGGAATTACATGTATAAGCAGCGTATACAGCTCTAATATTAATCAACCAGGATGTATATGAATCAAATTTGTTTTTTTTCTGCAGTAATATACACATAAATCATCTAGTATAACCATTCGATATTACACGAATCGGCACATTTCAATCAACAACATATTGATATTTTTTTGCATTTCATATTTCGCGAATGTTTAAAACCGAACAACAAAACAATCTCACATGACCAATGTAAAGCAAACAAGAGACGTTCGAGTTGACAAATCGTATAACATCAAAAATAATTAAAATCCCATAAAAAAACGAAAAAAAATGACGAATTCAAAAAAAAAACAAAATAAAACATATGCACCGCGAAGAACGAACGCGTAATTCAGTGCTTCAATTTGCGATCGAAATGAAAGCCCAAAATTACTGTACGCAATTTCTATGCGTTCTTCTCTTGATTGCTCGACATCAATTCGAATTGTTGTATTTTATTTCGTCTAATTGTTAATTGTCAAATGACATGCTGCTAAACGATCTCCGTCTGCTCTCGGCAGAATCGGTTTGTTGACCAAAAGAGAAGAAAAAACAATTACAAAGCGAAAAAAAGAAAAGAGCAACAAAGAAATAAATAACCGAAGAAAAACCGTCGTCTTCGTCGTCGTCTGAATCTCATTTGAATGCATTGAATTCCGTAACAAGCGAATTTGTTTGCAATACTTTAGCCTCATTTTAACTGGCGCTATGCACCATTATCATTCATCAAACATATACTCCTACCAACAGAAGAAATACACACGCACGATATGAAACACTTTTTTGAATTTCCAAACGAAATGGCAAACACACATCTCTCGTTTTTTCCTCCCATTCATTTTTTCATTGAAACATAAACGAAATCTGTTATGAAAAACAAAAATCCCTTGCGAATGTTTCATCCTTCATAAATTTATATTTATTTTTCTTTTTATGTGTTAACCTGATACATTATGTGATGTTGTATTTGTTGTGGTTTTTGTTGTTGTTGTTGTTATTGTTGTCCGCATACTTAATTTATTTTTCATCTTTTTCTTTATCATCATCGTCGTCGCCACAACTTTTTTCTCAGTGGCCGCCTTTCTTTTTTATTAATTTTATTTTTACCATTTGCTTTGTTTGTTTTTGCTTTAAATTTTTTTTTCTCGCCGGCTTATGTATTTGTGAGCGTCTAAAAATATCTAATGCACATGAGACGCTTGCTTAATTTCATCGCTTTCGTTATTTTAGTTAGGATGTGAATTCTTTTTTCTGTGGTTGCTGCTGTTGCTACCGATGATTCCACCGATATTCTTTTTTTATCGGTTTTGAAGGAACGCGAAAAAAAGAAGTTTGCTCGATTACAGAAATAAGAGGAGCCGTAACTGTTTTTGTTTGGCTTCACATAGACCGGCGAATATAAAATTAGCGATGACTCTAGAGTGTTGTGCAAAAGTAGTAAGAAAACATTTCCTCCGAGAAAGTCTCTCTCTCTTTCGAGAGAGAAATTTGACGAAAAAAATAGAAAAAAAAGGATTTCTTCATCATACATAATCGAACATTTCTAGAGACACATTTGATATGTGATTTCAACATGATTGTGAGGAGAAATAAAGTGTATCCCTAATAGACCATGGCCCCAATTCTGAATCGATTCGAGTAGGGACAGATGTGTCCAGCTATCGGTGTCAGTAGCAACAAAATAGACAAAAAGCAACAAATCAAACCATAATTGTGTAATGTAATTGATTGTCTTTAGAAGTAGTTAGTAGTTGCACTCAAACAATTCCCCATTTTCATGGACTCTTTTAGTTTGTAGCAGGAATTTTGGTTTGGCGTAATCATTCGACACACGTAGGATTAGCATATTAATACGAAATATTCGTTTTTTTCTTTCTTCTTTCTGTATTAATACACATGTAAAATGACCTCCCATTAAAAACAGAAGGAGAACGTTATATTTACAAGTGAACAAGTTGTTGATATATTGATGACGATTCAGTGGGATGAAACATTTGAGCATTTCCGAAAATCATCGATTGATCGTTAAACTTAACAAATACGGACACGTGATTCGCTCTCAAAAAATAAAAAAAAATTGTGAGCGAAAATGGACGGAAAGCAGCTTAATTAGCTGAATTTTTCCAAACATATTTCATTCGCACGTAAAATTAAGCTCACCAGCTCACTTTTTTATGGCACTCTACCGAGCCGTGTAGTCCAATAAAATCAACGATTCATTCGCATAAATATTTACTCCGAATTCGAACATTTCCCAAACATTGCAATTAAACATTTGAAGCAATTATTTGTATACTCAAAATGAAATTCGCATTAAAAAAAATTGTTAATCGTTTAGGCGATGAAGCACCAGTACCCGATGATGGTATTAAGCCCACGTTCACTGAACGCCCAATTATACGTCAGAGTGATGACGGTGGAAAGACCCATTCGAAAATATTGATTGAATGTAGATGTGTTGGAGATCCAAAACCGAGCATACAATGGTAAACGATCACACCGGATATTGCACCAAATTCAATTTACATTTACAATCCGATGTTTCATCTATTTTGATTAATTCAACAAGAAACAAGAACTCCGCATACACACACATACACAACGTTGAGAATGTCTATTTTAATGTTTCATAATTGGTTCGCTATTTATGAAGAACAGCTAACAATGATTCGATAAAGATATTTCACGAACGAAATAAATAAAGTAATTAAATAATGGCTAATTTTGATGATTTTTTTAGAGACAGTTTTTTTTGTATAACTAATGAAAACGAATTTACAACTTTTCGTTCGAATTTGAGTTTGATCGTAACATTGCAAAATATCTCTTCTTATGGTTCGAACTGTAAATGTTGATCGAATTTGGTGTGATTGTATGCATAAAGCAAAAAAGCACTTGTAAGGAATCAATGAATGAACTGTGTCGTTTATTGCCCATTTTTTATGTTTCGTTCTGAATGTGAATACGATTTCGAATGCAAAGGTTTCATGGAAAGGAAGAGATAAAAGCTGGAGGTCGCTATACTATTACGTTAGAAGAAGATCAAAAACTGTATCATATGGCACGATTGGAGATCTCAAAGGTTATCACGGGTGATAAGGGCGAATACCGTGCTATCGCACGAAACAAGCATGGTGAAGGCGTAGCAACGATTAATCTGAATTTCGAGGGCAACGGAAAGCCAAAGTACACACTTGTCTTTTATTTATCTTCTCTTTTTGCCCCTCTTTCTACTGAAATCGATCGACTAACCGATAACTTTTTTCTTCTTCTTCTTGTTCTTGTTGAATTGATAAATTTTTTTTGCCGCAATGATCACAAAAGAATTTCGGATGGTAAATCGCCACGCTTTCCAAAAAAGCCGACAATTCGCCAAGAACAAGATGTCTTGATCATGGAATGTCAACTAGAAGCAAATCCTCTGGGTGATGTTACTTGGTATCAAGGCGAAAAGTCGGTGGTTGGTTCGAATAGAATCAAAATGTCACGAAAAGCCACATCAAAAGACACGTACATTTTAACATTGGAAATTTTGAATCCAACCCGCGAAGACGGTGGCAATTATCGATGCAATGCATTTAATCCATATGGTGAAAGTAATGCGAATATCGCTCTCAATTTCCAAGGTACTGAATTCCTTCAATTCGTGTTCGAAATCAATCGACTTTTGGGCTCACTTGTGCCTCACTTGCTATGGCTTTTACACTAGAATACTTTACAGTTTTAGCTATTTCCATTCCATTAAATCGTTTCGCATTTCGCTTCTGTTTATTACCTAGTAACTAAAAGCGACTAGAGAAACAAACAAACAAACAAAACACATATCACAAATTCAAGTCAAAACCAAAAACAAGATATCACGATAATCACAAAATCACAGATTTTCTTAACACTCTCTGTCCTCAGCACATTTTATGTTGTTCAAAATAACTTTTGTGTACGTTCCATCGGTGGTGTATGAAGACTATTGCGAGGCAGTCAGGCCTTGTGTAGTGGTTCATGTTTGTGTTCAAATCGGTCTATTTAATTAGAAAGCCTTTTTTTCTAAATCGCGTTGAGCTTCGTTCCGTGCTTCTTTATTATTCATAGAAAGTGCATATTCATCAAAGAATAAATGATGTACTAGCGATGCTGCTGCTGATGATGATGATGATAATGATGGCGATACCAATGATGAAGAAGAAAATTGAAACGATTTAATATCGAATGGTTATACTACTGTTGAGCTGATTTTTTTTTAAATCTTGTGTAGCAATAGCGAGGCGGCTGGGTAGTCTGGTCTTTTGAATATTTTTTCTCTTTTCACATACAAATATTTGCGAATTGAAAAGTGATGGTTTTTTTTCTTTGATAATAAAGGTGGCGAAGATCCAAATGGATTCGCACCATCGTTTGTTGAGAAGCCTCGTATTATTCCAAACGAGGCCGGTACACTCATTACTATGAAATGCCGTTGCAAATCTAAACCAGCTGCCGTGGTTACTTGGTATCGCGAGAAGGATGTGGTTAAGGAAACATCAAAGATTAAGATCAAGTCAACATCCACCGAAGAGGATATTTATGAACTGGTGCTTGAGATCAAGGTAAAATCAAATGGGCAGTTTTTTTTTTAAATTTTGTTTTATCGTTTCTAACCATGTATTCATTGTATTCGATTGTTTAATTGGCAATAGGATCCAGGCACATCAGACGGTGGTACCTATCGTTGTCACGTGAAAAATGAGTTCGGTGAAAGCAATGCCAATTTGAATTTGAACATTGAGGGTGAGTTTTAATATAAATTTAATTTGAATTGTGTTGCATTAATTCCAAATGGGTTACAATTTTAACATTGAAGCCGAACCAGAGCCAGAAGGCGAGGGACCAACATTTGTCGAAAAGCCACGCATATTGTCGCGTGATAACGGCAAATTGGTGATCATGGAAGCAAAAGTCAAGGCAAATCCAGGTCCGGAAATCACATGGACCAAAGGGGGCCAAATCATTACGGAGACCAGCCAAATCAAATTGTACATGGAACAAAGAGAAGACATTTACGAGATTCGCTTGGAATTGTCCGAGCCAAATCTTGAAGATTCTGGATTGTACAAATGTAACATCAAGAATGCTTTGGGCGAACTTAATGCCAATTTGACATTGAACATTGAGAGTGAGTTTTGATATAAATTTAATTTGAATTGATTCCAAATGGTTTGCATTGAAATTATAGTTGTGCCGGTGATCAAGGACAGACCGAGGATCATCAAGATCATCAAAAAGAAAACCGTTGTCATTGAGTGCATGGTGGTCAGCAAATTTGCACCAAAATGTACATGGTTCAAGGAGAAGAATGAAGTGGCCGAAGGCAAACGTCATAAGGTCGAGGTGAAACAAGTCAAAGAAGGCGAATTCGCTGTTCAATTGGAAATCACTGAGATAAATGATGCCGACAAGGGCTCATACCAAATGATTGCTAAGAACGAAAAGGGTGAAGCTGTTTCGCAAACTGTGGAATTGATCGATATTCCAGAAGCAGAGGATGAGGAAAAACCAGCCGTGCCCGAAATTAAGAAGCGTTTGCGTGACGAGACCATCGAAGAAACTCGCTCACTTGAGTTGAACGTCGAACTGAAGAAAACATTGAAAAAGACCAAAGTCATTTGGTACGATATCTGATCTCTTACGTACATTCGATGTTTTCCAATATTCCAAAATTCCAATTAATTTATAAACGTTGATAATTTAGGTACAAAGATTCGACAATCATCAGGGAGTCAGAGCATATTCGACAATCATTCGATGGCAAGTCAGCCACACTTCGTATTTCAAGATGCAAGCGGAACGAACACTCTGGTACATACAAATGCGTTATCAAAAACGACAGCGGTATGGATGAGTGTTCGGCAACTGTAACCGTGAAAAAGGTCGAAGACAAGAAGAAGAAGAAGGAAGAAGAAAATGTTGAAGAGACCATCGAAGTGGAGGAAGAGGAAGAAGAGGAAAATCTGGAAGAAACAAAGGGACCATTCGATGTTAAGCTCAAAAAGGCTAAACAAAACAAAAAGGTCATCTCAGTAAGTTCTCAATGGCAAACATTTGAAAGATATGTAACTAATCGTAATTTTGGAGTATAAAGAAACATTTTTGAAATTTCTTGTGTTAAATTCGTTGTGGAACAATTCCCCGACAATTATTTTTTGTGTAAACCTTTTTTGTGACTAATTCCTGTGCAATTTCATTCATAAATGAAGGAGGATGAAGAAATGAGGGAGGAAGTTGTCGAAGAAGAGGTTAAGAAGGCAGAAGAGCCCACCAAACGAAAGGTAAGTCTCTTGTTACTATTTATTACCAAATTTTGGTATTTAACCAAAGCACCTTGTAAATAATTCTCACGTTATACCTATATAAAACTATTACCCAAAACTTCCTTATGTAACACTTACCACATCAACACATACGCTATCTGTCATAAAACAAAATCGCGGCTTAGATCGACGAAGTTGGCTCAGCTGATGAAGAATCTGAGAAAGCGCCAGTCGCTGATAAGAAGCCGAAGCCAAAGGAAAAGAAAATTAGCGCTGTCAAATTGGTTGACGAAGAGGAAACCGTCACCGAGAAGAAGCCAAAAGAAAAGTATGCTGAACCAGAAGAGCAGAAAATTGACGAAGAAAAGCCAAAAGCTAAAAAGACAACTGAAGTCAAACGAAAATCAATTGGCGAGAAGAAGCCAAAGAAGGCCGAAGAGCCTGTTGAATCCATTGATGAACCAGATCATATTCAAGTTGATACTGTCAATGAAGATGATTTGAAACCGGCTTCAAAGCCATCATCGCGTCGTGGATCGAAAAAGGAAAAATCCCCCGAAAAGATCACGCCATCGATCGAGGTATACGTCAATATTACAAAGCAAACATGAGCTTCGCTTGATCTCTCTCCGCTTACACTGCCAAAATTTACACATAACACCACTCAGATGCAGAAAAAGAATTAATAATAAAGGAAAACTAAAATTTGTGGCTAATTTATTCATGTTTTATGTTGAAAAAAAAAATCATTTTTAGGAAGCTGCCGAGGAGGCGAAACCAAAGGCAAAGGTTACCAAAAAGAAAGAACCAGCCGAAGTAAGTAAACATTCTCCATTTATGTGCCATATATGTATATATTTGTCATCTCCAATATACCTGAGTTAATTTGTGTTGAAATTTAAAGGAAGCTAAGCCTGAATCAAAGATCGAAAATGGTGTTGTTGAACCCAAAACCGAACCAGAGGTAATTTATTTTAATGATTTACAGCATAAACACCACCAAGTGTATTCAAAATATCACATTAATAACACCATCGATTTCTGATCATTATATTTTTTCTTTTCAAATTGTAGCGTATGGAATTAGAGAAGGTTGATCTTAAGCATTTTGTGGTAAGTCTTATATTGATTTTGGAAAAAATATTTTTTTTCGAGTTTCGAAAATAGTTTAGCACACTTCAATGGGTTTGACACAACTTATTTGATTGGTCGATGACGGAGTCATCAAGATCGGAGCTTTTTGAACACTATATTTGTTTATGTGTGAATAACAAAATCCCAACATTCTATGTAGTACATTCGTCATTTTTGTGTAAACACATATACATTAGGATGAAGCCAAGGATGAAACCGAAAAAGTTGATAGTCGTCGCACTTCTGTAGCCACTGACAAAGACGACAGCAGTCGTCGTTCGTCTGTTTCCAAGGACGAAAAGCCGGGAAGTCGACGTGAATCGGTCGCTGAAAAGCTTTCTAAAAAGGTACGTTTTCCCTTCAATTTGTATTCCATTCCCAATTGTTTGTACTGTATTTGTTAGTATACAAGTTATTCAAAGCCTCTTGTAAAATAGTCAATTGAGTTTTACGAGGGAAAAACATTGTTAAGCAATTTCATCATCGTATAAATGGCATTTGAGTTTAGGTGGGTGAACCAGACTTCAGTGTTGTTGAAAAACGTCCGTTATTAAAACCGCTTGATCAAAGCCGCCGTGCCTCAATTAAGGTAAAGTTAGCGCATTTCATGTGCCAATTGTCATATTCTATCGATGTCGTCTATGTGATTTATGTTCTGCGTCAATTGCTATTGTCTATGCGTCTATCTCGCCGCTCAGCGTGAATGCTTTTCATTTTGATGTCTCGCTTATTGTCTTTGTGTTCGATCAATGTTTTCATCTTGAATATTTGCAGAACTGTATTGTTGACCGACCATGGTTGGTTGACAAACATCATCGAATTTCGATCGAATTTAGCTTTTTGTGCCTATATCAATGTGTCAATGTTAAAATCGTAACGCTTTTTGTACACTGCACTAACTTTAAATGTAAACAGAACCAATCTAATTTCACGAATAACTTACGCACAACAACACTGTAGAAACCCGAAGTTGTTCAGCCAGTTGAAGAATTGCCAAAATTGAAAAAAGTAATAAAACCGAAAGAAGAACCGAAAAAGGAAGAGGTTAAACGTACCAAAGTCAAGGTACCAAAGGCCAAGAAGTACGAAGACTTGCCTGAAATTCCTGACTACGAACGCCCCGAATTGGAAGTCTATGAAGAGTCAGAATTCGATCCAAGCAAAGCAACAAAGGCTGGTGAACTACCAACTAAAAAATCCGAAACGCCCGTCGAAAGCACGGCTGAAGCCACTGAAGCAACCAAAAATGGATTGTCAAAGGTTAGTTGGTTGTTTTTTTCTTCTTCTATTGTTTCATACATACATTGTATATGAATAATCTGATCACTGGGCTATTGTCATTGATTTATGGGCACCGATTTGTATCTTATGGATTTTGTTTTGTGGTAATATTTTTAATATACATTGAATATTATGATGAATGTGTAGAAAGAAGAAGCTCCTCTTGCCGTTGATGCCAAAAAAGGCCTTACTTTGGGTAAGGGTAAATTGCCTGAAGAAGGACCAGAACAAGCAAAACCAACGTTGAAGCCACCAATGCTCATAACTCCAGAGGTAGTAAACATTTTTGTGGATCTTTTTTTTCTTTTGTAAATGACACGCTTCGTATTACAATGCACCGTTTATAATTTGTTTCATTTTTTGTGATATTTTCTCAACTTGCACTTTGGTTCGTATGTAATGCGTGATGTCGCATAATCAGGATGACAAAGTCGAAGTAAAAAAGGCAAGTATATATTTTCCGTGTTATTGTGTGTTTTGTTTCATGTTATTCGTTCACATACGTATTCTACATGTTATATGCACATAAATTAGTCCGAAGCTCAAAAAACAATATTTTCAATCAATTTTGTGTGACACATTTTTCGAGAAAAAAAGTAACATGTTTCATGATAATGATGTTATTTTTTTTTATTTGAATATTTCATATGATCTTGTAAATGCATACACACATATTTATTTCATGATTTTGTGCACATGCAAATTCAATTGCCTATTGCACATTGCAAATGCGCGCGCACACCGCACACCGCACATACAAACACACATGCATATCCTACCCCTAAAATCCCTTGCAATTAACCAAAACAACACCCATACCATACAGGCCAAAGAAGAAGCTCCGATCGACCAACCACGAAGACTGAGTTTGCGTCGACCATCACAACTCAAGCGAGAAGTCATTGAAAATGAAAGTTTTATCGATATTCAATTGAAACCTGTGGCTAAAGATAAAGCTACACCACAAAAAGCCGAGCAAAAAGAAAGCTCATTGACCAAGGTAACGCGAAATTGAGCCAACTCTTTTTTTTTCCTCTGTCTATCTCTCTGGCTCACGCTTATCCATTATGTCTATTGCCGTAGATTTTTTGTTGTTATTGTTGTGGCAAAATTCTATCCGTATTCAAATTCTAAAAGCTGAAAATTTTTCTGATTTTTCTACTATCTCTAATTCAATCGTCTGACTTATTTCTCTTACGGAACTATGCTCTTTATTTATCGCTTGCATCGTACACTATTCTCTTCAAGTTTTACCTTCCGTTTTTTCTCTCTCTTTTTTAACACATTTTTTTTGTTATTTCATTTGGTTTCGTTTTGTACATATAATTTTTTTTTTGCTTTTAAACCTCTTACGAATCATTTTGATGGCATTATACTTGGAACATAAAACCCAAAAACCGACTAAATTGAACATTTGAACGGAAAATGGTTTCGACAATGTGGTGACTGTCACAGATGCAATGTCGCACTTGTTGAGAACATCTTTCTTTCTTTGTTTATCTCTATTTCTGAATTATTCGTTGGATCTTTGCTTATAAAATTACTATATATGCGTGAGGTTGCCATGACCAATATTATTAAAATTGCATATTCATATACAATTTAGAGAGGAAAAAAAAAACAAAAGAATTTCTTGACAAAAATCCGTGCCAAATTTTATTGCGATTGCTTTTTGTGTGAATTGTTTCAATGCATCCTAACAGTTACAGGTGTTTAAAATGGTTCTCCTTCGAACAAACCCGAAAGCATCAGACACGCATTCTTCTAACATTTCGGCCTCTTTGGTGTGGACACTTTTGAAGGCAATACAATTTTTTGTTACTTTTTTTCTTATGCTATCGTTGTTCATGTTCTTGTTGTTGTTCGAATTTTCTTGAATTATCGTGGCAACCGATCGTTCTATTGCTGACGTTTCTTAGATCATTTGATTTGATCAAATTTTTCTTCTATTTTGCTTATTTTCTCTTTCCACGTCTACTTCTTGATCTTACATTATCTATCTGTCTATTTATCTATCTATTTTCTCGAAACTTTTCTACGTTTGCAGTGTGACGAGTTTTAACTGGGTTTTGCAAAACACAAATACGGCTTTGTTCTAATTGTTTCCCATTTTTTTCCATCCGCAATTTGAATATACAGCAAAAGGCAACATTAAAATCACTCGAGCCAAATCAAGCAAAGCAGACAAGGCTGGCTGGACCAAGACACGCCGATATGCCTGATATCGACGATTACGAAAGACCCGAATTGGAGAAATTCGAAAAGCCCGAATTCGATAAATCAAAGAAGGTAAGACTTTTCCATATGAAATCTCACTTTTTTTATGTTGATTCAACGGTGAAAACCAATCAGAAGCGTCGAAAGAAAAACGTGCGCGTCTACCACCCGAAAAAAAATACACAGAAAACGAGCGACTTGCATTGGCATCAGGCTTCGGGCACCTATTTCTTTTAATGTGAATATTGTGACCATAACAAAGTAATAAATCTAGTTTGTCGTAGTCGTTATACTGTGCATGTATTAAGTCGCTCATTAGACTCGGTGTTTTTTTTATTAACGACAATCTGGCTTGAAGAGTCGAGCACGACTGAAAAAAAATTTGTGCGCCAAGCGATCAGAATGAAAACGGCCAAAAAATGCAAATAGATCCAAATGAAGTGTAATATCCCATCACTGCTATGACAGCAACCCATTTTAACGTTTTGTGAACATCAACAATGAATGCAATGTGAATTCGAGCGAATCGCATATTTTTGCGTGCCCGTGAGATTTGACTGGTTTGACTGACGAGCGTGCTCGAATAACGGACGGCATACAACTGAGTTAACGGCGATTCGCTTACAAATGGCCAAATGGTCTATACGTCCAACTGTAACTTTGTAGGTACTACATGAGAAGAATCGACACCAATAATTTTACCTACTATTTGAAGTGACGATTGCCCGGTCATTTTTGCTTGTGCTGTTTTCTTCCCACAAATGTAAATGATCTCATGGTACTTCTAAGCTGCTCTCTCGAACGTTTGTCATAATCGTTCGGTATTTGAAATACTACACACACAAAAAATAGTTTCTGTACAGTTGTTGTCGTCATAAAACAACATCGACGCAGAGTATAAGAAATTGTTGTATTCAGTTTATCGAATAATTTTGATCTTTCATGAATTTAAACAAACACCATTCGAACCAGCAACCTTCAGCTGAAATGAGGATAGTGGCAACCAACAATCGCAATAATGTGATCAATTGAAGATCACCTGGCAATCATTTGAAAAATCTTAATTAAAATTACTATGGCAATAATATGTTGTATGATAACGTCATTCACATTCATGTTTTCGCATAATGATTTTGTGAAAATGCGCCGAAAATTATAATAGATCTGCGCCAACAAAGGCCACGATCATCGGCCATTAAGAACCACAAATAGGTTGAACAACAACAACAACAAAAATTCAACAATTAAATCCTTTTTAATCAATTAGACTTTTAATTTAACTCTATGAATTCATAACATTTAGATTGTCTAGTAAAAATGAGGATTGTTCAATTTCATAATTTTTTTTTATTCTCTGTTATTGCGATTTGTTTTTCTCTGTTCACCAAATCTTAACCGTGTCACACTATGCTCATGAATCGGCTATATTTCCAATTTCATAACTTTTGTCTACACCGTTTTGTTTCTCATCTTTATTGTTTGCACATTTCAAACACATGCAGGTTTTGTCATACTGATATTCCTCAAGTGCTGAAAAGTAGTCTAAAGTCTAAAGTTTTCTAAATAAAAGCAAAACGCACACGTAATGAGAGAGACTACCGCAAGGAAGGGACGTCGGAAAATATGTTGAAATTCAGTAGAAAGCAACCATGTGAACGTTTGTATCATATCCAAGTATTGAATTGCCTCTTATACAGCAAAAGAAAAAAGATATTTGCACTTGGTGATGGTATAACTTGTCAGTACACAATTATTATGGTTTGTATACGTGCGCTAATACATGAAGTGCTCAAGTGAGTGAGTTCACAGAGATGATCTGTTATGAAATCGTTGTATAGACTTCAATATTTTCGGTTGACTCCTTATTGCTTGAGATTGTATGGACGATATTTTGCCTTCAGTGCGTTTTTTTCTCTCCTTTACATTTTTCACATTTTTTCTTAAATTTAAGAGACGAGAAAAAGCAACGAGCGACTCAAACGCGTATCATAAAGTTCAATTTTGATTGATTTTTTGGTGTACATATCACATACATCATACACAATAGATGATCTGCGTGAAGACAAATGCAAACAAAAAAAATATCGTGACTAAGAATAGGAAACGATCTGCACACCGACGAAATAACACCTTGCTCGCACTCGCACTCTCACTCTCATTTACTGCATATTTGTCTGTTCGCCCGCCTCATGTAATTACTTGAAAAAGAACAGGCAAATCGACAAAAAAATGGTGATAAATTAAGAAGTAATACCGAAAAGCAAAAAAAAACAAACAAAAATAACAAGCCTAAACGGTTACAACAACATCAACGTCTTTGTACAATCATGGGCCGCCAAAATATTTGTGTGATCTAAATTATTGTGATTTTTTTCTTTTGGTGTTGCGATTTAACGAGAGTGTGTAAATCTCGTATGCTCTTCACATATTTTAGAATCCCAAGTGTCGTACAGCAGGAGCCAGTAGTTCTTCTGGTTCTAAATCATTTTTTTCTTTGCCAGTCAGTCAGTCAGTCAGTTGGTTGGTTGGTTGGTTGGTTGAACGTGTCGTTTCGCATGGACTCACAAACCGATTTGACTAGACGGGTATCATTTCATTCGTTCTTTTGTGCTTCAATTTACGTAACAACATTCATTTCCACAGTGCGCACAAAATTCGTAACCTAATGTATAGCTACGATAATTATGATATTTTTTCCAATTAATTGGTATATTTTAAGAGACGCCCAAGTGAAAATAGCCAATCAATTTAAAGACGTTTAGAATCTTAACTTTCATTTCGTTTTAGTATATCGAAGAAAACCACTGATTGTGATTATAAACAACAATTTAAGCAAAGTGCCAATTGGAAATGTTGTTCATTTTACTTGTTAACTCATGTTCAAAATGTTGACTTATTAAAAGATTGCGTCAGAAATTGTATTTTAAGCAACAAGAGAAAAAAAAACAAATCAATTCAGTTCATAGAATAAGAATAAATTAAAAATGGTTAGTGGTTTCTGATTGGTTTTTATTGTTATCAATACTCAAAAAAAACGAACTGAGATCAAATGATATAGCTATGGCAAAATATATGGTTTAACGGTATTGATATTCAACAGGATATTCCAGCGGTTAAAGTGCCAGAAATCAATGCGCCCGAAATTCGAGCGCCGGAAGCACCAAAGATTGAGGTGATTCGTGAGAAGAGTCCGTTCGGTGAGCGTAAGAGTTCATTGGCACCTGGGTCTGGCTCATCAAGTCGACGTGGTTCATTGATTCCACCAGAAGAGCCAGGACGTCGACCAAGTTTAATCATTAGCGACGAGGTTCGTACCTTTATCCATATCTACATATTTTTGTTGGTCAGAAAGTAGTCTCAACGGTGGTTTATTGTACTTGTGATTTTATTTTGCAAACGAGAACAAATCACAATGTCCGCAATCAATTTTGCGCAAATTTTCATCAATGGAATTGACGTAGATTGTTAACCACGTGGTTCCAAAGCTTTTCATTGAACGAAAACGACAATGTTTGTTCAAAAAAAAAATCGATGTATTATTGTGTTATTTTTTTGTCTTTGGTCCAAGAATCGGGTTTTTGTGAGAGAAAAAAACACATTGTTTTGCTGTTCGTTTCGTTCACAAAACTCTGGCCCAACGTGTATTCTAATTCTAACCGAAATATATATATATATATATATGGCTTAAGAGTAAGGCACTTGGTAGATGATCTTGTGTATGTTACAACAGCGCTGTTGAACATTTTTATATTGTTCTAATTTTAAAACGAAAATGTTGGCACAACCGTAGCCATCATATTCTCACATCCTCATTCGTATGATTTTTATGAGTTGTTTTTCAAATTCGGTTAGTAGCTTAGTAGTTTCACACATTCTATTTCACGCACAAAGAATAGGATTTCATATTCGTTTGCATATACACACACGATGAATAGTTGTTTTTTTCTTACGTTTGTTTGAAATTCATTTTAATCTATTTTTGTACCCTAAGAAATATGATTTACCAGTAGATTAGATCAACTCATAGGATTTGTATTACAATTTTTTCTCTCCTGCTGTTGTTATTGTTGCTATTAATTTGAACGACCAAAACAAATTTTCAACAGTATGTGAATGTTCATTAGACGAACAAACTCCAATTTCGAACACACACAATTCAAATCGATTTACACGAAATGCATTTGCGAAAACATAGCGAATAGAATAATCAAAAAAGATTTTTTTTTTGTTTTCAAATTTATTAATTTTTTTTTTCCCCGGAAATTTATGGAAATCTTCCCCTCCCCCAATTTTGCACATCAAAAAAAAAACAACAAAATCATCAAAAAACACACACCAAAAATATCACGTGCATGCAAAATATGCAATACACATGGAAAACATGAAAAAAAAACCAAAATCCAAATCCAAATCCAAATCTGCACACACACGTTCCCAACAATCAACACGTACACAAATACACAACCAAAATACACACATGCACACAACAAACACAAACAATAGGATCATAGAAAACTCCGTCCTGGTGAAGTGGTCGAAGAGAAAAAGGTATGACATTTACTCCGCATAAACACATCAACATATGGAAAAAAAGCCCATTGAAATCATTAATACACACAAAAACACACAGATAAAAACGATCTATCTATTTTGCCAATTTACACATTAACACTGCATTTATACATACACACATTTCTTCTTCTTCTTCTTCCTTTTCTTCTACTTTATTTCTTCATTTGTTCTGCGGCTCTATCTTTCTATCTTGCGCCACGATCTATCTAGCTATTCGCTATTTCACTTGAAACTACAAATTAATTGGTTTTTCCTCACGAAAATTTGATTTTCTATCAATACATAATGCCGAGGGTTTGAGGGACAATGAGGTCTAAGCTTAGAAATTAATCGTTTCTCTTTTGGATTTGCATTGAATAACCGTATTTTTTCTTCTGCTTCATGCTCATCTGTTGCCTTTCATCGGCTTGTGCTCCTTTACACTTGCCAAAATGCAACATTAACCTTCTTTACAGTTAAGATTAAGACCCGGTGAGGTATATGATGAAAACCAGGTGAGAGCAAAGATTTTTGCCTTTCTGCTCCCAAAATACGTAAACAAACCAAAATTGCCAACAAACAAACAAACAAACGAACAAAAACAAATCGATATCAAATTCGAAATTATTATTTCTACTTCTATCATTCTTGCTATCGCTATATCCAAGAAACAAAAATTTATTCTGTTTAACAAAGGAATTCACGACTATTGGTTTGCCCTTCTTCTCTACTATTCTTCTTCTTCTTCTTTACTTCTATCTGCCCTTTTGAAAACACACAATATACACTAGTTGCGATGGTAAATTGTTTGGAAAACAAAGAAATGATTGAGACGATCACAATAGCAAAATAGAATATCTTCTAGGAGTATATTTTTCAGGATGATTTGATTTTAGTATAAGTTTAGAAAAAAACATAAATTACAAATAATTATTATGAAATTTCATTTTTAAACTGTATTATTCGTATAAATGCACACACAAATTTGTCGAGTAGAAAAAAGGGAATCGACCTGGAGAAGTGGACGGTTCAAAAACGGTAAATGGCTGTTCTCGATTATTAAAAATGATTTTCAAGGCTTTTTTTTCTCTCGTGCACACACACACACACAGAGACTTGGCATTCAGCCGATGTGATCAGCGTTTAATTCAAAATTTCTATTAAAAAGAAGCAAATTCGGTGGCGAATTCAAGTCTTGTGTTTATTTTCCATTGAATTTTGTTAATATAAAGTTTTTCTTATTCCCATTTTTTTCGAATACCTCAAATAAGTCGTTTGAGGTCCAAATGTATTTATTTCATATGGCCATCGTTGTAAATAGCTTTTTATTTTGTATGTATACAAATTGCGGTCACAGCAAACATCAAACAAAACAATAAAAATCCTTCTTGTACATATATACAATACAATACAATAGAAAAGAAACGCGGAGATGTTGAAGAAAAATAATATTAGGTTCGATCAACATGCTCCAGACATTGCTACATCCCAACACAACCGAAACTTTCATTTGGGCATAAGTTGTTTCGAAAGTCACACGTATACATGTGATATTCGTTTCTTGTTTATGCAAACTATATTCTGACTAATGATTTTCGTTCTCGTGTTTTTTTTTTGTTAGACTCTATGTTGTCATGTGTTTAGAATAGAATTTTTAAAAAAAGTTCAAGTCATTGGAATGTACATATATATATTAGAAAAAATAACGAACAAAATGTAGATGTAGGAAAATGTTATTCATGATTCAACAGAAAACACGTTACATAACATGCTTCCGGTATTTTTCTTACTTTCTTTATTTTCTTCATTCTCGAGGTAAACAACTGAAAGGAAAAATATTAATGTGAAGCATACCCAATATCTGTATAGCATTTGCTTACAAACTTTTCTAAGCTTTCTAACTAATTTTTCATTTCTCTGACTAACACCTATTTCTATTCTTGTCTTCAAATCTATGTTCATCATAAATTTAACATATTGATAAGTACAAAAAGCTTCTGGTTTCGATTTACATCTTTCTTATAACTTTTCTACTTCTATTTTCTCTGTCTTCTTTATAAAAACAAATGCCATTTTGCTTTTGTTCTGTATCTATTTTTCCTATAAACCATTTATTTCTATCATTCCCAACCGACATCTAATCCGAAATATGTGTTTTATCTTACCATTTTCTTCGTGTTTGGTACAATACCATTGTTATTAATCAAAGCAGAGACGTCGTCCGTCGGTTGATTTACGACGGCCAAGCGTACAAGATCTCGAAGACAAGATCAATCAACCATCGACACCATTGCGAGATATCGGCGAAGTGGGACCACCACAAATCGTTGACGTACAGGAAAGCTATTCAGCTGTTGAAGGTTTGTATTTCATTTCAAACTGTTCTAAACACACATCATTGTATGTTGTACATGGTTTTGTGACTAACAAAATATCGAAAACGTATTTGTTCAGATTCAACTGGATACATCAGTGTGCAAGTTGAAGGTATTCCAGCGCCGACATTCAAATTCTACAAAGGTGTTACCGAGATCATCGAAGGTGGTCGCTTCAAGTTCCTCACTGATGGCGAATCCAATACAATCACACTTTGCATGCGCAAATGCAAACCAAACGACGAAGGCAAATATAAAATCGTCATTTCAAACATTCACGGCGAAGATTCAGCCGAAATGCAAATGTATGTATCGGATTCGAGTGGCATGGACTTCCGTGCTATGTTGAAGAAACGCAAGTACGCCAAATGGGGACAGGACAAGGGAGACCCAGATTGGGGCGATTTGAAAGAGGTTGAAAAACCATTGCCAGCATTGAAGAAGGTCGAAAGGGTAAGGTTTAACGTATTTTCCACTTTTAACAACAAAAAAAAACGAAAAAAAAGAAACAAAACACTAACCATTTCATTGATATATATGTATGTTACGTATATTGTATGTGTCCGTGAATAAATGCACTTAAATGTTCAAGTATTTTAAAATAGAAATGCAATACAGTCAGCTGTCATATGACGCGTGCACTGTGTTGAAACATTCCCGTATAATTGTTGTTGTGAAATGTATGTGTTTTTCATACTGAATTATGACTGATTTATAGGGTGGTGGATCAAGACGTCCATCGTTAGCCGAACTGATACCAGACTGGCCTACATTACATCCATTCCATCGTACGGAGGTGGTTTTTACAAGTCTCGATCTCGAGTTCAATGTCAATCGGCACGGCGTGTACCGTGATATCGTGTCGATAAATTATGCCTTATATCTACTCTCCTTTTTATCTATCTCTCACTGTCATTGTCACTGTCTCTGTCTCTGTCTCTGTCTTTATTCCTTCTTATTCTTTTTTGAACGTTTCCCTTCATTCTACTTTCGTGGTTGTTGTGTAATTTCTTTTTCACTTTCTTCACATCACTACTATCATCTTCACTATCTTTTTTCCGTTGAAAACTCAAATCGAATTTTGGTTTTTCTTTTTCGATTTTTATCAAATTTTGTCAAGTTTCTGGTGAGGAATTTTTGTCTGCAATTCATTTGGTTTTTGTCTCTCAATCTCTAGAGAGATAGAATTTGAAGTTTGGTTTTTCTATGAACATTTTCACCAATTAGTTCGGTATTTTGATTTTCAATTTTTGCTCATCAAATTTTTCTTTCTGAAGATTTTCATCATTTTCAGCAAGATTCATCTCAATGCAGTTCTTTTTCTGAATGGCATATGAAACCATTGTTTTATTTGAATTGGAAAATAATATTTTATATTGACACTTTTGAATTCGGAACAGAAAGCAGACAGCTTCTTGACCCCACTTCTTGATCAAATTGCAAAGGAAGGAAAAGACAAAAAGGTCGTGTTCGAGGCAAAATTTTCGAAAGCAAATGCCAAACCGAAGTGGTTCTGTCGCAAGGACGTATGTATCAAGTGCCGATCGTATCATTTAGTTTAAAATAGATGTTAACGTTAAATTTTTACCATCGTAGGAACTATTCACCGGTTCGAAGTACAAGTTCAAGAACGATGGCGATACTTACCAGTTGATCGTTATGAATCCAAAAGTGGAGGATACCGCAAAATACACAATCGATATCGGTGGTATTCAATCAGCTGCTTTCTTGAATGTCGAAGAACCAGATCCAACATACACATTCACCAAGCCATTGAAAAAGAAGCACGATGGATTCACCAAGCACGAATTGACCATGGAATGTACAGTCAGCAGCTCAATGGCCAATGTGGCATGGTACAAAGGTGATAAGAAACTGTCCAACGACGATAAATATTTGATCGGCAAAGAATTGTCCGGTGTTTGCAAATTGCAAATTCGAAATTGTGATTTGGACGATACTGGTGACTATCGATGCCAACTCGAAAGACAACCCGATAAAACTGAAACAAAAGTTCAAGTTGTCGGTAAGTAGCGCATGTAAATGATAAAAAAGAGAGTTTAATTTGTTCTAATGAACATATATAATTATTTCTTTATCCACGTAGAATATCCATACAAATTCGTTAAGGTGCTCAAGTCACAGCAACTCATTGAGAAAGATAATGTTACATTGGCTTGTGAGTTGGACGATGCAGGTGGTGAGGTAACATGGTTCAAGGATGGTGAAGAGATCAAACCAGAAGATTCGAAGCGTGTTCAAGCCGTTAAAGACGGTCGCAAACGCAAGCTTGTCATCAAGGATGCCAAAGTTTCGGACGCTGGTCAATACTCTTGTGTCAGTAATGCTGATAAAACACAAGCTGAACTTGTTATCAATTATCTAAATAAGTTCAACAAAAAACTCAAGGACACAGTGGCTGTTGAGCGCGAGAAGTTGGTGCTGGAAATTGAATTGCAAGATCAAACTGCACCAGCCGATTGGAAGTTCAATGGCGAACCCATTGTGCCAAGCGAGCGCGTTGAAATCAAGAATCTGGGTGGGGGAAAACATCAATTGGTCTTCAATAACTTGGAGATGGCCGATGATGGTGAAATTTCCGTTGATTCAGGAAAATTGAGCTCATCCTGTAAACTCACCGTTCAAAAGGGTGAAAGCAAACCTCAAATCAATGCTCCAAGCGATTTCGAAGGACCAATCAGTGCACCAATTGTCATTGAAGTGCCATTCAAAAGTAAGTTCGTTGTAACGGTGGTTTATCAATCATTTGATTTATTCTAGCATATTCTAATGCAAATGATTTTTCCATAGTTGACGGCACAAAACAAACTCCTGTCGAAGCGAAATTGCTTAAGGATGGAAAACCATTGCCATCCAAAGATGTTGAGGTACAAGTTAAGGATAACAAGGTTATTTTCAAGATCAAGAAGCCAACCCGCGATCAATCTGGTGCATACCAACTCAAATTGTCGAACGGTCAAGGTGAAGATGTGAAAGATGTCAATATTACCATGCAAGACGTTCCAAACGCACCAGAAGATGTCGATGTGCATGACGTGTTTGAAAAATCATGCGTTGTCGACTGGAAAGCACCGAAAGAAGATGGTGGTGCTCCAATCCAGAAATATATTATCGAACGCCAAGATTTGTCGCTGAAAAAGGGCTGGGATAATGTCGGTGAAGTGCCAGCTGGCAAACCAACTACATTCAAGGTTGAAGATCTTACACCAAAGAAAACATACAAATTCCGCATTCGTGCCGTTAACAAAATCGGACCCAGCGAACCAGCCACATTCAAGAACAATGTTTTGGCTAAAGATCCATGGGATGAGCCAGGCAAACCGAAGAATGTTGATGTTACTGACTGGGATAAAGATCATGCTGACATTACCTGGGCGAAACCAGACAATGATGGCGGAGCTGAAATCACTGAGTACGAAATTGAAGTGAAAGACAAATTCAGCAAAGAATGGGTTAAGAAAAAGCGTGTACCAGCTTCTGAAACATCGACAACAGTTGATGGCCTTAAGGAAGGCAACACGTACGAGTTTAGAGTTCGTGCTGTTAACAAAGCTGGTCCTGGTGAGGCCAGTGATGCTACAAAACCAATCATTGCCAAATGCCGCTTCGTCAAACCATTCATCATTGGTGATGCTCTCAAACCAATTATCATCAAAAAAGGTATGATCCGATTATATGATACAATGACGCTTGAATCTATTGTTTTTTATCTAATGCAATTATTATTTTTATTATTTTTATTTCGATTTACAGGACAAACCGTCAAGGTAAGTGTTAACATTCAATGGGCGATGAATATTTTTATTTAATTGATTTTTTTGTTCTTGTCATCAGTATGATATTCGTTACGGTGGAGAGCCAGAACCTGAGGTGAAATGGGAGAAAGATGGAAAAGAAATAAGTGCTGATGGCGAACGTATCACAATCGAGAAGCCAGAACGCAACACTATTTTGACTGTTCGCAAGGGTGTTCGTGCCGACTCTGGCAAATACAAGCTTATTTTAACCAACAGCAGTGGAACAATTGAATCGGTTGGCGATGTTGTTGTGCTTGACAAGCCATCACCGCCAAAGGGACCACTTGTGCCAGAAGAAATTCGTGCCAATCGCGTTAAAGTTAAATGGCAAAAACCAGAAGATACTGGTGGCTCTGACATTACCGGATATGTCTTGGAGAAAATGGATATGGACACAGGTAGATGGATTCCAGCTGGCGAATGCGGTCCAGATGATGATACATTCACCTTCAATGGACTCACACCGAATAAGAAATACAAGTTCCGTGTTCGCGCTAAGAACAAGGAAGGCGAATCAGAACCACTTGAGACCACTGACGCCATTCTTGCCAGAAATCCATATGATGAACCAAGCAAACCAGGCAAACCGGATATTGTTGATTACGACAATGTTAGTGCTACATTAAACTGGGCCAAACCAGAAAAGGATGGTGGCAGACCAATCACTCACTACACCGTTGAAATGAAGAGCAAATTCTCACCAGAATGGTCAGAAGTGCTAAAGACACCAGACGACAAATGTGAAGCTGTGGTCGATGGTCTTAAAGAAAATTTGACTTATCAATTCCGTGTCAAAGCTCACAACAAAGCTGGTTCATCAGAAGCATCTGAGCCAACTGATAACCATCTCTGCAAATACAAGAACTGTAAGTCCATAAATTTGATAGGCGTTTTCAAGTATACTCTTTCTAACAGAGGAAAAAGTCCCCTATGTGTGCACAGTGAAATTGATTACTGTGTATTCGTTATGATTTTTTCTACCCCTTTCTGTGGCTAACTATTTTATGTGTTCCATGTTTTCTCTCGTAAAATAATTTCTGTACAGTGAAACCACGAATCGATCGAAACACATTCAAGCAGGTTACGATCAAGTCAGGCCGAACGCACAAATGGTGAGTAGAATATGGCAAAAGTGTACAACCTAGGTGAAATGATTTATTTTCGACTCAATTCATATTTCAAAACTCAAGGTCCGTGGATGTAACTGGTGAGCCTGCACCTGAGTTGGTATGGAGTTGGCGTGATGATATTCCACTTGTATCGACCGAACGTATCAAGATTGAAAACAAGGAATATCACACCGATTTTTCGATCATCAACGTCCAACGTAACGATACGGGCAAATACAAGCTCAAGGCAACCAATCGCAATGGCAGCGACGAGGAAACCGTTGAGTTGATTGTGCTGGGACGACCAGGTACACCAAAGGGCCCACTTGAAGTGAAAGACATTCACGAGAAGGGCTGCAAATTGAAGTGGAAGAAACCAGAAGACGACGGCGGTGTTCCGATTAAGGAATACGAAATCGAGAAAATGGATACCGCAACCGGTAAATGGGTGCGAGTTGGTAAAGTTCCAGCATCAGGTGGTGACGGAACAAAGGACAATCCAGAATTCACCGTTACTGGCTTGAGCCCGGGTGCCGAATACAAATTCCGCGTATCGGCTGTCAACGATGAAGGCGACTCTGAACCATTGGTAACGGATCATTCGATCATCGCTAAGAATCCATTCGACGAACCACTTAAACCAGGAACCCCAGAAGTTGTCGACTACGACAATCATAGCGCAACCATCAAATGGACACCTCCAAAATCGGACGGTGGTGCCACTATTGAAAAATATATTGTCGAGAAAAAAGGTGAGTGTTTTACATTATTTTTGCACAATTTGATGAAAAACAATGCGGAGATATTTTGATTTTTGACTCATCTCAAATTTATATTTTGTAATTAGAGATAGTAAAATATATGACTACTGGAAAATGTGGAACAATATTTAGTGAGTTTTTATCACATTTTCGTGATTTATAAACGTTTGAAAAGGCATGGATTATGAAAATTTTCGGAAATCCAATCAAACATCATCGGAGAGATCACTTTCGATATATTGTGAAAAGTGGAATTGTAAATTATGGATTCCTCATTTTCATTCATCCAATTTCCGCACGAAGTTTTGCACCAGTCAAGTGATGCATTTGATTATTTTTTCTTATTTTCCTCTATATCAAGTTAAAATACAATCATTTTCACTCTTGATCACTTGGAATTTCAAAATTTTGAATATAGACATAATCGAACATCCAATATTTTCACTCACTCAATTGTAAAATATTCCATAGTACATATACCTGGTGTATTTTTCTTCTTTCGATAAAATGTATAAAGAATGTTGAATGCAATGTATATTTTTTTCTGTTGAATTGCAAAAAATTAATCTGTTCATTATTTTCACCTAGACAAAACAAAACCAGATTGGGAGAAAGTACTTGAAGTTCCTGGTGATCAATTGGAAGCTTTAATCGATGATCTGAAGGAGACTGGAGAATATCAATTCCGTGTTACAGCTGTAAACAAGGCCGGTCTTTCACCACCATCAGATCCATCAAAGACCCAAGTCATCCGTTACAAGGCATTGAAGCCACGAATCGATCGCACCAATCTCAAGACAATTATTGTGCGCGCCGGGAAGCCGATCTTCTTCGATGTGGACGTGCGCGGAGAGCCACCGCCTGAAGTTACCTGGACCCTTAAAGATAAAGAAGTCAAGACCGAAGGCAATGTCGAAATCACTAACGTGCCATATAACACGAAATTCTCGATCAAAGAATCGATCCGTGCAAACTCTGGAATGTACAAGATTAAAGCCGTCAATCAACACGGTGAAGATGTTGCTGAAGTTGATGTGACTGTTTTGTCAGCACCAGGCAAACCAAAGGGTCCACTCAAAGTGTCTGATGTCACTAAGAATGGATGCAAACTTAAATGGGAAAAACCAGAGGACGATGGTGGCAAACCAATCACCGCTTATCAAGTTGAAAAATTCGATAAGGCTACCGGCCGTTGGGTACCAGTTGGTCGTGCTTTACCAGAAGATACCGAGTTCGATGTGAAGGGATTGCAAGAAGGTAACGAGTATAAGTTCCGCGTTAAGGCCATCAATGATGAAGGCGAATCGGAACCACTTGAAACCGACGGCACAATCATCGCCAAGAATCCATACGAAATCACTGACAAGCCAGGTACTCCAGAAATCATTGACTGGGGACCAGAATTCGCCGAATTGAAATGGGAAGCACCGAAGAAAACGAATGGTGCTCCTGTTACCGGTTACATCGTCGAAAAGAAGGAGAAATTCTCACCACACTGGGAAGAAGTGCTTGTCACTAATACACCTGAACCGAAGGCTACGGTTCCAGATTTGAAGGAAGGAAGCACCTATCAATTCCGTGTTCGTGCCGTTAACAAAGCCGGTCCCAGCGAACCAAGTGACCCAACCAAACCACATGTGGCTAAGCATCGCTTCCTCAAACCGCTTATAAATCGCGAAAAATTGCATACGGTCAAAGTACGTGCCGGCGAAATGGTCAAGATAGAAACGGACGTGAAAGGAGAGCCACCGGCGACGATTAAATGGAGTTTCGCTGGTAAACCAGTTGAAACTAGTGCCCATTATCGTGTTGATAACGAAGACTATAACACTAAACTCGCGATTAGTGACACTGAACGCAAATTGTCGGGTGTTTATACCATTTTTGCTGAGAACGATTCGGGCACTGATGAGGCAACGGTAGAAGTTATCATTTTGGATAAACCATCGAAACCAGAAGGTCCACTCGAAGTGTCCGACGTGCACAAAGAAGGATGCAAACTTAAGTGGAACAAACCAAAGGACGATGGTGGTTTGCCACTGACAGCATATGTTCTCGAAAAAATGGATGTTGCCACTGGTCGCTGGGTTCCAGCTGGCCGTGTTGATCCATCGAAAACCGCAGCCGAAGTCACTGGACTTGAACCGGGCCACAAGTACAACTTCCGTGTTAAAGCTGTCAATGAAGAAGGCGAATCAGGTCCACTTGAAACTGATCACGAAACCTTGGCCAAGAATCCATTTGATCCACCGGCCCCACCAGGTTTACCAGAAATTGATGACTGGGATGAAAATTCAGTCAAATTGAAATGGGAACCGCCAATTCGCGACAACGGTGCACCAATTACAGGCTATATCATCGAAGTTATGGACAAAGACTCCGGCAACTTCGTCAAAGCCATTGAAGTTCCAGGCAACAAGTGCGAGGGCACTGTTCCAAAATTGGTCGAAGGTGAACAGTATAAGTTCCGTGTAAAGGCCGTTAACAAGGCAGGTCCATCTGAGCCATCGGAAGCTACTAACTGGCATACTGCCAAGGCTAGATTCTGTGAGTTGGCAAGCTATAAATCTTTTTTTTTGCACTGCAAACATCAAACTGAATATTTAAATTTTCTTTTCTCTTTAAAAAGCTCTGTTTTGTGCATAATTTAATGTTCAATGTTCAATGTCCATTCATGTTTTACGTTTTGTTGTAGTTTTTCTTCCCTCGTTCTCTTTCTCGATAATTTCTATGCATAATTTTTTCTTCAATTATAGTGAAACCAAGAATCGACCGCACCAACTTGAATCCAGTCGTCGTCAAAGCTGGTCTATCGCTTTCACTGGATATCAAAATTATCGGAGAGCCACCACCAGAGGTAACATCTTTTTCGATATGTTATTAACCAAAATATTTATTATTATGTTATGTTGACAGTTTTTTTTCTTCATCTTAATAAAGTGATTAATATGTTATAAGTTAATAATAATGATATTTTATTACTGGGAAATCTATAGGTAACATGGTTCTTCAAGGACAAGGAATTGTCCGTTGATGAAAACATTCGTATCGATAACGTCGATTACAACACGAAATTCTATATCATGCGTGCCAAACGTCCACAATCTGGCAAATACACAATTGTTGCTAAGAATCAAGTAGGCGAAGATCGGGCTGATGTCGACATCACTGTTTTGGGTAAACCATCCACACCAAATGGTCCACTCAAAGTATCCGATATTAATAAGCATGGATGCAAATTGAAATGGGAGAAACCAGACGACGACGGTGGTGCTCCAATCGATTACTATTCAATTGAGAAACTGGATCCACTGACCGGTCAATGGGTTCCATGCGGCCGCAGCAACGAACCAGAAGCAACAGTTACTGGTTTACAAGAAGGAAAACCATACAAATTCCGTGTGCGTGCTGTTAACAAAGAAGGCGATTCCGATCCATTGGAAACTGAAGGAACAATTATCGCCAAAAATCCATTTGACGAACCAGATAAGCCAGGTCGCCCAGAACCAACTAACTGGGATAAGGACTTTGTTGATTTGAAATGGACAGCACCAGCTAACGACGGAGGGGCTCCGATTGAAAAATATATCGTTCAAAAGCGTGATAAGTCGGGTCGTGGATGGACTGACGCCTTGACCGTACCAGGAAATCAAACTCAAGGTAAGGTCACCGATGTCGATGAGGGCCACGAATACGAGTTTAGAGTGGTTGCCGTCAACAAAGCTGGTCCAAGTGAACCCAGCGATGTATCAAAATCGGTCATTGCCAAACCAAGATTCCTTGCCCCGCACATCGATCGCAAGAACTTGCAAAAGAAGGTATTGCGTGCCGGTCAAATGCTACGTATGGATGCCGATGTCAAGGGTGAACCAAGTCCAAGTATCGAATGGAGCTATAAGAATGAAGTTTTGAAAACAGCCGATCGTTTGAAGATCGAAAACGAAGATTATAAAACAACATTCATTTTGCAAAAGGTCAAGCGATCAGATCGCGGTACATACACAGTTACTGCTAAAAACAGCAGCGGCGTTGATACAGTCAACGTTGAATTGGAAGTGTTGTGTAAACCAAGCAAGCCACAAGGTCCATTGGATGTATCCGATGTTACGGCTGAAGGATGCCATCTCAAATGGGAGAAACCAGAAGACGATGGCGGTGAGCCAATCGATCACTACGTCGTTGAGCGTATGGATACTGAAACCGGAAGATGGGTTCCAGTTTGCAAGTCAAAGACACCTGAGGCTGATGTAACTGGATTAAATGAAGGCAAAGACTACTTGTTCCGTGTCAAGGCAGTCAATGCTGAGGGTGAATCAGAACCACTCACCACTGAATTGCCAATCAAGGCTAAGAATCCATACAGTGCTGCTGATGCACCGAGCAAGCCAGTACTCAAGGATTGGTCAAAAAACCATGCCGACATCACATGGAAGGCACCAGAGGACGACGGTGGGGCTCCAATTACTGGTTATATCGTTGAAAAGAAGGACGAATTCTCACCGAAATGGCAAAAGGTGTTGGAAACCAGAGGAACCGATTGCAAAGCGCATATCCCAGATTTGATTGAAGGGCAAAAATATCAATTCCGTGTCAAAGCGGTTAATAAAGGCGGTCAAAGTAAACCATCACAGCCAAGTGACACACTTTTGGCTAAGGACAGATACGCTGCACCAAAGATCGATCGCACTAATCTCAAGGATATTTCAATTAAGGCTGGTCAGAACATTCGAATAGATTGTAAGGTGAGTGGAGAACCTCCAGCAACGAAGACCTGGTTCTTGAACAAAGAGCGCTTGGATCAACCGCGTGACGATATTACCATCGATTCCGAGGATTATCGCACCAAGATCTATATTCCAAACGCAACTCGTGCACACAAAGGACGCATCACAATCAAGGCCGAAAACGATTCTGGTCGTGACGAAGCTTCGATCGAAGTTACTATTCTCGATAAGCCAAGTAAACCAGAAGGCCCACTTCGTATTAGTGATGTACACAAGGAAGGCGCTAGCCTTAAATGGAATCCACCACTTGATGATGGTGGTGTTCCAATCGATCACTATGCCGTTGAGAAAATGGATATGGATACGGGACGATGGGTTCCAGCTGGTCGCTCAAAGGAGCCACATTTGAAGCTAGATAATCTAACACCCGGACAAGAATACAAATTCCGTGTATCTGCTGTCAATGCCGAAGGCGAATCAGAACCATTGGAAGCCGACCACACAATCGTTGCCAAGAATCCATTCGGTAAGTTTCGTATAGAAGAAAAAACGTAAAGTCGATCGAGTTTCGTTGAAACTAAAACTAAATTACCTTGTTTTTCACATCATTTTATTTAGACGAACCTGGTGCTCCTGGCCAACCTGAACCAACTGATTGGGACAAGGATCATGTTGACTTGAAATGGACTGCACCTATTAATGATGGTGGTAGTCCAATTACTGGCTACGTTATTGAAAAACGAGAGAAAGACTCTCCAAAATGGATCAAAGCTGCCGAAATTCCAGGCAACAAGTGCGAAGGCACCGTTCCACATTTGGACGAAAATACTGAATACGAATTCCGTGTTCGTGCTGTTAATGCTGCCGGTCCTGGCGAACCATCCAAAGCCAGCAAATCTGTCATTACAAAACCAAGAAAATGTAATTATTCAGAAATTGTTGTTTCTACGTACAAAAAATCTAACGACAAATTTTTTTTATTGTTATTTCAGTGGCACCTAAAATCGATCGCAAGAACTTGCGTAATATTACAGTCAAAGAGGGTGAACCAATTTATTTGGACGTGAAGGTAAGCATTTCCATTCACTTAAAAAAAGATTTACTCGTTGTAATGGTAGTGGTATATGCCAATGAAATCTATCTATCACCCGAGTAGACGATTCGATGACATAGAAATGTATCAGTTCTTCGGTAGAAAATGGTAAAATCACAATAACGACAAAGAAAATTCTCTTTCGATTCAGGTAACCGGCGAGCCAGCTCCAGAGGTTGCATGGTTTGTCAACGGTAAACCACTGCAAGCAACGAATCACAAACGTGTTGACAACGTTCCATACAATACGAAATTCTTCAACGATAATCCCGAACGAAAAGATACTGGAACTTATAAGATTGTCGCACAAAACAAATACGGCCAAGATCAGGCCGAAATTGAAATCACTGTTATCTGTGAGTATTTCTTACATACTTTCGAGAAGTTGAGATTGAACAGACAAATCTCATTCCTGTTTTTCTTTCTCTTCTTCTTCGTTTTCTATCTAGCTAAACCTGGCAAACCAGAAGGTCCGTTAGATGTGTCGAACATCACAAAAGATGGATGCACACTCAAATGGAAGAGACCAAAAGATGACGGCGGCGAGCCAATTGAAAATTATGTGGTCGAGAAATTCGATCCAGATAATGGCATTTGGTTGCCAGTTGGTAAAACTGAAGGTTCGACCCCTGAAATGGAAGTGGATGGTTTGATTCCAAATCACGAATACAAATTCCGTGTGAAGGCAGTCAACAAAGAAGGAGAATCCGAACCGTTGGAAACTCTTGGCACAATAATTGCACGCGATCCATATGTTGTACCATCACAACCAGGTGCACCAGAACCAGCCGACTGGTCTGCCAACCACGTCGATTTGGTATGGAAGGAACCAATCACAGACGGTGGGTCACCCATCACTGGCTACATCATCGAAATGAAAGACAAGTACAGCCCAATGTGGGAGAAGGCGCTCGAAACAACTGGTGATACTCCAGCCGCTACAATCAATGGTTTGATTGAAGGCAATGAATACCAATTCCGTGTGGTTGCTTTGAACAAAGCCGGTGCCTCAGAACCATCGGAGGCTAGCAAGAATTTCATTGCCAAACCACGATTCCTCGCACCGAAAATCGATCGTCGCAATTTGCGCGATATCACTTTGTCGGCTGGCACTGCATTGAAGTTCGATGTTAACATCATTGGCGAAGAACCGCCTCACGTTGACTGGCGCTTCTGTAACATGCCATTGACACCAAGCAAAGCAGTTACCATCGATAATGTCCCATACAATTCGAAATTGGTCGTTCGACCAACCAAACGCGGTGACTCGGGTGAATACACAATCACAGCTAAGAACAGTTCAGGCCAAGATTCCGTGACCGTCACAGTCACCGTCACCGATAAGCCAACGAAACCAGAAGGACCACTTGAAGTGTCCGATGTTCATAAGAATGGTTGCCATCTCAAATGGAAGAGGCCAAAGGACGACGGAGGTACTCCAATCGAATACTATCAAGTCGACAAATTGGATGTTGATACCGGTTGCTGGGTTCCTGTTGGTCGCTCATCTGAACCAGCCTACGATGTCAACAATTTAACACCCGACAAAGAATACAAATTCCGTGTGTCTGCTGTTAATGCCGAAGGCGAATCAGAACCACTGGAAACCGAACACTCGATTGTTGCCAAGAATCCGTTCGACGAACCTGGAAAACCAGAAAACGTTCGTGCCACAGACTGGGACAAGGATCATGTCGACTTGGCATGGACACCACCACAAAATGACGGTGGTGACCCAGTCACTGGATATCTGGTCGAAAAGAAGGACAAATTCGGTACATGGGAAAAGGCTCTCGAAGTTCCAGCTGATCAATGCAAAGCCACCGTTCCTGATTTGATCGAAGGACAAGGCTATGAGTTCCGTGTGGTTGCTGTCAACAAAGCAGGACCAGGCGAGCCAAGCGATGCCACACCAACCATTATCGCTAAGCCACGCAACCAAGCTCCACGCATTGACCGAACCAATTTGATTGAAGTCAAAGTCAAGGCTGGATCCAATTTCGCGTATGACATCAAGGTATTCATTCATTATTTAATTTATTCCATATTTAGCTGGGCTATTTCACATTTACTTAAATATAAATATGAATAATCTTTTTTCAGGTTAGCGGAGAGCCTGTTCCAACAACCAAGTGGCTGTTGAACAAGCGCGAAGTTCGCCCAAGCGACCGCGTCAAGGTGAAGCATGTAGACTACAACACGGTATTGAAAGTTCAAAATGCGAGTCGTGCAGAATCGGGTACCTACACAATCACCGCCGAAAACATCAACGGCTCCGACACAGCTGACGTTAAGGTTACTGTACTCGATGTGCCATCACCACCACAAGGACCATTGAAGGTTGAAGATGTTCATGCTGAGGGAGCGACACTCAAATGGAGTCCACCACAAGACGATGGTGGTCAACCAATTGAAAAGTATGTGGTCGAAAAGATGGACGAAAATACCGGTCGCTGGGTTCCAGCTGGTGAAACTGATGGACCAACAACGAAATTGGCTGTTGACGGTTTGACTCCTGGTCATAAGTACAAGTTCAGAGTACGTGCCGTAAATAAACAAGGCAAGTCTGAGCCATTGACCACACCACACGCTGTCGAAGCCAAGAATCCATTCGATGAACCAACTAAACCAGGTAAACCAGAAATCAAGGATTATGACACCGACTTCGTTGAATTGGAATGGACACGCCCAGAAAGTGACGGCGGAAGTCCAATTACAGCTTATATCATTGAAAAGAAGGACAAATACAGTCCAGATTGGGAGAAATGCGCTGAAGTCCAGGGTGATGTTACAACTGGCAAGGTGCCTGATTTGATTGAAGGATTGACATACGAATTCCGTGTTCGTGCCGTCAACAAAGCCGGTCCGGGTACACCAAGTGATGCAACCGACAAACATGTTGCCAGACCAAAGAACTTGGCACCAAAGATCGATCGCAACTTCATGCAAAACATCAAGATTCGTGCTGGCCAAAACTTCGAGGTATGTGTTAACATTCAATGGGCGATGATTATATCCTATTAAATTGATTTTGTTTCTTCTTGTCATCAGTATGATGTTCCAGTTATCGGCGAACCGCCGCCGTCAAAGGAGTGGCAATTGAAAGACAACATTGTTGTCAATTCAGATCGCGTTAAGATCATCAACGAACCATACCGCACAAAACTTAAGGTGATCGATGCCAAGCGCGCCGACAGCGGAGTTTACACACTTGTTGCCCGCAATATCAACGGTGTTGACAAAGCAACGGTTACAGTTACTGTGCTTGATGTGCCAAGCCCACCAGAAGGCCCATTGCGTGCTGACAACATCACCAAATCTGGCTGCACACTCAGCTGGCGTCCACCGAAAGACGATGGTGGCTCAGAAATTTCGCATTACGTTGTTGAGAAAATGGACACCGATGCCATGCGTTGGGTACCAGTCGGAGAATGTGCATCAACTTCACTGCGTGCCGATAATTTGATCGAAGGCCACGATTACAATTTCCGTGTACGCGCTGTCAATAAGCAAGGTGAATCCACACCATTGACAACACATCAACCAATTACTGCCAAGGATCCATTCGGAAAACCAGACAAACCAGGCAAACCTGAGGTTACTGATTGGGATAAGGATCATGTCGATTTGAAATGGACGCCACCCAAGAAGGACGGTGGAAGTCCTATCACAGGTTACATCATCGAAAAGAAACCGAAATTCGGCCCATGGGAAAAGGCTCTTGAAGTTGGCCCAAGTGCAAATGATGCTCGTGTTCCTGATTTAACGGAAGGCGAAGAATATGAATTCCGCGTGATTGCTGTGAACAAAGGAGGACCAGGCGAACCAAGTGACGCTTCAACACCAATCATTGCAAAGGCTCGCTTTGTTGCACCACACTTCGACAAGAAATTGCTTCAAGATTTGGTTGTCCATGCAGGAAAACCAATCAAATGGACACTGCCAATCGAAGCATCGCCACGACCAACATTTAAATGGTTTGCTCATGGCAAACAGCTCGAAGCCGGTCCACGTATCGATATGCAATTGTACAATAATGAACTAACATTTGAAATTCCATATTCGGTGCGTGCTGATTCGGGTCAATACACATTGACATTGGCAAACGAATGTGGTGAATTCACTGCATCGGCAAGTGTTACTGTACTCGATAAACCAGGACCACCACAACCACCACTTGATATAACCGGTATTACGAAAGAGGGATGCCATTTGGCCTGGAGAATGCCACTCGACGATGGCGGATCTCCGATTTTGCATTATGTCATCGAAAAAATGGACATGTCACGTGGCACATGGTCTGATGCTGGTATGAGCTTTAATCTTGCTCATGATGTCACACGTTTGATACACAAAAAGGAATACTTATTCCGTGTGAAAACAGTCAACGCTATCGGTGAATCAGAGCCACTTGAAGCCAACAAGAGCATTATTGCTAAGAATGAATTCGATGAACCAGACGCTCCAGGTAAACCAGCAATCAAAGACTGGGACAAGGGTCACGTCGATTTGGAATGGAAGGCACCCAAATCAGATGGCGGATCGCCCCTCACCGAATATATTATTCAGAAGAAAGAAAAGGGCAGCCCATACTGGACCAATGCTGTTCATGTGCCACCAAACAAGACTCAAGCATCTGTACCAGATTTGACCGAAGGACAAGAGTATGAATTCAGAATTATTGCTGTTAACCAAGCCGGCCAATCTGAGCCATCTGAACCATCAGATGCTGTTATTGCTAAGGCACGATTCCTTGCACCAAAGATCATTACCCCATTAAATGATATTCGTATCAAGACTGGCCTCATCTTCCGGGTAAGTGTTAACATTCAATCGGCGATAAATATTTTATTTAATTGATTTTAAATTTTTTTTTATTTTATTTAAAAAAAAACAAGTGTGAAATTGAATTCATTGGTGAGCCAGCTCCAGAGGTTACATGGACTGTTGATGGTCACAAAGATCTCGAAACTACCGATCGTACAACAGTTACATCGATTGGTCATCACACAATCATACACACGGTCAACTGCAAACGTTCCGATTCAGGCACTTATAAATTGCATTTGAAGAACGACTCCGGAACCGATGAAGGATCGTTCCAAGTGATTGTTTTGGATCGTCCAGGTCCACCAACCGGACCACTTGAATACGAAGAAATTACCGCAAACAGTGCTACCATCTCATGGAAACCACCAAAGGATAACGGCGGATCTGAAATCACTGCCTACGTCATTGAGAAACGCGATCTTACTCATGGTGGCGGTTGGGTACCAGCTGTCACATATGTTAATGCCAAGTACACACACGCAACGGTCCCACGTTTGCTCGAGGGCACCAAATACGAATTCCGTGTTATGGCTGAAAACTTGCAAGGACGATCGGATCCATTGACATCTGATTCACCGATTATTGCCAAGAATCAATACGATGTGCCAGGACGACCAAACAAACCTGAACTTGTCGAAAGCGACAAGAATCACATTACCATCAAATGGAAGGCACCAATCAGCAATGGAGGCTCACCAATCATTGGCTATGACATTGAGAGACGTGACAAAGCTACTGGCCGCTGGATCAAGTTGACAAAGGCACCACATTCAGGTACCGAATACGAAGATCCACGTGTACAAGAAGGTCATCAATACGAATACCGAGTTAGCGCTGTTAATGCTGCAGGTGCAGGCAAACCAAGCGATCCATCATCGCTCTTCACCGCTCGCCCAATGAAAGAAAAGCCAAAATTGTGGCTGGATGACCTTCTCGGTTGCAAGATTAAAGTTCGTGCTGGTGAGTTAAATAGCAATTTTTGCCATTATAAACGATAAAATTGAAGATCAACTAAAATATGCTATTTTTTTCTCTTATCAAGGTGAGCCGATTTCAATCACAATTCCATTGTCTGGATCGCCAACGCCAACTGTTGAATGGACCAAAGCAACTGTTCGTATCCCACCATCGAATCGAACATCAACCGATGTTAGCGATGAAAAGACCATTTTACGCATTGAAGAATCGACACGTGGTGATGGTGGTATCTACACAGTTACCGCAACCAATGAATATGGCAAAGATTCGGCCGATATTGAAGTTATCGTTGTCGATAAACCAGGCGTGCCACGTGGCCCATTGACTTACACTGAAACCACCGCCGAAACGTAAGTATCTTTTATCAAAAATAGGAACAACATCAATTCTTGCTTTCAGGACATGAAAACCATTTTTAATTAATTTTTGTTTATTTCCATTGTAGTATTTCACTGTCATGGAACCCACCAGATGACAATGGAGGTGGTGATATTACCGGCTACATTGTCGAAGTCAGCGAAGCTGGCACAGATAACTGGAGACAAGTTCCAGGCTACTGTCCAAAATGCGCATTCACTGTTAAAGGTTTGACCGAAGGCAAACAGTACGTGTTCCGTGTTCGTGCTGAAAACATCTACGGTGTATCTGATCCATTGGAAGGCAAACCAGTTACGGCCAAATCACCATTCGATCCACCAGATGCGCCAAGCACGCCTGAGATCAAGGGATACAGTCCAAACAGCTGTACTCTCGAGTGGCGTCCACCAGATTATTGTGGCGGTAAACCGGTCACGGGCTATATCATTGAGAAGCGTGAACGCGGTGGCGAATGGGTGAAGGCAAATAACTATCCAACACCAAACTTGAGCTACACCGTTCAAGATTTGCGTGAAGGTGGTAAATATGAGTTCCGCGTTGCAGCTGTTAACGAAGCAGGACCTGGTAAACCAAGCAAACCCACCGAACCAATTATCGCTCAAGTTCAACGCTCTGTTCCCGATGCACCAGACGCTCCACATCCAGATCGAATCACCAAGGATAGCGTTACGTTGTCATGGAACCCACCAAAACGCGACGGTGGTGCCCGTGTCAAGGGTTATATACTACAGAAACGCAGCAAGGGCGACAAGAATTGGTCCGATGTTAACGAAGTGCCCATTCACAACACTGTTTATACTGTGCCTCATTTGAAGGAGGGCGAAGAATACAACTTCCGTGTGATTGCTGTGAATGAAGTGGGTCGATCGGAACCATCAAAACCAAGCCCAGCGGTGGTCGTTGAAGAGCAACCAAACAAACCAAAGATGGAATTGGGTGGTGTTCGCGATATTACTGTTCGTGCTGGCGAAGACTTTTCAATCCATGTGCCATATGTTGGTTTTCCGAAACCAACTGCTACCTGGTTTGCTAAAGACAATATTCTCGATGACTCAGACGGCCGAGTACATCAACAATTGGCCGATGATTATGCTAGCATTGTCGTTAAGAATTCGAAACGCAACGATGCCGGTCAATATCGTTTGCAACTTAAAAATCCATCTGGTTTCGACACTGCCACCATTAATGTTCGTGTACTCGATCGTCCAGGAAAACCAGACAATTTGAGAGCCGACGAATTCGCTGGCGACTCATTGACTTTGTACTGGAACCCACCGAAGGACGACGGAGGTAGTCCCATTACCAATTATGTGGTTGAAAAGAAGGAAGCACGCGCTGCAACCTGGTCAAAGGTCAGCAGCTACTGTACTGTTCCATTTGTTCGCGTTCGTAATCTTACGCTTGGAAAGGAATATGAATTCCGCGTGATCGCTGAAAATCAATATGGACAATCGGATCCAGCAACAACCGATCATCCAATCAGAGCACGTCATCCATTCGATGTGCCGGGCGCTCCAGGTGCACCAAAACCAATTGAAACCACTGGCGATTCGATTTCGATTTGCTGGGCTAAACCAAAACATGATGGCGGTGCACCAATCACGGGCTATGTGGTTGAAAAACGTCTCATCTCAGAAGAAAAATGGATTAAAGCTACTTTCTCAAATGTTCCAGATTTGAATTGCAAGTATGTATTGCGCTTCGAGTTGTAAAAGTTTTGATTTTCTCCAAAAGATTCTTCCTATTAAAATAATTTTGTTTTTATTTTGCTCGCAGAGTTTCTGGCCTAATTGAGAATCACGAGTATGAGTTCCGTGTGGCCGCTGTTAATGCAGCCGGACAAGGACCATGGTCACCATCATCTGATACAATTGCATGCAAGGCCCCACCAACTGCTCCAAAGATCACATCAGATCTCAGCATTCGCGACATGACTGTTATTGCAGGTCACGAATTCAAAATTTCCGTTCCATTCACTGGCAATCCAAAACCAAAGGTTGCCTGGGCAATCAACGGTGTTGATGTTCAAACTGATGATCGCATTAAATTCGAAACGGACAACAGTGAAACACGTTTCGTAAATAAATCGGCCAAGAGAAGCGAAACTGGCACATACACCATCCAATTGACCAATTCGGAAGGTACAGATTCAGCTTCGTGTCGTGTTTTGGTTGTTGATCGTCCATCACCACCACAAGGACCATTGGATGTTTCCGATATCACACCAGACACATGTACATTGTCATGGAAAACACCATTGGACGACGGAGGTAGTCCTATTACCAATTATGTGGTCGAAAAAATGGATACGAACGGTATTTGGGTGAAGGTCAGCTCATTCGTACGTGGAACACACTACGAAGTGATGGGATTGGAACCAAATCGAAACTATTACTTCCGTGTTCGTGCTGAAAATCAATATGGTGTCAGTGATCCATTGGCTCGTGAAGATCCAGTTTTGGCAACATATCCATTCACTGTGCCAGACCCACCAGGTGCACCGAAGGTTATTGATTGGGACTCATCGAATGTCAAACTCATTTGGGATCGTCCACGCAGCGATGGTGGTTCTCGCATTCAAGGCTACAAATTGGAATACCGTGACGTATCTGATCCAGCCTGGAATACACACGACATCCTCATCAAGGACAATCAATATCAATTGTACAATTTGCAAAGTGGTCGCGAATATGAATTCCGCGTGCGCGCCAAGAACACAGCCGGATTCAGCAAACCATCACCACCATCGAGCAAATTCAAGCTCAAGGAGAAATTCACTGTGCCATCAGCACCACAAGCACCAGCTGTTGTTAAAGTTGGCAAGAACTACGTTGATTTGAAATGGGAACGTCCAGTCAGCGATGGAGGCTCAAGAATCACTGGTTACATCATCGAACGTCGTGATGTTGGTGGTGCTTTGTGGGTTAAATGCAATGACTACAATGTTCTCGATTTGGATTACACTGTAATGAATTTGATTGAGGGAGCCGATTACGAATTCCGTATCTTTGCTGTTAACGCTGCTGGAAGAAGTGAACCCAGCTCATGCACCACTCCAGTCAAGGTATGCGAAGTTGTTGGCGGCAATAAACCAGAATGGATCCGGACATTGCACAATGCCACCGTTCCACAAGGCAAACACATCACTCTGGAATGTGAGGCCAGTGGTAAGATATGTATTTATGATTTTTCTTACACATTAGTTTCAAAGCTGTTATATCAAGTTTGGGACCGGAGTTAATTCTGACTATGAACAACGTGCAAAAAATTTAAGTTAGCCTTAACATGGAATGTATTCATGTCGTTTCCAAACTTGTTCGAGTCATTTTATGTGTGTGCATTGTTGGTTAATCAAAACGAAAATTGAATTTCTCTTCTCTCTTTGTAAGCGTATGTCAATCAGCGTCATCAAAGACATTAATATTGCTGGGAAATTTATAAATGAAACTTGTTTTAATCATCTACTATTAGACACCTGTCATTATCTCTTATTTCTCAAAACAATTTTGCTTTTGTTTTACACGCTGGATTTGTGTATTTGTACCTATTCAGCCTTTCATTGGGCAAACATGATTTCTTTTCACTTATGGTTTGAGCATATGAGCTTTTCGCATCTCTTTATCCTTTTTTCATTCATTTTCCTTTTCTCATTCATAGGCAAACCGGAACCAACTGCTCGCTGGTTGCGTAACGGCCGTGAAATTTCGTTGGCTCAAACACCGGGCTCGAGAATTCGCGCAGAAAGCAACAATGGCGTCTTCAAATTGCACATCACTGACGCTAAGCATAGTGATGAAGGGGATTATACTTGCGAGGCAATCAACTCACTTGGATTTGTGCATACAACTGCTCATTTGAAGGTTGGAACACCACCACGCATCGATCGTATGCCAACTGAATTGCGATTCGCTGAAAATGACAACCAGAAGATCAAGATCTTCTATTCTGGTGATCAACCAATCGAATTTACTTTGAAACAAAATGGTAGCGAGGTCAAGGATACGGGCCGCACACGCTGGAGCATCTTTGATGATTACATTGCTATTGCTATCAAGGATGTCAGTGGTTCAGATGGTGGAGAATATCAAGTGGAATTGAAGAACGACAGCGGCAAAGCTGTTGGTACATTCAGTGTTGCGATTACCGGCTTACCAGGACCACCAATCGGACCATTGGGCATTTCCCATGTCACGAAGCACACTTGCCAACTTGCATGGAAACCACCAAGCTACGATGGCGGTTGCAAGATTACTCATTACGTTGTTGAACGCAGAGACACATCATCACCACACTGGATCACAGTGCACAGCTCATGCAAGGACACCACATGCTCAATTCAAGGATTGGCCGAGAACCAGGAATATGAATTCCGTGTATCGGCTGTCAATGAAAATGGCAAGGGTCCAGCTTTGACAGGCGCTCAACCAATTCGTGCCAAGGCTCCATTCGATGTACCATCAGCACCAGGAATTCCAAAGGTCACCGAAGTCGGAGACGATTTCGTGCACTTGGAATGGGAGAAACCAGAATCAGACGGCGGGGCTCGCATCCAAGGCTATTGGATCGACAAACGAGAAGTCGGAAGCGAAGTTTGGCGACGTGTCAATGTTGCTATTTGTCCAGCAACACAAATCAATTGCGCCAATTTGGTTGAAGGTCGTCAATACGAATTCCGTGTGTTCGCTCAAAACGAAGCCGGTCTTTCACCACCTTCGAGCAATTCATCATCGGTTAAGGTTATCAATCCAAAGGCAGCCACTCCACCACAAATCGTTCGCCCATTACGCAATGCTAACTGCATTCAAAATCATAATGCACAATTCACTTGCACCATTACCGGTGTTCCAAAACCAACCATTACTTGGTACAAGGGAGCTCGCGAAATTACCAACGGCGCTCGTTACCACATCTACGCAGAAGGTGATGTTTATAATTTGACCATCAATGATGTGTTTGGAGAAGATGCCGACGAATACGTTTGTCGTGCAGTCAACAAAGCCGGTGTTAAATCAACTCGCGCTGAATTGGTTATCATGAGTAAGTATATTTCTCTAGTTGGATTTGAAAAAAAAATGGATTCAATGGACACATCATTAACGAATTGCTTCCTCTTTATCTTTCTTAGCTCCACCGAAATTGAATGTACCACCACGATTCCGTGACACAGCTTACTTCGACAAAGGTGAAAATATTGTTATCAAGATTCCGTTCACTGGCCATCCTAGACCAAAGATCAACTGGGTACGAGAAGGTGAACACATTGAATCAGGTGGTCACTACCACGTTGAAGTTAAGGATCGTCACGCAATTTTGACCATTCGCGATGGATCAAAGATCGATTCAGGCCCATACCGTATCACTGCTGAAAATGAATTGGGACAAGACTCTGCCATCATTAAGATTCAAATTAGCGATCGTCCAGATCCACCACGATTCCCATTGGTCGAAAGCATTGGTGTCGATTCATTGCAATTGTCGTGGAAGGCACCAGTATGGGACGGTGGTTCTGACATCACCAACTATTTGGTCGAAAAACGTGAACCTGGAATGGAAACCTGGATTCGAGTTGGAAACACTCGCTTCACAGCAATGGCTGTTACTGGATTGGCCCAAGCTCGTCAATACGAGTTCAGAATCTTTGCCGAGAATATTTATGGTCGCTCAGATCCATCAGATATCAGCACATTGATCACCACCAAGGGACAACCGAAGAGAGAACACAAAGAACGCAAATATGAAGTAGATGAAAATGGCAAGAAGATTCGTGGCAAAGCCGACGGACCAATCAAGGATTACGACTCGTATGTGTTTGATATTTACTCGAAATACGTGCCACAACCAGTCGATATTTCAAGCGACAGCGTATACGATAAATACGAAATTCTGGAAGAAATTGGTACCGGAGCATTCGGTGTTGTGCATCGTTGCCGTGAACGTGCTACCGGAAACATTTTCGCTGCCAAATTCATCCCAGTCTCACACGCCATGGAAAAGGACTTGATCAAGAAGGAAATCGACATCATGAACCAATTGCATCACCGGAAATTGCTTAACTTGCACGATGCCTTCGAAGATGATGACGAAATGGTGCTCATTTTCGAATTGTAAGTACCGAAACATTACTTATCAGTTTTCCATTTACGCACATTTGTTTTTGATGGGTTTTGATTTGTGACTGTAAACTTTCGTTTCAGCTTATCCGGAGGTGAATTGTTCGAACGAATTACCGCCGATGGATATGTTATGTCAGAAGCTGAAGTAATCAATTACATGCGTCAAATCTGCGAGGGTATCAAACACATGCACGAAAAGAATATCATTCATTTGGATGTTAAGCCAGAAAATATCATGTGTCAAACACGCACCAGCACCAACATCAAACTCATCGACTTCGGTTTGGCCACCAAATTGGATCCAAACGAAGTTGTCAAGATTTCAACCGGAACGGCCGAATTTGCTGCTCCAGAAATCGTTGAACGTGAACCAGTCGGTTTCTACACAGACATGTGGGCCGTTGGTGTTTTGAGTTATGTGCTGTAAGTAGTTTTTTCTTTAATCATACTCTTTGAATAGCTACGCACGTAAATCTGTGTAAACTAACTCTTTGTTCAATCATTTCATTCCATTCCATTTGCAATGTTTAGTTTGAGCGGTTTGTCACCATTTGCTGGTGAAAATGATGTAGCTACACTGAAGAATGTGAAAGCTTGCGATTGGGACTTCGATGAAGATGCATTCCGACACATATCTGAAGAAGGAAAAGACTTCATTCGTCGCTTATTGGTGAAGAACAAGGAGAAACGTTTGACTGCCCATGAATGTTTGTTGCATCCATGGTTGACCGGCGATCACAGTGACAAGACTCGTCAAATCAGCAGAGATCGATTCTTGGCATTGCGTGATAAGATTCGCAAGAAGTATGATGACTGGTCGAAATTCATTTTGCCAATTGGACGCCTATCCGAATATTCATCACTGCGTAAATTGCTCATTGAAAAATACAAGATTCATGAATCATCGTTCGACCGGCGTCAAGCGGCTCCACGTTTTGTTATCAAACCACAATCACAGTTCTGCTACGAAGGACAAAGCGTCAAATTCTATTGTCGTGTCATTGGCGTTGCAACACCAACACTCACCTGGTCGCACAATAACCAGGAGCTTCGCCAGAGTGTGAAATTTATGAAGCGCTACCAAGGAGATGACTATTACTTCATTATTAACAGAGTCAAATTGACCGACCGTGGCGAGTACATAATCCGTGCTGAAAATCATTACGGCTCTCGCGAAGAGGTTGTCTTCTTGAACGTTCAACCGTTGCCAAAACAAGTGCCAGTTTACAAACAGCAAGAACAACAGCCGGTTCGTCGACGCGAACCATTGCCGTACACATACTGGCAAGAAGAGTCTGACACAGCGCCAAGTTTCACATTCCTTTTACGTCCACGTGTTATGCAAGCCCGCGACACATGCAAACTGCTTTGCTGCTTGAGCGGTAAACCAGTGCCAACGGTGAAATGGTACAAAGACAGACGCGAATTGAGCAAATACGAATACTCAATGACACACTCGGACGGTGTTGTGACCGTTGAAATTGTCGATTGTAAACCAGAAGATTCCGGCAAATACAGATGCGTGGCCACCAATTTACACGGCACCGACGAAACATCGTGCGTTGTGATCGTTGAAGGACAAACATCAACACCAGAACAGGCTGAATTAGTACACAATTTCCTATATTCGGGAGACCGTCGTTACATTGAATCACCATTGAAACCAGCTCCGCCACCAATTATCACGCGAACACAACACACCACCTCATCATCTTCATACAACAACACAACTAGACAACAAGAGAGTAGCTCATCGACCTTTAAATCATCGAATAAGACTGTAAGCAACGATAGAAGTTCCTTGTTATCATCTAGCATTTCATCAACGATAACAAACAATATCGACGCATCATCCACGAGCACATCATCGAAGAAGAAATATGGAAAACTAGACGCCCCCGACAGCCCATCGAGATCGCGCAGCGCAACCAAAGAATTGATCTGTATGTGTATATTTTTAAATTACTTTTAAATGAACCGTATTTTGTCATTAACTTGTAACGAATTCTCAATTTTGTTCCATTTCCTTTATCTCTCTCTCTCTCATTCAAACAGTGCCACCAGACGATTCATTGATGTGCAAACCAGAATTCACCGGGCCACTTAAAGACTTAGAAGTAACAGATGGCGAACGATTATCGCTTGAATGCACAGTTAAAGGGGATCCAGATCCACAAATCACTTGGTCAAAGAACGGCAAATCGATTTCATCGTCGGAAATTATGAACTTGAAATATAAAAATGGCGTAGCTACACTCACAATTAACGAAGTCTATCCAGAAGATGAGGGTGTGTACACATGTACCGCAACCAATTCAGTTGGAGCAACAGAGACGAAATGTAATTTGAAAATTAAACCGCTTGAAAATGGACATTTGAAACACAGCACCGGTTCAGACAAGCCACCAAAGATTGTTAGCCATTTGGAATCACGGTCGGTCAAGGATGGCGAAGCAATCACACTCGCCTGTCGCATCATTGGCACCGACAAATTTGATGTCGTTTGGTTGCACAACAACAAAGAAATCAAACCATCGAAAGATTTCCAATACACGAATGAAGCAAACATTTATAAATTGCAAATTGCCGAAATCTTCCCAGAAGACGCTGGTACATACACATGTGAAGCATTTAACGATGCCGGCGAAAGCTTCAGTACGTGCACAATTGGTGTGATAGTTCCAGGTGAAACATCGAAAGCACCCGAATTCACCAAGTTCCCCAACTCATCAACCGTATCCGAAGGCGAACCCGGACGATTTGAATGTGAACTTGAAGAGGCTCCGCTCCAATTGAGCTGGCTGAAGGATGGCAAACCTATCGATGTCGACGATCAATCAGCCCGATACAATTTCACTAAAGACGGTAATTCGTACATCTTTGAAATTGTGTCGTGTCAACACGATGACATCGGTCAATATCAAGCCAAAGCCATCGGTAAAAAGGGTGAAACATTCGCTTCATTCTCAGTAAATGTGTATGCCACTGAATAAAATGATTCAGAATAACCGAACCGTCATTTTTTCATGGAGCAGCACACACCATCACCACACCAATCAATGAGAAAATGATCACAACGAATGAATTATTTCAAAAAAGAAAAAAAAAAGAATTTTGAAAGTAAACATGAAAAACTTATATTGATTTAGAGCGCATATCAAAATTATTGTTGCACATGCATCATCATCACTACGAAACTAAACTTTTGTTTGCTGCGCAAAAATAATCGAAATTACTAACGACATCACGCAATTTTGTGTTTCGTTGCGAATCATTTGAACATGTGCATAGATCGTAAGAACCGTTAAATAATGAAGAAAAACGAGAAAAAATTAACGATAGAATTTATAATTTAAACCTAAGTCATAAGTATTTTGTAAAGGAAGATGCAATTCGATAAGTTTGTTATGCGAAAAGGGGAAGAAGTTAGGTTGACGAATACCAAATCCATGTGATAAATAGCGGGGCCAGCATCCTCAACACTTGTTTTCTTACTATCATCTGAAGAAACACTCGCTGCGTGTTAAATGGATTTGGTGTTTTGTTCACCCGGAAAGAACAAGAACGTAGCAAAACCATTCGCTGGAATGCACTTGTTTCAATGAAAAAAAAAATGAACAAATTTATTATTCAATTTAAGTTGCTGTATATGTTTCAATTTTCTCTTAAAATTTTGTTTCGGTTTTTCTCTCGCTGTCTACAATCCGCGAAAATACTTTTTGTTTACATTTTCCACCCAATCTCTCAATACAATAAACGAAAAAATTGAAAATTCAAACGAACGCAACTACATAAGATGAAGTAAATTTAACAAATAGAAAACCTTTCGAATTGTTTCAATGGTTGTTGGTTATGAACTCTTTTACTGTCCTTAATTTTATTATTACCGTATACTTTGAAACAAAAGCATAGCAAAACGAACATTTATTTATGTCCCGTATTTTATTTTCTTTTTTCTTTCTTTCGCAAAACACTATAACATGTATGCAAATTTGAAAATAAAAATCAATTAATGAAAAAAAAAAACACACACACACACACATTGGCATTCATTTGAAATGAGTTTTTATTCAGTTGATACAGATTTCAATCTCGGAACACATGAGTCTAAATAAACGTCTCTGTTTGCTGAAAAGAAATAGATTTGAATTGTTACCGTTTCATAATCATAAGAAACATAATTTCTTTAATCTTTGTAAAAATATTTCTTCTTTATGCTTATTTCTTTCCCATCAGTCAAATGAAATCTGTGTGGGAGTTATAACATCGCGTGTGTGAATATATTTTTTTCCTAGTGCTATCAAACACTTTATTGATGATGGTTCATCAATTGTATCGACATTTTATTCACGAGTCTGCTTTTATATGTCGAAGAATAGATTACGTTCTCTTGATGATAATTTATTTACGTTAAATCTGAATGAAATGATTGTTTACCCTCAATCAAAGAGTCGTATTTGAATTGCAATAATTCCATAGCTTTAAAACTTATTCGGTGACTTACTGAAATGTTATCAGATTTCAATTTCATAAAAGTCGATTAAATTTTGAAAGGAAATGACATCGACACAATTAATAACCATTTTCCTACAATTATTAAGATCGATTGAACTGAAGAAATGTAAAAACTATATTTTTCCAATGAAAAATCAATCCGTTTTATTGCTGAATATTTCGTTTATTCATGATATAATTTTGCAAAATAAGTAACTCCTATTTTGCTTATTATTCAGTTTGGTTATTTGAAAATAGCTTGCTATTCGTCGCATTGCATTGTTGTAACGTATCTTAGGTTTAAGTCTATTTGAAGTGATTCAATCATCTGTGTTTTGAGTACGATGTTCCACTTCAAAGTGAGTAGAACTCACGCGCACTGAGAGCTGCAAACAATAGAATCGAATAAGTATTTCGGAGTTTTTCATCATTACAGCATTTCCTTACCGTTATCGTAGTAGTCGTAGATGATGATGGGTGTCGGCTTTTGTTCATCGACAATGTATTCACGGAACCCAACAACTTTCAAAGTAATGTCATCCGAAGTCAGATAATCAAAGTAAATTATGGCCACTGTGTCACTATTCTTTGTTTCGATGAGCTTGATGGTCGGTACTGTGGCCTTAAGTCGATTCAAAACATCAGTATTCAGAACGAATCCACTGGGTAATGCAATTTCCAGAATAACCATGTTCGATTGCTTGTGTGAGTCCTTGCCTTCCGGCGGCTGATAGCTTGATGTTATCACAAGAGTCATATAACCATCAACCAGCTTCGCATTTGATTTCAGTGAAAATGCTGATTGAGCGTCTGGTGCGTTAATGTTGTAACGATAGGCCAGCTCAAGCAAAGAAAATCCTTTGCCAGTCGCATTTACACGAACCGATTTGACGTCTGGTGTCAACTATATCAACAAAAAGGAGCAAAAACAAACAGTTAATAATAAGCATTTTGATTTTTAAAATGATGAACATTCGAATGAACCTTTTGTGATTGGAGCACCAATGAATTGTCCTTGTTGACATCAAAATTAATCTTCGTGTCGTTTGATGTTGTGACACTGATATTCACCGAATTTTCCTTCGTAACAATTTTGGTTGCAAAATTGGCGAGTGCCTCGATGCCCACAATTGTGTCTTGAGTTCCTTCAAATCCACCTCTGTCATTGCGTTGGTTTAAGAGCCATTTCAAGATGGGCACCAATTCAGAATCATTTTCAGAATTTTGCATCAAAGTAAGTAGAGCATATGCTGTCACCTCGACATTGATCGTCTTCGATTCCTTGCACCGATAGCCTTCAACTTTAATTGATTTGTCCCACCATTTGTAATTAGCTATTGTAAGATAAAGAAATTCACGTTGAAGACAGCTATAAAAACAATAAATTTCTCTCTTGTATGTCATCTATGTGATCTATACTTACCATTTGATTTTGCCAATTTCATCAAACGATTTATTGCAACTCTCTTGGAACTATGATTAGCCAATTGTAAGGCGTATGCACAAACGGCCAATGCATACACATCATTGCAACTGTTGACGAATTTGACGATATTTGCGATGGCTTTTTCGATCGTTGTTTTGTATGTAGTAGTTGATTCTTTGTTCACCAAAAAAGCAGTCAAAACATATGCTGTCAATGCGATCCCATTGGATGCGCCACTTTGCATCTCTTTGTCGAAAATGCTTCCCCTTTCCACGAAACTTCCATTTGATGATTGCATTCTACTCAGCCATTTGAGGGCCTGGTCGATTATGCTGTTGTCGATCAGAATGTGTTCCGATGCTTGTTGAAATGATCTTGCTACAAACGCTGTTAACCAGGTGCTGCCTCTTTTATCATACTCTCCGAAAGCGCTGAATGATCCATCTTTGTGTTTGTATATCAATTCCCGTTGGTAACCGATTTCCATGTATTTCTTGGCCTTTGCTTCAATTTTACCGGTCAACTGTTGCGTGTTTTTCAGATAATTCAGAACAACAATGTTTGGAACGAAATTGAGCATGTTCTGTTCGCCGCAGCCGCATGGCAGCCGAATGAGTTGCTGTAGATTTTCAATGGTTCCACTGAGCAAATCTCCGACACACGTAATTTCAATGCGCTGCGAGTCTGGCAAAGCGATCTCAGGAAATTCGATGGCCAAATCAATTGGATCAATTCGAGATTTTTCACGCAGATCAATGTAAACGGCTTTGTTCATGAATTGTGGAACTCCTTCACATTCGACATTCAATGCTTTGACAATACAGTCACTGGCAACTGATGACACTGCTGATACTTTCAGGGAAATTGAACCAACTCTGGTTGGGCGAATGGTGAAGACGGCATTATGAGCGTTTTGGGAACGGATTAACAAATTCTTTCGGCGGAATTGAAGTCTCATCATTTGGGACGTTGACTTCTCCGTTGTTGCTGAATCGGCAAATTCAAACTCGTTATTCTCGTTTTCAAGCGTTACTTCGGCTTCGATATCATTTGGCAAATAGTTGAACACTGAACATGGAATGGTCACAACTTCGCCGCGCTTCACAGAATACGGCAAATTCAGAGATATATGAAACGGTTGCTGCACACACAATTTCACAGGCGCTTTAATAAAAGCCAAACCATTAACGGGATCAATCGAGAATCCAGTCAAAATCCAAGTTGTCAGCGAATGGGGTACCGTTTTCTTCATGCTTAGTGAACCATTGAAACTGGAAATAAAATTTGGAGTCATCATTTTTATTAGTTAATGAAACATATTCAAAAACTTGAAGAATTGCCAACAAATTTGGTCGCTTACTTTTTGCCATCGATCGTGTCCCAAATCCAAGTTTCTGGAAAATGCTTTCGAACTTTTGGCTTCGGGGGTCCTTCTCCACCTCCTCTCAATCGAAAAACTAAATGTAATGTTGGTCCATGTGGTATAAAACGTTTTGCATTTGAGAAGCAGATCAGTCCGGCATTCTGTGAATAACAAACAGATTGAAATGAAAATTGAAAGTTCAATTAAACAATTGGATTGAATTTTGCATGCATGGAATAATGAGATTTTAGTAATACCAAATCAAAATAGCATGTTACAAAAGTGCCTCACTTGAACTAATAGTGAGGTAAAATGTAATAGAAAATTGCAACATGCGTTTAAATTTACCGAAAACTCCGACGAATCTTTATAGCTGTGATGAGCTAGATTAGCCATTGCAAGAGAAGTCCGAATCTCGTCATGAGAAAGATCATTACCACCACGCATAATCAACGCACTTCTATCAATTCCAAGCAATCCAATGAATGAATTTGGTTTGCTCTTGACTTCGATCTCCACAATATCGCCCGGCTTGGCCATATCTTGACTAAAATCTAAATTGATGAAATTCTCGAAATCATCGTACAGTTCTATCGTAAAACTGCTGGCCATAACTAATCCATCTCGGACACAATAAACAGTTACTGTCGCTTTGGGTGCATAGCCAAGATGTGGAACGAAAAAGAAACGGTGCACGTACACAGACTGATAGGAATTGTCGAATATCGGTGAAATGGTTTTTGATTCAAGAATCTTTCCTCTGGAGACAACCACGTACGTGTAGGATGGAATCGGATAATCTATAATGACCTCCATTTCAACTGGTTTGTTGATGTTGTATCTAACCAAAATGATATTTTATAAAACCTCTTCATACCGATAATTTTTTTCAATTGTAAATGCTTACTTTTTCTTCATGTCCGATGTTTCTAGGCGTAGTTCATCTGTCAAATTGTTTCCAACTTGTGCACTGTTAGGAGTGATTTCAAATTTGGCAAATGTTGAAAATATTCCCAGATTCGTTGTTTGTGACGCATATTCTACCTAAACTTTTCAACATACATTAATTTCTCTCTATTATTTTGAACTATAAAGTAAATTTGAGGGAACGAATTGTTGATTTTACGAACCAATAACGAAAATTTTGACTCGTGTTCATCGATATCCAAAGCAAGAGTAACGTCACCATTGTCGTTTAATTGATGAACAAGCCGCGATTTTCGAGTGTTGCTTTTGGTGCTTTCCAGCTTTTCGTCATAAAATTGTTGTCTTATTACGGATATGTCTCTTTTGCTTGGATCGACAAAACTGGGCACTATTCCGTTTTGCTTTCGCACGGATATCTAAGTTGAAATTTGATTACATGAGCTACATTTTGTAAATATGCGAAATAGGTAATAAATCAATTAACTTACAGTTATGTTAGCGGTGGTGCCTTGTTCTAACTTCACATAGGTTTTCAGATTTGTGTAAATATCATAGCTAGTTTCAATTTCGATGTTCGTCTTACATGATTGGATTAAACCAGTTAGATCTTCTGTGACTTTTGCTTCCATTTTATAGCACTTCCAACCTTGGGTATGGTTGAATTGAAGTTCATTTTTTATGTCAAATTCAATCGTTTCCTGACCGTTGATAGTGACACTTTTCTCCATTACTGGATCATCATATTCCTTAACCGCAATGTCAACAGTTCCTTTCATTGGCATGCCGTGTGTATAAAATGCTCGAACGACGACATGTGCCTTTTCATCTTCCGGCATGAAGACACCCGGTGATTCAATCTCAATCTTAAACTTTGGAAGAACGTATTCAGCCACTTTGATTGTAGCGGTTTTCACCTAATTTTGGTATAAAAGTAGTCTTCGGCATGAACAAATTACCAATGTAACAACAAAACAAAAAACAAACCTGATCACCAACAGAAACTGTGATTTTCCATAATCCCAGATTTGGAAGGTCTGACAATTGATATTCACCAGAAAAAACGCCACTGTTGTTGGCGATGTTGACGCCATTCCATTGTTTCAACAAATTTTGGCATGGATCCTTATCGAACAAAATATTATATACATTATTTATGGAGAAAATCGATTAATTTGCTTGTATCCACACAGAAATGCTCAGCGCCAAGAATAACCCAAAATACGCCGATGGCTATACTTTTAGCGACGTCCACGCTGCGTCAAGCATTTCTGTTATTGAAATTAATAAAGTCCAAGTAAGTCTTGTGACCGAAAATACTTACAGTTATACCGATTTTGAGTTCATTCTTCGTAATTGGAGCTGCTTTCAATTCCCAGTCCAAAACTAGCACCCTGAATTTGACACAATCATTTGGTTTATAAATGGCTTTGTCCGTTTGAATGAAGATGATGTGAGATTGTGTTTGAAGATGAAGGCGTTCTTGGTGTTCCATGTCAATTCCCAAAATGCCCTTCACCACCAATTTGTAGCCTCTGTGCGCCGGCACATTGCCAACCGGAATCGAAACCACCTCGGTTACGTTTGGATTCATGGCAACATTGCGGTGAATTTGAAATTTGGTCGCATCTTTGTTGTCTTCGATCGAAACTCGCACAAGAATCGCTTCATCAAATTTGCATTGTGCATCGTGAATGGTCAAACTCAATGTGAAATCGGTATTCCAGCGAAATTTTTCGAGTGCCAAAATTGTATAATTGAATTTTCCCGAGCGTTTGGCAGCTGGATGTACTTTCTGCTTGCTACGCAACATTTTTCTTTTCGATTTTCACAATTTTTGTGTCCAAAGCAAAATGGCGTCGAACCATTGCTTGATGCAAAGATGGCAGATGCTTATCGATGCGCAAAAAAATTTCTCTATGCAATCGATTCGGACAATTTTCACACTTTTGTTTTTTATCCTCTACAAACCTAATGAATTCTTTAGATTTTGTTTCGGAATTTGAACGCTTGATAACTGTTTTTATTATTTTCTAAACACTTTATGCGCGACTCTAGTCTGCAGCATATCAAATTAGAACTTATTTCGTTACAATGTGACGTTAGTTTGCTAGCTAGTTGGGAAATATTGTAAAATATGCAAACACACCATCACAAGTTGCTTCATGCGGGTGATGCAGCTACGTATGTGCGTGCTTGAGTGTGTGAAAATTTCAACCGAAAGATGATGGCGTGACTCTCCACTGTGTTTATGCAGTATAGATGATATCAACACACAAGTTAATCTGTTAACGCTGATTTCTCATGCTTATGCCATCGTTTGTTACACGGCGAAATCTAATACAAACACTAGTCCACCAGTGTACAACTGTGTATATAATATCGAAAATAAACGATTGCAATTTTCTCTTTCGCACATGCTCTAGATGACGTTCAAGCTATTTGTTAGTATTGGAATCGCTTGAGGATGATCGCGGTTGAGTGAAAGAGTCAATAGGTCATATTGTAGCATCTCACAAGTACCGATTCAAATAAGAGAGAGAGTATAATGCTGGATTCAGCTAATCGATTCTTTGGTATACATCGAATTGAAACTTTTTCATCTTTCGAGTAATATGAGATAATGAAAATAGTTTGAAAAAATTTCGTCATGCGAATTGTTTGATAATGAAACAAATTTATAATTATTTATTTAGAATTGTATTATAAAAGCCAAAACCCGATCATAGTTTCAAACGAAGAAGAATTTGCAATGAAATATCGTCACTTTGTCGTCCTGTTCTTTTTCAGAACTATTCGATGAAAATAGACCATACAAAAACGTTCTGTTGACATAGCCGATTTCATGTGAATAGCCTTCGACAAGAATCATTCAACGATTCGAAGCGTCAACATTTTGTCGTCAAATGAATAATCGCTTGGCATTTTTCTGAGAACCGACACTGCTGTTACAAAGTCATCATAAACTGGATGAAATTCAAACAGACGAAAACCACTTTAAATAAACAATGGTTGCGCGACAGATTTCGATGCATTTTAACCCGGCCGGGTCGTTTCTTGGAATACAATTTCTGCTCTGTTTTGTCAACTTGAAAAATTGTCAACTCAAAAAATATATCAGAATTGAACATAACCCGTTCAAGTGATCACAGAGTAGGAGTAAAATTAATATCCTACATCATGGCATTACAGTATTGATCATTGAACAGTGAAAATTGAACCAAATCGATTCAGTTCAAGTCAGAGATTACTATGGGATATTTTTATTCATATGAGATAGAAATATCACATAAAAATAACAGATATTTTTCGCGCGTTGTGTTCAGTGAAACGCATTAATACACAATAGCGATTCTGCACACACAGAGTCGCTGTTTTTTTCGTTATACTCTTCACACTTACGATGAGCTGCGCGGAGCGTGCATGCACGTGTTTCGCTCACTTCTTTCTTTAAACTCTCTTAGTGTGTCAACACAATGTCTGTGCGTGTATCGCTTGTGCCGTCGTTTGTAAATGACGTCAATGAGCTGCGCGATGCATGTATATATATATGATTCGCTCTTTTCTTTCGATCGACACTCTTCGTACCCAGTTCATTGACGTTGTTTACAAATGACGGCACAAGCGATACACACACAGACATTGTGTTCACACACGAAGAGTGTGCAAAGAAAGAAGTGAGTGAAACATGTGCATGCACGCTCCGCGCAGCTCATCGTAAGTGTGAAGAGTATAACGAAAAAAAAACCGCGACTCTGTGTGTGCAGAATCGCTATTGTGTATTAATGCGTTTCGCTGAACACAACGCGCGAAAAATAGTAGATATTTTTGGACTCTGAACATTGAAGGCGTTGAACGTTGAACACAACGCGTGAAAAATATCTGTTATTTTTATGCGATATTTTTTCCCATATGAATAAAAATATCCCATAGTAATCTCTGGTTCAAGTTTTGAAATACACTGAATTGGACGAACGAAGAATAAGACAACATCGTTGAACGTAAAGGTGTCAAACGGACGGACTGTCCGTCTTTTTAGCCCGTCCGTCCGTCCGTCCAGGGCTCTTGAAATTTTTTTTGTCCGTCCGTCCGTCCGTTCAGAGCCGCTAAAAATTTTCTTGTCCGTCCGTCCGTCCGACCGGAGCTGAACGGACGGACGGATGGACAAGAAAATTTTTAGCGGCTCTGAACGGACGGACGGACGGACAAGAAAATTTTCAAGAGCCCTGGACGGACGGACGGACGGACAAGGTGCCTGTCCGTTGACACCTTTAGTTGAACGAGGACGAGAAAAAAACCAGACCACCAAAATGGAAAAATCAAGCAACGAAGATGTACGCAAGCTTGCTAAATCAATGGATTTGGGTAATATATCAGTCATGCACAATTCTTTATTTTCACACAACATGAAAGACGAATTTAAATGGTTTCAACTAATGGTTTTGATTTTTGGTCGTTGCGTTTTGTTTATTTGTTATGGCAGTGAAGCATCATCCAGCGTGGGGAGCATTACTGGAGAGTAATAGAAGATGTTACGACTGTATCCTGTGCTGTACGTGGCGATTCTTAAGATTCCATTCATCCAACAGATGAGAAGCGAAATGGAAAAAGATCTCGAACAGTGTGAAAAGCAATCGAAGAACTCAAACTAAAGTTCACATCCATGAAATAAACAAATCCATGGAAAATCAAAAGTTTTATCAATAAAATGCAAATTTTTTAATCAATAGGAAATTTGTCTTTTCTCATTCATCGGCCTCGTTCTTGGTTGTATGTGATTGAATATTCAAATCAACGAAATTCAAAAATTTGGTGCGAATGGTTTAATTGCATTGAAATATGTCCGAATTCTAAATTAATTAGTAGGAAATCTTCCGTTGTGATCGGTACCAATGCAGCCAAACAAAAGCATATTTTCCCCATTATGGACATCGATTCCCAATTATCTCAAACAATATATCTTTTCTATCGTAGCTCATATCACAAAGGATGTGAAATCGAATCGACAATGGATGTGTTCATGAAGAGCAAAATATTCGGCTTTCACAAAATATTTTTGAATATAGTACCACATACTACAAGCATAGGTTCATAATGAACGACGCTGCTTTTGAGACAGTTTTATAGTTGAATGCTGTTTGAAATATCAACGGACATGATATGTCGAACAAAGTTGTTTTGAATAGAGTTCACAGGTTTCATTTTACTTATTATGCATTCAAGTTATCTTGAAGTATTTTTATAAATTGAATGAATACATAATTGGATAAAGACGTAATTAGTCTATTTCGAAAGCTTTAATTCCAAGTTTAATTCAGTGTGATTGATGTCATTTTTTGCTGTGATGAAATTTTCTTGCAGTTATTTTCACAAAGTTACACGAAAATATCAATTTTTTCTCGAGGAACTGTGGAAAATGGTTAGCTCAAAAAAAAGAATAACTACAACACACAACACATCAATATATGAAAGCATGGACATAAGAGATTTGTTGTATTCAATCATTATATCGCACTTTATCACCGTCTATCGTTTCGGCCGTCTTTTCTGTTCATCACGCATACATGAACAGTAAACATTTATTATTCGGAACGAAATCAGAAGAGACATAAAACTAAACGCGCACACAATTAACGGATCAGTTTTGTTTGTAGTTCATTCGATGTGATTCGGTAAAATTATGGACACACACTTGTATCATTTTGTATTTGTTTGTGTCTCTTTCGCTCACCAATACACTCTCGATGGAGCAAACAACATTTTGCATGTTACCGGTTCGCGCTTCTTTTACATCAGTGTGTCAAATCTATTGCTTGTCAAAATCATCAAATCTACGGAACGCAGTTTTCAATTATCGCATAAAACATACATTTCTTCAATATTAAACGCTTTTTCTTGTGTTTCAGTATTCTTACAAATTAAATACAAATTAACGTGTATACATTCGATACATTCGATTTAATACTGTCAAAATGGCAAACGTGCTGAAAAATACTGCTGCATCGGAATTGATTGGAAAGTTGTATCTCAATGAACAATTAGCTGACGATTATTTCGAATTCAAAGTCGATGATAATGATGTCCAAAAAGTTCCAGCAAACAAAGTAATATTGGCAGCTCTAAGCCCGGTATTTTATACCATGTTCTTTGGATCATTGAAGGAGGGAAGCGAAGTTAAAATAGAAGATGCTGACTCCGACGCATTCAAAGAGTTTCTCCAGTTCTTCTACCTGCCCGACGAGAAATTTGCGGTAAAATAGGTGTACGTCGACTATCCGTCGCATATCCGTTTTTGAGTGCGGATACTCGCAATGCGAATAGGTATCCACAATAAAAGTTGCCGCAAAATGTTATCGCTGAATACCCTGCGACTATTCGCGCTGCGATAAATGTGAAGTTGTAACTGGATCGAGTGTGACATTTCGACTTGAAACTTCGTACAACCAACGTGAAGTTGGCTGCGTTCGAGGGACTTTTTCGTATTGCGACTATACGTAGAATAGTCGCAATGCGATATTCCGCAAATTTCTCGTCGGGCTGGGTGAGGTGACATTAACCATGGAAAATATCCAGACCGTTGTTCGTTTGGCCGACAAATACGATGTCCTCGAATATGTCAACGCATGCGCCGCATTCCTAAAGGGTCAACTGACCCTGGATAATATGTGTTGGGGCTATCAACTGGCCATAAATCTAAAGAACGATGAATTGATCGAGTTCTGTGAAGACAAAATTTCCAGATCGCCAAAGAAAATCTTCGTCACCGATTCGTTTGAACGTTGTGACAAAGGTACTCTGAAGAGAATCGTGGAACTGGATTTGACATGCGATGAAATCAACGTATTTGATGCCTGTTTAACATGGGGCAAATATGCATGCCAACAAAACGATTTGGATGCAACACAAGCGGAGAATTTGAGAACACAACTCGGCGATTGTTTGAAGTCAATTCGATTCAATGCAATGAAAATTGAAAACTTCTCCACTTTTGTGATGTCAAACGATGGTCTCTTCACTCCAGATGAATTCAAGGACATTGTGCTTACTTTAACAGCGAAAGGATATGAACCGAAAATATTCAAACAAAATCCCCGACGCTTCAAATGGAATGAAAATGAAGTTTTGTTGTGTCATCGACAATATACTAGCTATGCAAAAAACTACATCAAAGATTCAGAAGTCGTTTGGTTTACATCAAATCAAACGGTACTATTGGGGGAACTTTACTCTGCTTCAACGGGGAATATGGGCTATATTTATCAACAGAACAATGCTGTTAACGTTACAATCGCAGAAATTACCAGTGATTTTTCGAAGAAAGTTTTGTATGAAGGCTCATCAAAAACGTGGTCCAGTGAAATATTGAAAGTGGCATTACTACAACCGATCATGATCAAACCGCATGTTATGTATGAAATTCGTTTTGAGGTGCTCATGGGAGTGGGTTTGCATTATGAAGCTACATGGGGACCAACAGTTGAATTGTTAGATGGACTTACAATTAAATTCCATCGAAATCCATCACATACAGGCTATGACACCTCTTCATGTGGTTGGATTCGGTCATTAGGCTTTAACAGAGTATAAAATTATTTCAAAAAGCAACGAAAAGCCACATTCCATGTAAATTGTAAATTCAACTATTTACTCATTTACTCTATTTGATTTAAATAAAAATGAGACAGAATTGTCAACAGGCATTGAACTTCATTTGTTTAAATATCAAAAGAGTGATTCCCACGGATTCCACGTTAATTATGAATTAAAAACGCATTTAATTTTTGGAAGGTAAAAAGATCATGTATTGATCCAAAATATCATAATCGAAACAAATGTGTCTCAATATGGCTGAAAAGAGTTCCATCAATTATATGCTCTATCATAATTCGAACAAAATTTTGTGCTTCTATACGTTTCCATAGATAATGTGAGTTAGAGCTAGGTTTATCATCAAACTCATGCAAATGTCCTTGAATTACATGATAATATAAAATCGAAACACCAATGACCGATTATTTAGATACTTTAGACGTGTTTAGTGCGAAGGCGTCCAAGAAATGAGATGACTCACCGATAATTGTGAACAGTTGTCTAATTTTCTTTTTTCAAAGTTTTTTATATGGTCCAATTGAATCTTCAATTGCCATTTTTAACCGTCATCTGTATCAACCGCTGTGGCCATCTCGTTTATAAATAAAATAAACTTAAAAACAGTCTTTAGCATTGTTGCATGTAATCACACCAAATTTGTACTATCAAGTAAAGCGTATGGTGTTGTTATATGATGCGACTGGCATTTATCGACCGATATATATATGACTGCAATCGCTTGCTTTCCATTTAGTTCGGCCGTGACCATCTCGTTGACAACATCTTTCGTTTATCAAAATGTTAAAACTCCACGTTGCGATATTTGTGCATTTCGTTATTTTAAACGCAGTCTATGACTGCGTAGTGCAATCAAATCCAACGAATCTAGCCATTAAACTAGATGCAAAGAAACTGCCAACCTTGAACTTGACATTTAGTTTGCTTGGATTAAAACCGCGACAATCAGACATTGACTTGTGTTTCATGAGAACAGTAAGATTTTAATTTCAAATCCAAAATCAATTTTCATAAAAAAAACTTAAATTTCATCACCTTACATCTCATCAAGGATGAATTGATTGGCTACTATGGATTTATAGCCGAAGAGTATGATGTAGAAACTGAAGATGGGTACATTTTAAAAATGTTCCGTTGCTACTCGACCAAATTCGCCGAAGAAGATCGTTCTCCGATATTGCTCATACCGGGCATGTATGATACCTCTGATACGTTTTGTCTGAGCCCCCCAGATGAGTCATTAGGTAACTGAAAAGCAAACAAAAAAATCAGCGCAATACAAAATCTATATTATTGTTTCAGCATATTTTTTGGCTGAAAGGAAATACGATGTATTTTTATACAATCCACGTGGAAATAAATATAGTCATGGTCACCGAGATAATAAAAGGTTCGATTCAAGCAAGAAGTATGGTTTATATTGGGCATTCTCCTGGTTCGAAATGGGATATTACGATTTACCCGCAGTCATCGAAGAGATTTTGAGAATAACAAAAAGGGAAAAAGTTTCAGCTAGTAAGTCACATTTTTCACGATTCACGGTAAATTAGAACGAAATAAAAATGTTAAAATAATCAAAGTAACACTAGTACAGTGCATGATACATTTGAACCATTTTGAATGACGAAAAAATACCAAATTCGAAATGTTCAAGTTCGCTTCTACTTAATTATTTTTAATTTTATTTCTGTTTATGTGCTGAATTAGTTGGTCATTCAGAAGGAGGCACATCACTTTTCGTTCTCTTGAGCACTCGTCCAGAATTCAATTCAATAGTAAAATTGGCTGTGAGCATGGCCTCCTTCACCTTTATGACCAATATTGGATTCCCACTTGATGTTATCTTATTGGCCGTTCAGCTATTCAAAAATTTCAGAGATTTCGAATTTGCACCAAACACATTGCCACAGAAAATTTTATCGTTACTTATTTGTACAATAATGAATGGTGCTATCTGTGATCATGGCATAAATTTCGTGCTCGGACCAAGTTATAATGAACGAAGTAATGTAAGTTGCTGAAATACTTACTGCGTATCGAAAAATTGGACAAATTCCATTTATTTTAATTGATGTCAATTATTAAAAAATTAGACAGCAGTCAGTGTCTGCCATTACCCGGCCGCGGGATCTTTCAATCAGATATTGCACTACAGTCAAGGTACTGTGATAGAGTATACATTGACTTTAACCAGAAATAATTTTATTCTATGTCTTACTCTGAAGGATATGTTCACAAGACGTTTGGACCAATGATGAAAATTGGACAAACTACAACACGTAATTTCGACCTTGGAAAAATCACAGCTCCGAACGCGTTCCTTTACTCAAGTAATGATCCACATACTGACAAAAATGATGTTGGTCTGCTTCGAAAAAGTCTAGCCCACAATAACCGAACCCATTTCAAAGACTATCCCGATAAAAATCATATAGATTTCATCTGGAGCAAAACTGCGTATGCAACGGTTTATCCCAAGATTATCGAACTTGACGCTCTTTATACATGAGATAACGGATAGTTTGCACATTAATGCTAATAAATAAGCATAGTTTTACCTTTTGGGAATTAAGTATTCTCTTAAACGTTCAATGTCTTTATTTTTTTACCAATGTAATGTAAAATAAATTTTTCATTTTTCTGAAGTTTCTATATAATCTCTAAAAAGAGGGAAATTTTTTTTTTTCAAATTAATTTGAAGCCATGTTCCAAATACATTAATCAACCGAATCCCTTTGAGCAATAAGTTTTTATTTTAAAATTTACTACAACATTCAATTACATGAATAAATTTCTGTGACCATTTTCATATTGTATGCATTTCAATTTAATTTAAAGGAATCCAATTGAATCATCAGATCCATTTTTCCAGTATATTTCATAATCACTTTCGATTTCTTGTTGCGCTCTCCAAATGATTGCATTTGCTGAATGTGTCCAATTGAAACATAGATGTCGTTTGAGGTTGTGTTTTGCACAACTACCATCAAAACGTAAATGTGATATATTTTGACAGCTCAAGAGGTGACAAACGCATCGCAAACGTTCTGAAATAAATTTTTGCCGAATATCTGTGAATTTCATATTTTATTCGTATAGAAAGTTGATTGAATAATAAAAAACATGGCAAATATATCGGCGGCTGCTTTAGCCAATAGAAATAAGAAACATTTTCTCGGTGTTCCGGCTCCGTTGGGTTATGTTGCTGGTGTTGGTAGAGGGTACGTGTGTTTTGTTGATTTACATACTCAATTTAAAGTGATTTTTTTTAAACAAAATATGTTTGTTTTGTTTATTTCAGTGCTACCGGTTTCACCACTCGGTCTGATATTGGTCCAGCCCGAGACGCAAACGATGTATCGTAAGTATAATATTTTCTCCTGTTTTTCCGCGAATTTTGCTAATCAAGCATTTGTGTTTTAGTGATGATCGACATGCACCGCCAGCAGCCAAACGAAAAAAGAAAGAAGAAGAAGAGGAGGATGATGAAGATTTGAATGATTCCAATTACGATGAGTTTAGTGGCTACAGTGGTTCATTGTTCTCAAAAGATCCATACGACAAAGATGATGCAGAGGCAGACGCCATCTACGAAGCTATCGACAAGCGAATGGATGAAAAACGCAAGGAATATCGAGAGAAACGATTGAAGGAGGATTTGGAGCGATACCGTCAAGAACGGCCAAAGATTCAACAGCAATTCTCCGATTTAAAACGTAACTTGGGCGAGGTGACCTTAGAAGAATGGTCGACAATACCAGAAGTCGGTGACAGTCGTAATCGTAAGCAGCGTAATCCGCGTGCGGAAAAATTCACGCCATTACCCGATAGTGTATTGTCACGTAATTTGGGTGGTGAAACTTCAGCGAGTATTGATAATCGATCGGGATTGTTGACACCAGGTGTGGCCACACCGGGAATGTTGACACCAACTGGCGATTTGGATTTGCGAAAAATCGGTCAAGCCCGTAACACATTGATGAATGTGAAACTGTCTCAAGTTTCTGACTCGGTCACCGGCCAAACGGTTGTCGATCCAAAAGGTTATCTAACCGATTTACAATCGATGATTCCCACCTATGGCGGTGATATAAATGATATCAAAAAGGCTCGACTTTTGCTAAAGAGTGTCCGTGAAACGAATCCAAATCATCCGCCCGCGTGGATTGCATCGGCTCGATTGGAAGAAGTGACGGGAAAAGTGCAAATGGCTCGAAATTTAATCATGCAAGGTTGCGAAATAAATCCGAAAAGTGAAGATTTATGGTTGGAAGCAGCACGTTTACAACCACTTGATACCGCAAAAGCAGCCATTGCTCAAGCCGCACGTCACATTCCGACATCCGTTCGTATTTGGATCAAAGCGGCCGACCTGGAAACTGAACTAAAAGCCAAGCGTCGTGTTTTCCGTAAGGCTCTTGAACATATCCCAAACTCGGTTCGTTTATGGAAAGCTGCCGTTGAACTGGAAAACCCAGACGATGCACGAATTCTACTATCACGTGCAGTCGAATGCTGTAACACAAGCGTTGAATTGTGGTTAGCTCTGGCTCGTCTGGAAACCTATGAAAATGCCCGAAAAGTTCTTAACAAAGCACGTGAAAATATCCCAACAGATAAACAAATCTGGATGACTGCTGCGAAATTAGAAGAAGCAAATGGTAAGTTACTTATTAATATTTTAGTTTTTTAAATTTTTGCTTATGAAAAATATCATTTTCCAGGTAATATTCACATGGTAGAGAAGATTGTGGACCGTGCTTTGTCATCCCTATCGGCCAATGGAGTTGAAATCAATCGTGAAAATTGGTTCCAAGAAGCAATCGAAGCAGAAAAATCGGGAGCCGTTCATTGTTGTCAAGCAATCATCAAGTCAATTATCGAAAGTGGAGTCGAAGAAGAAGATCGCAAACAAACCTGGATCGATGATGCGGATTTCGTGAGTTTTTCTCATTCATATCGTCATATAGAATATTTTCAGAGAGAAAATACGCATTTTCTTCATAATATTATTTTGATATTAACGCTGTCAGTTTTGCGAAAGAAATTCAAGTAATTTTATATTTCGTTTATTTCAGTGTGCCTCGAAAGGTGCATATGATTGTGCTCGTGCCGTGTATGCCCATGCGCTTCAAGTATTTCCATCAAAGAAGAGTATTTGGTTGCGGGCTGCATATTTTGAGAAGAATCATGGAACACGAGAAAGTTTGGAGACTCTTTTGCAGCGGGCTGTTGCACATTGCCCAAAGTCTGAGGTATTATGGTTAATGGGTGCCAAATCAAAGTGGTTAGCCGGCGATGTGCCAGCTGCACGTGGTATTCTATCCTATGCATTTCAGGCTAATCCAAATTCTGAAGATATTTGGCTGGCTGCCGTCAAATTGGAATCAGAAAATGCCGAATATGAGCGAGCTCGCCGCTTGCTTGCAAAAGCAAGAGCATCGGCGCCTACTCCACGTGTCATGATGAAATCATCCAAACTTGAATGGGCTTTGATTAATCTATCAGAAGCATTGAAATTACTTGATGAAGCGGTCAAAGTGTTTCCAGACTATGCAAAACTATGGATGATGAAAGGGCAGATTGAGGAACAGCAAAATCGCCTTGAATCGTCTGCCACCACATACTCAACGGGTGTCAAGAAGAATCCAAATTCAATTCCACTGTGGCTTTTGATGTCGGGGTTGGAAGAGAAGCGTGGTGCATTGACCAAAGCTCGTTCGGTACTCGAACGGGCGCGTTTGAAAAATCCAAAAACACCATTACTATGGTTGGAGGCTGTTCGAATTGAATTACGCGCTGGACTTGCCGAAATGGCACAAACAATAATGGCAAGAGCTCTGCAGGAATGTCCACAATCGGGCGAACTATGGGCCGAGGCGATATTCATGGAATCAAGACCACAACGAAAAACTAAATCTTTTGATGCATTAAAGAAATGTGAACATAATCCGCATGTTCTGCTGGCTGTTTCAAAATTATTTTGGTCGGAACAAAAGACTCAAAAAGCAAGAGATTGGTTTAATCGAACTGTTAAAATCGATCCAGACTTGGGCGATGCTTGGGCATATTTTTATAAATTTGAACTAAATTACGGAACCGAAGCGCAACAAAATGAAATTATCGAGCGATGTAATGCAGCCGAGCCAAAACATGGCGAGGAATGGTGTAAAGTAAGCAAAAATATCAGCAATTGGTGTTTCAAAACAACGGACATTCTCAAAGCGGTCGTTAAAACTTTACCTACACCAACATGAATAAAAACTTTGCTTAATTTTTTTTATTCATTAGATTTTAATATTTGATTTGGAATAAATTCAATGAAATAAAGAGAAAATAATTTTAGTTCCATTGAAATCGGCTTTATTTCAAACATTGTCATGAATGTTAGGTTATGAATGATATGGGTGACAGCGAGAAGAGTAACGATGAATACAACAACTAACTGACAGCCGACTGATTGTGAGTGTATGTTGGAAATGAATCAACGAATTCGGTATCGGCCATATTGCTAAAACCGAACGTCAACAAAACACATTCGTATTGCAATTGTCAGTAATAACTCCATTCTGCTGAGACAATAGGTGAACAAATTAAATTGGAAACAATTACGCATTTCTAGATATATTTGCATTTGGCGACGTATTTTATTATTGGTACTGTTGTAAGACGAAAAAAATTATGGCATCATTGAAGCATATTACGACTGTGTTTGCCAACGGCAGAATCCCAGTCCATAAATACAAGTCAGAAGTGACCGGTTTGACAGTTGTAATTGGAGAAGTCGAGGGACCTTTGGTTAATGGATTTTTTACATTAGGTAATAAAAGAATATTCCCTTGAAATCATTAGAATTGATGTTGAAATAATCTTCTTTTTTTTCAAATAAAAAATCAAACAGCAACTGAAGCTCATGACGATGACGGTTTGCCGCATACTTTGGAACATTTGATTTTCCTTGGTTCCGAATTGTATCCTTATAAGGGTGTACTCGATTTGCTGGCAAACCGATGCTTGGCTTCCGGCACAAATGCGTGGACAGACACCGATCATACATGTTACACGATCAAAACGGTGGGAAAAGCCGGCTTCCTCGAACTGTTGCCAATTTATCTCGATCATATTCTATTCCCAACTCTGTCCGATGCTGGATACATCACAGAAGTACATCACATTGCACCCAATGGTGAAGACAGTGGCGTGGTTTACTGCGAAATGCAAGGCAGAGAAAATAGCGCCGAGTCACGTGCAATTTTGGCACTTTTAAGAAATCTTTATCCAAATTGCGGTTACAGTGCTGAAACCGGTGGAATTATGCACAATTTGAGAACTAGTACGTCAAATGAAAAAGTACGCAACTACCATGCACAATTCTATCGGCCCGAAAATTTAACGTTGATCATTACTGGTCAAGTGAAGGTCGAAGATATTGCTGCTGCATTGGAATCGGTTGAAAAACGTATTCTGAGCAAAGACAAGAAACCAAAATTTGTTCGTCCATGGTTTACACCCGTCGAACCATTGGCTGATACCATCAACAAACGCATCGTTTATCCATCCGATTGCGAGGACTGTGGAATTGGTAAATGTTATTTTTTCTTCATCAAAGCAATTTACTTTATTTTAGAGAACTTTGTTGTATTTAAATATGTGAATCGGTTCTTAGTTCACGTTGGATGGCGCGGACCAAATTGTACCAAAGAGAATCTCAAGCTGACCGCATGTTCGGTTCTCTTGCGATACTTGTCAGAGACATCGGTTTCACCTCTTCAACGGGAAATGGTCGAAATCAGCGATCCGTACGCCAGCACTGTTTCGTACAACATTATCGAAAATTATGAGTCGGCAATTTATTTCTCGTTTGAAAATGTTCCGCTGGATAAAATTGATTTGGTCTATGAAAAAATGCAAACGGTGCTTGGAAATATTTCGAATGGAGACGAAAAGATTGATATGAATCGCTTGCAAAACATCCTTGAGAGATGCATCCGCGAATACTTTAGCAATTTGGAAAGTAATCCACATGAGGCACTCGCCTTTGCTGCAATTGCCGATTCTCTCTATGGTGAACAAGACGATGATGTAACTATTTCAAATCGTTTTAAATGTGATTCAAGCAATAAGGTTATTTTTTTTGTTTCTAGTTTGACACCAGATTAAACGTCGATCGACAGATGCGATTGTTGTTGACAAAAGGTGAAGAATTCTGGATTGAACTTCTAAACGAGTATTTAATCAGTGTAAGTATTTCATTCGACTGATCAATTGAACAACTAAAATCTTTGCATTGGTATTCAACGGTTTGATTCAATACTTTGTTGTGTAAACAATAAATTGAGTTTTCTCCTCGATTCTTAGTCCAAACGCATTGTCATTCGAGCAGTGCCAAGTGTCGAAGAACAGAAACGAATGACAAAGGAAGAAGCGACACGTGTGGAGCAACAACGCAAATCATTGGGCGAAGAGGGCTTATTGAAGAAAGGTGAACAATTGTCTGGAGCAGTCGCCTTCAATGAAATTCCTCCGCCACCCGAAATGTTGACCAAAGTGCCTATACCAAATGTCGATAATATCAATTCGCTGCCATCAACCGTTCAAGAGCGTGATGGAGAAGTGTTTGGTGATCCATCGAAATTGGCTGGTTTGAATTTGAACGATTTTCCAGTTCCCATCAATGTCACATGCTGTGGAATTGACTCGAACTTTGGTTACATCATGGCATATTTCAATACTAGCAACATTTCACCCGAGCTGCGATCGTACTTTTTATTGTTCCTAGATTTGATCGTAGAATCGCCAATTCGTCGCGAAGACGGTACTTTGATACCATACGAGGAGGTGGTTGCAGCTCTCGAATCAGACACGGTTTCACTGCAAACTACCATCGGTAAGTCGATCATACCGACATACAATTGAACGCGTGAGAATAAAAGACTGACGCTACCAGGTTTTTCGCGAAAGCGGGATAAAAATCAGTTGCACGCAAAAGAGACATTTCAAAAGGTTGCACGCAAGAGAGAAGTATATTGTTGTTGTAATCACGGCTTTAAAATTCAAAATGCGACAAAATAAAATGTTCCGTTTGCGTGTAACCTTTTGAAATGTCTCTTTTGCGTGCAACTGATTGTTATCCCGCTTTTGCGAAAAACCTGCTAGCGTCAGGCTTTTATTCTCACGCGTTCAATTGTATAAAGAAAATATCTGAATTGAGCATTTTTCCCATTCTTCTTTCATATCTTCTTTCAACAGGATTGGAAGCGACCAATCAGTTTAGCTGTGGCCCCTATTCTCAAACTGCTGTTTTGATGCTCAAAACCGATCATAAGAAATATATTCGAGGCATTCAATGGGTTGTTGACCTTTTGAATCGCACTGAATTCACCGTCGAACGTATTCGTGTGATTGCCGCGAAAATTGTAAATGCCGTTGCTCAAGCTAAACGAAACGGAAACTCAGTCTCAAAAGATCTATTGAAGGCTGTCTACTATCAGGGAAATTCAAATGTGCGCAAATGCTCAATGATCCATCAGCAACGTTTTTTGAGCTCACTACTCGAGAAACTGGATAAACCAGATGAAGCAGCTAAAATTGTTGGTCATTTAAATACGATTCGCAAAGAAATTTTGACACCAAATCGTTTGAGCTTGTACATAGCCGCTGATTGGGATAAAATAGTCAAAGGGAATTCCAGTGAATTTTATGAAAACTGGAAAAAACTTGTCCAATCCGATGACCAAGTCACTTTTAAGTGAGTATTGAGTTTGAGTCTTTGTTTTTGATTTCATGAGTAAATTATTGGTTCTATTTTTCTACAGCAAACAAAACTACGAGCGCCCAGAAGTTGATTATCAACTACGTAAAAAGGATATACCCGAAGGTCAAACACTGGGTTTGGGCTGTGTGGAAGGTGCATTTTTCAATCATGCTGTACCGTGCCCGATTACCATTAATGATCCCGACTACATCCCATTGATGCTATTCATGCAGTATCTCACCCAATTGGAAGGACCGTTCTGGCGTCAGCTTCGTGGTCAAGGTAACGCACCTAGACTAGACTATTCCGTTCAATTTGGTTAGCCACCATTGTGAATCAAAAGATTTTTCATTGCAATCATTTTTACTCATAGGTCTTACCTACGGCTACAACATGTACATTCGGTTAAATGAACAATTGCTTTACTTTACTCTGTATCGAGCAACTAACGTAACGGCCGCATTCAAACAATTCAAAACGATTACGGTGAGTCTCATTGAATGAACTTTGATGAAGAAAAAAAAAACAGAAGGACTTTGAACAACCAATAGCGGGATTCAAAATGATTCTTCCTTTCTATTTTTAGGAAGCACAACTGTCCCCTGAGGCTAGCTGGGATTCCGCTTTACTTGAGTCGGCACGAAGTTCCCTTATATTCGAGTTTGTTGAACGCGAAAAAAGTATTGATGCAGTGGTACTACAGAATTTCATCTCCACCTGTTTCCGTGGCACCAAACGAATTACCGATTTGAATGTTCAGCAAATTCGTCAAGTGAACAGTGTCACGGTTGAGGAAATGGTATCTGTGGGCAAAAAATACATTAGCCAATTGTTCACGCCAAACTCTCGCACAACAATCGTGTGCCATCCGGATAAAGCCAATGAGATACGTGACGAATTCACTACATACGGTTTCAAAATGACCGTTTCCACCAACATCGATACCAGCATCCTTAGCTTAAAAGATTAAATTTGAAATTTCTCTTTCAAATTTTCGATTTCCGAGAAGAAAATCATACGCATAGCATCGATCTATGTACGAAATAAAATGTTCAATAATTTTTTTTAACATGAATAAATGTGTTTTTTTCAATTCACTACGAGAAGAAGCTCAAATATCAGCTTATTCTTACCTTTGATTACGCTTAAAGGCCTTACTCGAAATAATAATAGTCATATGACAAGACACACATTGGATAAATTTCATTTAAATACATTTTATTGCGTTGCAATTAGTTATTTTTTTTCTTCATTTTTCACGCTTTACAATACACAAATAATATTTGGTCCTAAGTCTCCATTTAATTCGTGTGCCATACGAGCGGACTATATGAGCGCCAGGCATGAACATCGCCGAACTGAAAATGCAGTTAGGTACAGTTATGTGAATGTACATAATCAATCAAGCGATTAATAATAACCTTCTAAACATGGATCAGTCTTTTTCTGTATTTGTCATAAATATAAAATAATCTATTTAAGGTTCAAAAATGTTTAAACATATTATTCGTTTATCGCCATACTAAAGTGTTCAGCTTGTTCGTGCAAAGCTCAATTGTAGCAAAACATATAAAATAGCAGGCATTCCAATATGCATATATTTAATTCGCATTGTATCGTCTCTTTCTGCTTATCTGATTTCTTTATGAAGTTATGTTTATCTCTTTCGGTGTGGCTCAAAGGAAGTCTTCAGTGTCTAACCTTAATACTATTATATTATTTTCGAATTTAAAGATTTTTTTTTTCTGAAATAAAAATGCAATGATATTTGGTCGATGTTGGGTCCGCTTATGAACTCGTTTTCGTGAGGTGACAATTCACTGCTTATCTCTCTTCGGTCCGGTTTCTTAAGTGATTCTCGCATTGATTTCCACAAGTGGTATGAACAGAAGACAGTGTCGCAATTCCGAAGAAACGCACAACAAAAGCAACCGAAGAAGAAAAGAAGAGTTCGCGTCAACAATTTGTATGCTAATGAAATGCGAAAAAAAGATTATGAGTTACGCAGTAGGTGAATGGGATGCTCCTCGCTAGAAGATTTGTTAGAGAGGTAGAGAGCGAGATAAAGAGGTATAAAGAGGAAAATCGGCAAAAAAGAGGAATACGAAATGACGAAATATGAATAAAAGAAATGAACTGTCAAGAGATAAAAACAGCATCAAATTAACAATCACATTAGTTAATTGCCACTGTTTTTAAAGTCGAATTAAAGTATAGACATGATAATCCAGTAAAAACCGTTATGCGAATGCCAAGTTGATTCTCTCTTCTTTTTTTTCTTCGATAATCGTTGTCGCCGTGAAGAAGGAAAACAAGTGAAATCGAAAAAATGCGTGCGATTTTTCACACCTCGAAAAAGCGACAAAACAACAACAGTAAGAAAGCAATATATTGACCACGACGCGAAACATTTTAGATTGTTATCTTTGCATTTCGACCCGCTTCTTCTTATGTTCGTGCGCCAAAGTTGAAATGATTAAATCGAATTGTGACCTTCGTAAAAAAAAATTCTGTATGATGTCGGAACGTTATATTTTTCTCGTAAGATCGATATGGTATTGGAAATTCGTTGCGATTAATTTGAGCCCATATTACGTACAAAATTAATGGAAACACCATCATCACTTACAACAGAATTTAAAAATAGGAACCAATGCTGTTTTGTATGCCGTAGTTTCTTTTTTCGTTTGCCTTGAACATTATAAAAAATCTCATGAATTTTTTCGCAATTTCATGAAAATAAATGCAATTATCAACATGAAAATCGATTGACATGTATTTGCGACTGAAGCGTAAACATTTTTATTTAAATGCAATAATATAATTTTTCGAATGAATATTTTCGATAGAATGCAAAAATTCGCTGTCATTGTCTGCAATTCTTCTATGAAAAATTCGGTGTGTTTGTATATCTTAGTGTGTGTGTATGTGTGTCAACAATTACGTTTTTACAATCGCAAAATACCCTGTTTTCATTGTTCCGCTGAATTGTATCTATTTTTATTCTTTCTAATATCCTGTTGTATCGTTTTCAATAGTCATATGTTTGAGAAATGTATATGAATTCCATCTCGTCTTAATATCATTCAATTGCTTAAAATGTACACATTTAAAAAAAATCTTTGTTTCGTTTTCTTGGTTTTACGTGTCAAATAACGAGCGCTTAAACAACTTTAAAATATATCCTAAATTCACAATAAATACTAAATTTGTTTTGAAATACGAAATATATGCATCATCTGTGGAATTATAAATAATTTAAAAAAATTATCAAGCCTAATTGTCGTAAATTAAAATTCTAATTAATACTTATTATATTCGATGAAACAATCCAACCAAAAGCAACCAAAAATATATATATGTATATATACGATTTATTTTTATAAATTTATCTGACGGGAGGAAGCTTTTCATTGTTTATTTTTCTCTATATCTATCTATTCAATGGATTAGTGATGATAGTAGTGATGATGAATGTGTACGTATCGATGAATTGTTGTTAGCGAGGCATTATCAGTTCCGATTCCGATTTGGCTACTTTCATCCGAACTGGCACGTAGTAAATTTTCGCATTCACTTTGGCTGGGGTCAATAATCGGAATGGATGCGTACTCGACAACGCTTTCTTTAGGTTCGGGTACAACTGTGTTGCCCACAGCAGACACTGTATTTGAGCCCTTGCCCTGTGAATCCGAATTCGAGGAATTACGGTGTGATGATGACAATGATGATTTTGGTGTTTTTCGTGTGAGTAGAATCTCCTTGTTGAACGTCTTCTTTGACGGTGAACCAACATCGTTGAGTTTTTTCGCCAATTTTTCATTTTCTTTAAACTTATCCGCCACGCCAACGGCACTCACATTGTTCAATTCGGCATCTTTGTACAAATTGTTCTCTTTGCAATTGATATTTTTCGAGATGTCAAGCATATTGTTTGCCGTCAAAATGTTGGATGTGGCCGCAGCGGTTTGATCGTCCGCCAACCACTTCTCAACATGGCTTATGGTACGCGTTAATTTTTGTTCTTGTGTCAGCTGCGGATTTAGCTGATTCAGTAGGGTAGTGTTGAGTTTACTGTTTTGCGTTGACATGAGTTTTGTGTACCCTTGCACCTGAGGCGATGCCGAAATCGGAAATTCATTATGATGACGATGACGCGTTCGCGAATTTCGGCTATTGTTATTATTACAATTTGGTGTTGAGTTATTATGGTTGGAGTTGTAGTTGTGCAATAGCTTTGAAGTGTGCGCGGCCAGCACGGGATTCGAAATGATATTGTTTGTGGAGCATATTTTCGCATGCAACATAGAATCATAGCCACACCAATTCGTTTTCGATGCATTGTGTGCATTAGCGGTGGTTATTTCTTTGGAATGCGGATCAATCGGTGTCATTTTCGATGAGATAGTGTACGATCGATGTCTGTGATGCTTTGAGGGACTTACATTTGTTTTCCTGTTCGATAGAAACAAAGCACATTAGTAAAATTGTTTTGGACAGATTTAAATTGTTATTAGAAAATGTTTTGTAATAAAAAAAACTTACCCATTCGATTGAAAACAAAGCCTGCTTTTCTCCATACTTTCTCGTATAATATCGATAAGATCATTGCGTCGCAAATTGTTAAGACATTCATCGTTTCGATCTTTGCCACTTACACCGCTGCTTGCATCACCGTTGCTGTTGCGAAAACTATTCTCATTGCCAACTGACAGCGAGCGAATTCGTGCGGCTGGATTTGAATCTTGTCCATTTTTCGGTTTTCTTGATCTCGATTTGCGGCCAATTTTCCGTGCGCATGGCTTTGAAACGGGAACATTATCGATTTGGTACAGTTGATTTGTAACGCGACAGTCTTGGCAGCAGGAGTTATTATTATTAAGTGTTATATTGACTTTGTCGCACTTGGTTTTCGATTGTGGAGCAGCGTTTTCATTTGAGACTGGTGCACTCTCGTAAATATTCTCGTTGGTTTGGCTGGAGTTGGGGTGTCGATAGCTTTTCATATTCTCAGTCCCACAACATGGTGCCAATCGGCCATCAACTGTATCTTTTGACATGCGATTGTTCGGCTCTATTGAATGTTTTTCGGTAACAGTTCCGTCGGGTTTTTCACTCGCCGCAATCGGTGCCGATTGCGTACCTAATACTGAAGTTTGTGGCAATGTTTCATCGGCGAATTGTGTCGCTTTAGTTGTTTCCTGATTGTTATCGAAGCAACCGCTGCCACTACCTTCTTCATCATCATCACATTTGAAGAGGCGTCGTGATTTTATTCGTTGTTTCCTCGAACTCTTTTTCACTGAATGTACTGAATCGCCTGACTTTGACTTCGCATCCGGTGACACAGTCAGACGCACATTTATCGTTTTGCTACCGCAATGTGGAACTACGACCGTTTTTCCAATCGACTCATATATCGTATACACTATGCCAGCTATGTCCTGTTATTTGAAAACAGGAAAATTGAGAATAAGTAATTATATTTCACAGCAAAATTTACAAGGCACACTCACGTCTTTGGTAATTTTTCCGTGATGTCCATCTAAATCATAGAATGTGAAGGAAAATTGCAATGGTTGTGTGGATTTTCCTCCGCCCTCGACCGATACATCGCACGTGAATTCCTGTTGAATATAAAAGAAAATTTCATCATTTTAGTTTCCGTTTCCAGTGACACATTCGTTACTCGATTGTGTGCCGATCATACCTCCAGCAACATTCGATCCGGCGAAATAGCATCGTTGCGCGGTGTTGGTGATTGTACTTTGGCATCTTTGTTGCGATCACCCGTCAATAGTAGATCGGGTGGGGCACTGCATGAAGACGGTGCTCGGATGGGATAAATCAGCTCCTCTGAATCGGTAGCACACTCTTGAAGAACTAAATAAAGAAGAAGAAGAGAAAAAAACAATTAATTCACACATGGCTTTGAAAAAAAGGTAATTCAATTGACTAAAATAATATCCGTGAATACCGTAAGTATAAGAATATTGGTTCATATGTAATGGGTTTGAACATTTTCTTGTTTGAATATAGATTTTATGAGGAGAAGATTCGAGCCGGAACTATTAAAAATGAACTCTGAGTTGGTTCATGCGATCAAAGTGTTTTATGTTTCTTTTTTTTTCACTATAAAGCAGTGATTTAAATTTAGATTTAAATCCACTATAGGGAGACGAATCTCCGACAAGAAGAGAGAGAAAAAACGGGCCCGTGCGCGATTAAAGTTAAAAGAATCGCTTTCAAATTGCCGATATTGATCATAAACACGAATTGTCTCGTTAATTTCCATTTTTCTTCTTTCAGTGTGTGTCTATGCCGCGGTTACGCCAGCGCGGCCTTTTTTGTGTGCTAAGATTTTTTTTCTCTTCTTCTTTTCTTTGATTTGGTGGTATTTTTTTCTTAAACATTTTTTAAAAGATCTGAGATGCGTGTACCAAATCAAAGTCAAAATCGACACACCGAGAGAGCGGTATAAATGGTCAGTTGGATGTGAAGAGACAATAATAAAAGGAAGAGTGTGTTTCTCACGAAAAAAAAAAATAAAATAAAATGGATTTGTACCGAAGAAAAAAGCACAAGAAGAAGAAAAATAAAGAATCAAAGAGCACATGATAAAAACCCGAAGAGGAGAAACACATCCACACATAAAACAATTATGCCGAAAAATATCAAACTTTTTAAACACACAAAGAGAAAAAGACGAAAAGGAGGAAAAAAACACACGGTTTTGTATAGACCATTGCTTTAAATCTGAAGGTAAGAAGTTTCATGAATAAAAACGCACAATGTTTTCAAACGAAATGAAACGAAACGAAACGAATTGTTGTGTGTGCGTGCGCGTACGGCTATATGCATGTTTGTAAACGTGATGTGATCGGATATAAGTATGGAAAAATATCCATCTCACATAGGACGTTCAAATAAGGAGCGATTTTTGTTCTATGGAAATGAAGAACAAAAAACAACAACAACAACAACAACACGAAGGAAAACATAAAGAATCAAGTGAATGAAACGAAGGAAGAAAGAAGGATAGAAAGTGCATGACATTGAGATGAAATCTAGCTGAAATCGGTCTGCATTTCATTTTTCAACTTTCTTTCGGGGATTAAGTACAATTGTGCCAAGAAGAACAGAACAAAATCCAGCGTCAACCAAAAAAGAAGAGAACAAAAAACGTACCATAATATCTGACAAACAATAACACTAATTTCTGTTCATAAACTCCTCATCGGGGCATTTTGTAATACTTCACATGAATTATGCCCACATCCCATTTGTGAGCATGTGTTCTTGGTTACGTTTCTGCTCTGCTTACTGTTATGCATTATGTTCCGAAAGAGGAACCACAAGCGAAAAATGAGAGAGAGAGAGAGAGAGAGAGAGAGAGAGAAAATCAACTCCAAACCGAAGCCAAAAACGAACGTAACAATTTAAGAAGAAAAAAGAAAAAGAATAAAATTACGAAAAAAATGAAGAAAGAAAAAAGAGAGCGGCATGTTACTGCACTTATGCCCACTTAACCAAGTCGAATAGCAAAGAAATATGCCAGCAAACAAAAACAACAGCAATCGGCAGAAGCAGCAGCACACATCATGCTGAATTCATTTCCAACTTTTTAACTCGGTTTATGTGTGAAATTTTCTTCGGGTCTTTTAAAAATGACAAACACAGTTCGTTTGGAGCACTTTTTTTGTGTATGTTTCGTTTCTTTTCCATTTTGTCAACGAATTTCGTCTTTGTGCAACATATTCGCACACTTTTTCGAAGTTGTTTTGATTTTTTTTTTCTTTTGTGTTTCATTTTTTTTTCATTCAGGAAAATTATTCGACAGATTTTAGCATTTTCTCTTGGTGCTTAGACCGTATTTATTACAGATTTTCAAGTGCGATCCAATCGATATTTATGCTTTTGGTCCAATTCATTTTTTTCCCGAATTTCGACAGCAAGGCTGCTTTGCTGTTGATTTATTTCAAACTAACGAGTGTCATCATGCCATGAACGAAAAAAAGGGAACAAAAATTTTGCATTCTTTGAATTCTCAGTCCCAAATGATTTCGAAATATTTGAAATTAGAAATGCTAAAATATATGGATTTCAACTCTAGTGGTTTTTGCTTTGGAGCCCGCTTCGATCGTACTATTTCAACATATACTACATATAGATATATATACATAGATATACGCATGATGTTTGGCTGCCAGAGGCTTTAATAATGAAGATGTGAATACTATCGTGTTTTCCAAACAACTCAAATGGTTTTTATGCGTCGGTTCTTTCTTCTTCTTTTCTTTTTTTTTATTATCATCAACGAACGCTATTCACGTTGTCTGCTTTTGACAATCATTTTGATTGAAATTCAATTGGAATCTACAAAAGTGCTTGAGATTACATAACAGCGAAGCGCTATTACAACGCAACTAAGCGGCAATACAGAACATTCACTTTTCTATTGGCCGTAACAATAGCGAAGTGAAATGAATATGAAATGGGTTTTAAGCGACACCGAAATTATGTGTCGAATGCAGAGATTATTGCTGTCTACATACGGTTTTGTTTACATGTCAAAAAAGTATATTAGACGCATTCACATTTACAAAGAATATCGAATGTGATGATAAAAACAGAGCGCCCCCAAAATATTTATATATATGTATATCTCGCTTCCAAATCACTTTGCCAGAGCTGAGAAGCGTATGGCGGAAAATGAGAAATAATCTATAATTGATTTAATATGGCATAGAAAAGTTGTATGTTTCCATTTAACGCTGTGCGGTCTGTTTTTAAAGAATAAAACTTTTAAAATCCAATTCGCAAAACTGAGAAGGGATGACAAAGTTTCGAATCGAGCCATGCCAAACTTGTAAACCCAAATCAGCATCCATTTTGTTAATTTGAAAATTGTCGACTAAAATGCGTAAATGAGTTTTACAGAGTTTTCCTGGCAATGAGTTTTTCGATGGAGAATGTGCGAAAGGCGAAAAAAAAACAAACGAAAAATATTTTCCATTCATTTGGGGCGAAGTGTTCGAGCAAACTTTCATGATTATACTCAGTGGAGTGAGATATCGATCTTATCACCCATAAGACACATTTAATTTTAGCACCACTTTGCGTTTCCCATTCAGATGAATGTGGCGGTTATTCGTCTGCTATGTGTGCCTCTGGTCTCCATCCTAGGGGAATATCACGCTTAAATTATTTCAAATATTTCAAAAAAATCTAATTTATCTCTAAAGAATCTATCGTATGAAATATGGTGGATATTTGTGAATACGTCGGAATATCGTGGATTTTTGTGATTATGAATGATATTTAAATGTATTTATTCGGATTTAATGCAAAAAATCTCAAATATCTCCCAAATCCACAAAAATCTGATTTATTTATTCGAAATATTCGAAAATATGTCATACAATTGATGTTTATTTCAAATATCTCACAAGATTCAGGAGCGTGATATTCCCCTAGTCTCCATCATCGACGCTGCCGTTGCTAGTGACGTCGAGCATTTGGTGTGAAGAATTTGTGTAACAGTCGGAGATGATGGGTCGACCAACACGATGGGAAGTTAGACATAACAAAAGCGAAATGTTTGTTAAACACATTAATATCATCGGTTCGACGTTTGCTCAGAATGCATGACATTCCTATTCGAGTTGTATTCAATTCATTTTCCAAATTTTCATATGCATTGACTAAGAATTATTAGCTTTACCGGAGCTGTTACTACAAATTGGTCTGCCCGATACAATCGACGATGAAAAAGATATTACGTAGAAGCCGACAACAAAAACCGATGATCGCTCTAATCTTCAATTGTTCTAGGTTGAACGGAAAACTTCGATAGAGTTCACGAAAACGAAACCGAAACCGAAACCGCTTTGGATTGAACATAGCACGTTTTCGTTTGGCAAACAACGAAAATGAATGAAACAAATCGATTTCGTTTGTACAGTGTAATTCGGTTGAGTCGAGTAGACGAGGCAACCAAAAATACGAAAGTCATAAAATAGACGTGTAAAATTATGATGTTAGCACGTATGAGCAAGTCACAGCAGCAAGCGAAAGCAAAAGACCACCAACTAAAAGATAAAATTGAGAAAACTTCATTATTGGCGAACACAGACGATTCGCTGGGAATTGCGAAATTTGACAATTGTACGTTGCTGTAATGAAACAACTAGACAAATTCCAAGTATGGAATTTGTTGCAATGGATGCAACATGAGAAAAATTGTAGCTAATCTAACCGAATGAATCCGCAGAAATGAATTTGGCTTTGGACCGTGCTGCAGAAGCAGCAATGACGATAATACAATTTTATTTAGTATTGTCACCGCTACTACGTGCGTTTTACCGATTGGCATTTCGTGTTTAGCATTATTTGGTGTCGTGTGCGCGCATAAATGTCATGCATTCGAAATGAAATATAGTATGCGCTTCATTTTCGAAATGTCGCCTCTAAATCTCGGGATTTTATGACAAATACAGAAATTGTAAGCGAACACACACACACACGCACATACATATATAAGCATTCCAATTGAATGCCACCGAATTTGAAATGAAAAACAATGCGTCGGTGTCTGCGATATATCGGGACATATGTTGACATAATTAATTCGAGTTCGTTCCATTGTAATTTGACTAATGGCCGTGCTTTAAAGCGCTGTAATCCGTAAACAAACCCCTCGAAGTGACCAAATAACATTACGACAAAATGTACCACTCATACTGCACTATTGCATGCGATAAGCCAGTTATTATCGCCGAAATGCCATTCGTTCCTTATACATCGTTTCATTCTCCATAGCAGTTATTTTAATGGGTTTTTTTTATTTGTATCGAACAGATGAATGCCACGCTACATGCTGT